AAGAAGTCCCGATATTCCGGAGGTAACTCAACTTCTGCTTGTATGTGTGAAGCCTCAAGTTTCGTAGAAATAGAAGTGCAGTTTATCTTGATGGTCCACGCAAAGTCAGTTCTGTGGACTCGGTTTTTCTTGTCAAGGCCATGGTCAAGTTCTCCCCAACCGATCAGCTTTCTTGAAGTCCAGCTGATTATGGGGTTGTGTTCCTTGAGCCAAGGCATTCTGAGAAGGAGGGATTCCCAATTTCTGAGCTTGAGGACATACACATGGATGTGCATAGTTTTTCCCCAGATCTTGGCTCTGAAGGAAGCAATATGGGTTACCCAGTCTCCTGTTCTGCCTTTGTAGCTCCTAGACTCCCATGGTCTTGCGATCTTTCGAGTCAGGATGTCGTATTTCACAACTATGGTGGGGTTGATGATATTTGTTTCTGTGCCCAAGTCCAAAATGGTTCAGACGGTAGCATTTTGATGATCGACGAGGTAAGCGAAACCAGCGATAGAAGTGATTGACATATCTTGTTCATAATCATACACTTTCTCGGTCTCTAACTTAACCTCTATCTTTTGGGATATGATAGGCTCTCTTCCTGATGCTACACCAGTGGAGCCTTTCAAAAATCCAGGTTTCCTTTTGGTCCCCTGTCATCTGTGGGTTCATCGTTCTTCCCACAGTAGTGGTTGACAGGTTCTGAATCTTCCTCCTCTTTGGAATTCTTGTCGAACTCCTCAAGCATTGCCAGGATGTGAGTACAGAACTTCTGGGCCGAGGAAGACTTACTGCTTGTTGCAGACAAGGGGCACTTAGACTTGAGGTGCCCTGTCTTACCGCATCCATAACAAGTAAGAGCTTTGCTCTGTGATCAGACCTTCGATTTCCAATCAACATCCATGGTGTAAGGGTCTCAGTACAGAAGTTTCAGAGATGAAGAGGATTTTGATCTGTGAGAACCTTGCTGTTCTTGCTTCCATAAGTAGGATCGGTCTTGGAAGGAAGCCTTCCTGGTGAAGACCTTAAGTGTTGCCATTGCTGTGTGCGCCATGGTTGCTTGCTGGATCCAATCTTGAATGGTATCAGGTTTGGGGCCTGACATGAGGATCCACTTGTTGATCTCCTCGTTAAGGCCTTTTCCAAAGAACACTGTGGCAGTAGTGTCATGGGTGGATATTCCAGCTTTATTGAGGCAGTTGCGGAAATCTGTGATGTACTCATCAAGGGAGCGGTCCCCTTGGCAGATCACCAATAGGTAGATTAGCGCAGTAGCTTTGGCATCCCCTACTTGGAAGGTTTCTTTTAATTTTGCAACAAACTCATCCCAACCATTGAAGATCTTGAGGTCTCCAAGAGCAGTTGTGTTTTCATTGATGTAGGCTTCAGCAAAGGCACGGGCCAAGCCACTCCCCATATAGGAGAGGGTAAATGTGATCTTGGACTGATCCTCATAGTAGGTATGGTTGTTGGTCACAAGATAGAGTTTGACACTACTTAACCAGGCAGAGAAGTCCTGGTGCGCTCCGGTATATGAGAAGGGTTTGTTCAGGCTGATTTCTTTCAGTCCCCCTCCCTTAGAGTCATGTTCCTTTGCTCTCTCCTCAGAACCTTGGGAGGGGCCCTTAGGCCTTACCACACCTTGGTTAAAGAGTGATTTGTAGAATTTGGCAGCCATTTCAGGAGTTACCCTACTCTGTCTGGTGAAGGGGTCCTGGAGGTTTAGTCCAGAGGTTTGGTGGGCGAGTTCTTCTGCCATCTGGTCGGCTGAAGCAGTAGGAAGATATATGTCTGTCGATGAAGATGAGATAGAGGGGTCTGCTGGTCCGGCTGTCCCTGCTTGGGTTTTGATATCCAGGCTCAAAGACCTGGGTTCATGATAAGAAGTAAAGTTTACTAGTGAGGTCGATTCTGCCACTTGCCCAAGTTGGGGCCTTACAGGTGGGTCTTCAAGACCTATACGTGGGTTTGGAGTTTGCACCGAAGGGTGTCGAATAAGTGGCCTCGCTTGGAGGACTTCTTTTCCTTTACGAGAAGGTATGGGAGGTTTGAATGAAGAGGCTGCTGATGGAGGCCTCTTACTTCCTTCTTCTTGGCAGTTCAAAGACATGTTGATGAAGTGGAAGGTTAGTGCCTAGGTTTAGGGGCTAGCTCACTGATATTAAACCAGTGGTTCCTGTTGGAGTGGTGGGAGGTGGTCATTTTGCAGGCTATTTTGCCTAGCAAGGATTCCAGACCACAGGTATCCAAAGGTAATCCAGGTGATTTGAAATCTTCTGTTATGCCGACGACTCGTACTGCATCACAAATCGAGTACAATGAAGTACAAGCACATGACTGCACAAGAAGTGATGCATAATTTAACTTCACTAGTGGTGGGACACTAGTCTTGGCCAACCGAAGTCATACTGGCAAGTCCTTGTTGGTACAGCATGCAGAGCTAAGGGTGGTTGCAAAGTAGATTTCGAATGAGGGACTGGTATGATACATGTGGGTTTATATATGTATGTACAGTACTGCATGTCAAACATTCGAATACAAGGTTAATCGCTCACCAGTTCCCTAAGGCAGAGGGTGCAAGGGCAACCCTGCTGTGGACAGAAGGGAACAGGGTTAAACAAGGGATTAAACCTGCACAGACAAGAGGGTTTAACCATGTATGAGTCAGAGGTGGAGTATTCACCCAGGGTGAACATAGTCACATGACTGCATGGATCAGGGTCCACCAGTGGATCACGGAAGGAAGGGGGAATGGGCACAATGCCCAGCTATGGTACAATGCAGGGTAGACAGGGGTCTATCATAAAAGGAAATAGAAAAGGGGAAATGTACAGAACACAAGTTCAACTGCGTAGACAGTGGCTTGTGGGTAAAGGGAATGCCTCGAGAGGTGAGATGGAGCACGAATGAGTTATGTAAGTGTCTGTAAGAGGGAACAATGTGAGCGCAGCATAACAGGTGATAATGCAGCTGGTGCAGATAGGCTACAATAATCAGAATACAGTTCAGGGCCTGTGTGCGATTGGTGCCATGATAGGGTAGTATTAGTTGCTGGGTATAACTGGGTTTGAGAATTCTGGGACTCAGAGCTCCGAGCAGGATTATCTAGGTTTGGTATGGAATCAGGTAACATTCTAACATGTCAGAGCAATGTCAGGGATAAATGGCAAGTGTGTCCATGCAATAGCAATATCCTCAGTGGAGGAATGAAGGAATGAGTTGAGAAAGAGAGCAGACAAGGAGTGAATGTATGTGTTGACTGTATCAGGGGCTATTTCCATCCCGATTTGGACATATCATACAGATCATTGAATTCCTCATATCTCAATAATAACTGCAATTGAAAAGAAACTAAGTGTATAGAATGATAGAGTATATAGTATATTTGATCCCTTTACCGAGGCGCAGAGCAGATAAATGCTAAATTGAATGTGCTAGGACGAAGTCGAGTGAAATCGCTGCAGTAGCCTCGATTTCGCCCAAAAGGGAATAAAAACAAGACCCCAGACACCAGTTGGCAGGACGCCCGAAGTGGGGTTGGTGTTCGGAATTCTCCGAATGCACACCTCTTGGGGAGGATAGATTTTTTGAGATTCGGAAGGTACTTACATATATTGTGCAGGGTTCTATCAATGATTCGATGGGTCCTCGCCACCCTACACCCTACTAACGGAATGAATTACAATTCGGCGCCCACGTACCGAAATGAGAGGTAAGTCGTTCCCGAAAGGTGCACTAATAGTGCCGAGGGGACTAATGATCCGTATCACGATGGCAAAAAGAATTGTTTTCCAACATGTTGAGGCCCGATAGCGGAATTCTTGACAACTCTCTCACTAGTCCGACTCGGAATGTGACAAACAAGGACTGCAGATGTGAAATACCACAAGGCAAGAGAACTCAGGGTCTTAGCTCTCTTCAACATCACACTCACTGTTACTTATGTATACCATGGACAGCCGCCCTAACCTTATTGTCCCTGCATGCTTTAAGGTCACAAATTAGGATGGCCTTGTAGTCGCAAGTTCCATTCATTCATGCCATTTTCAGAGTACGCCAAAGCCAGTTGCGTTACTTCCTATGTGAACTGGTACACATACTGAGCGCTCTACATGACAGAAGAAGAGTTTACGTTCGTAAAGGGTGGAAGTATTCGGCCCCAGTGGGACCGCAAGGGTCGAAGATGAGTCAGACACAAGCGCTGGACAAGTAAATGGAATGGAAGCTGGAGGATGCGCGTGATGATCTTAAATGAAATACGGTTGGCAAGCTGATCATTTATCCTTATCGGTTCTACAGGTCCTTATCTTTAGCGCACTCATACAGATTCCCACTTCGTGAAATTATTCAACCTCAGGATAATCAACCTTGGTGTCACGGCTCGTATTTTCCAAGACTGAACATCCATCTGACTTGTAACGCAGCTCAGTTTATACAGCGTGTCCCTTGCCGTTCGGTACTCGAACCCTGTCCAATGTTTCCAAACATCGGCACATACATAAAATGAGCGGCTATACCGATGGCGCGTGAGTAGCCGTAATTATGCAGAACGATCGCCTCATGGAAAACGTTCATTCTCCACAGGAACTTATGGAATGTCCGCATGGTTATGGGCAACGAGAAGTGCTGTTTTATGCAAACTAAAAAGCATTTCTGCTGGTCCATCGTTTTTCTTATCACGCGCCGTACTATCGGCTGATTGCAACTGCAGTTTTGCAATTCTCCAGACATCGAAGCTTGCGCTTTTTGAATGATAAGTGCATGCTGCGATAAACAATTTCCCACTGCCCTGCTGCAAGCGTGGTTCAGGTTATTCGCAAGAGGACCCGTCGCAAGTGATGGTGTCTGCTAAATATGTTTTAGTATGTGGATGGCTCAAGGGTAGCGCAAGCCTGGCCAGGCGTCTTTTTGTCACGGCGATTACGTTCCACGCGTGAAGGTGAGATGAGCGTCAAATTTTTGGTCTCTTGCATCCGCACTTTTCGGTTTAGGTTCTCTGAAATTCTGGCCTTCTCAGGTGTTCATTCGAGATCGAGTATGGAAATCACGACCCACCTGTCATTCTACAGACGCGCACCTTAATACCTGCGTGATCAGCTGGCCAGCGGCAACGTGTCTCATGTTAGGCGAGTAGCGGCAAACGCATAGATATAAGATGCTGTGAAACTGTGCAAACCGTCCAGATCGTTTTCCCCCCTTCCACCGGCCTCTGTCAGTTTCGGTGCGCTTGTATATGCTCCTGATATCAATTCTTAAACTAATACTGTCACACCCAGGACAACATGCCCCTCCCCTTTGTGTCTGAAGCCAATTGTCGTGATGATATCAGCCTGAAGAAGCGGTCACATAAGACCCAACAGAGATACATGGACCCTGATACTGGACAATGTGCGGAGCTTGTCGTCCAAGCGGTGAAACCGGTCTCTGGAACAGACGTAAAGGAGGTCAGGATCACTGATCAGACTCGGAGGATCCCCAAGCTTGTCGTCTCGCTCTTCCGCCCGAAGGATTGCTCGCCAATAAACGTGATAGTCTTCGTGCTGCTTTGGCCGTTTAGATTCCTCATCTGCTCCATTCATTTGCTCTTCTGGCCGCTCGATGGTCTACCGAAGGGAGGTATGGGAGGAGGCGTCAACGTAACAGAATATCCGCCTTATCTCATGTATTATTGGGGCCACTTATGGGCAGCTCGGTCACAGAAAGAGCATTCTGTCTTCAAGAAGGCTGGGGAGCATCGCAGGCGTACGCCCTCCAGAGCTGTTTCCATGGCAAATAGCATCACCCGCCTCTTACGTCCTCGTCAAAAGCGCGAAGATGACCCCCTTCCCACGACGCCTGTCATTACTTCTACTCCAGAGAGCACGGCTCACAGCTTTTACCCTTCTCGACTCGTCATTCTTCGCGATGATGTTTGGGAGGTCTGCGATGATCATGACAAGATAGCTCACCATCATTATTTCGCCGTCACCTATCGCCAGAGCGACATATTGGAATCTGGGAGAGGAGAGGATGAATTCATCGCATCGATCCGTTCGGCTGCCTCGCAGTGCGAAATGAAGGCTTATTGGTTGGATCTCGAGTGCATGGGTACCACGGACGAGGAGAAGCATCTGGATGTTTATCAGTTGGCAGACATTTACCGCGGTGCCGAATTCACCCTCGTCGCCCTTCCCAAATCAGATGATCCCACGAATGCTCAAAGCGGGAGAGCCTGGAGTAACTGGAGTGACCGCGTGTGGACACTGCCGGAGATCTTGTTGAGTAAGGAGTTGCGATATATGGTCGGACCTAAGGGTCCAGTGACGATGATCACTCTCCGTGAACTCGCTGGTTTTGCTTATGGGCACGATAGCGAGGAGGCTGCAGTTGTCAACGTTTGCGCTGGCATGGATCGCATGTTTCAGTTGGAACATCTGACCTTCTTGAAGGCCGTGATTTGGCGTCGAGGGACTTCCTCGCAAGACCCGGAGAAGCCTCCGCCGAGAGCGCAATCTCGGGCGTCGAAAGGAATAGACAACCTTTCCTATGAAGCTGAGAAGGTGTACGCTCTGATGGCCTTCTTTGAGCACCGAATCATACCTTTCCCTCCTGAAAGCGATCTACATGCACTAGCCCGGCTTTCGATGATTAACGACGAGTACCGTATAGCAGAACGAATGCTTTCCATGTTCCCCCACGAAATCCCATCGACATCTTGTTGGTATGCTGACGATGATCAGTACAAAGCGCAGTTCTGGGACATCGAACCAGAGGTTCAGGTTGCTGGAGTAACAGACAAGGGGGCGCTGGTTCTCGATGGCTGCCGAGCTGCATCCATCAGGTGGAAGGATTTTCCAGAGGTCGGTGTTCAGACGACGGATTCCGGCTTCCGTCAACTGGTCGCCAAAATAGCTGTATTTGGTATTCCAGGCTTCTATGCCTTCGCCGTGCAGTGGATTCCGTGGCTGTGGAGTAAACTCTCCCGAGAGACAGGTAATGTAAGCGTGGACTCTTCGGAATCGTGCACTGGGAGCTCGTGCACGATCAAGCTTTCCCTTAGCCCTGCGGCGGCAATTCTCGCTGTCATTCTCTTCGGCTGGGCCACCATACTTCTCATTCTCGGCCCGTTCATGATCGCCTATTCGATTTCTGGACGTATTCTTTTCACGCAGCCGTTCCTCATCGGAGTCAAAGGCGCCTTAAAGGTTGAAGAAGCTTCGCACTACCTCTACCGTGCGTGGTTAGTGCGGCCTCGTCTTGCCTACACGACCAGTGGTTCCGTGCTTGCCGAGCATGCAGGGGAGGGGGATATCCGGGAGGGAGACAAGACCCAATATGATGAAGTTAAGAAGCTGAACAGAGACGACCTATACACTCTGATTGACACGTCCACCGGAACTCTCTACTATTTCACTGCAAAGCCGCCCGCCGACGGTGTGTCTGTACACGGGGCGAGAGGGTGGGCTGGGTAGGTTCGTGCTTTGTTCCGAGAACTGCACTGCGAATGAGCTCCACAAGGAGACGGTGTTGCGTATGCCTTCTCAAATCCACCGTTCTATGAGGTCCTGTGGTTGGTTGGCCATCGGGGGCGCGGAGGAATGAGACTACTGGGTATAGGATGTCTTTTGATTGGTTGTTCGTTTACTGTGTGGATCATGTACATATATGTACGTGTACATGTAGCTGTGCTTTGGCCGTACTTGTAGATCTATAAAGGTACCGGAAGTGACCCTCTCATCTTTCGATCTGTTCCTTTTGTTCGCACTTTCGACCTGTTATCTGTACCGCTGGGTGTCGCTTCTCGTATTTTCCAAGTTTGCCATCCCTCTGGGTAGTGTTGCAGGTTGGCCTATACAGCAAGCGAGACTTTTGCCATTTGGTGTTCGACATATCCGATGTTTCCGAATATGGGCGTATGGTGACATGAGCGGTTATACTGGCGTGTGTGTGTAGCCGTAACATGCAGGCCCTTTCGCCTCATGGCTCTCCACCGCAACTTATGAAATGTGCATCAAATGTGCATCATGATATTGTTATGGCCAGCGACAAATGCTCCTTTAAACCCAAAAAAGGGTCTGTCGCTTGTAATCCAGGGTTTCCTTACCACACGCTGTACTATTGGCCGACTGGAACTGACGTTTTCCAACCCTCCAGACATCGAAGCTTGCACTCTCTGAATCTCTGGATGATAAGTGCGTAACTCACCTTCGATAAACACTTTTCAACTGCTCAGCTGCAAGTGCGGAGGAGGTCATTCGCAAGTTAACCGCCGAAGTATCGCAGCAGGTCCGGTCGCAACTGCCAGTAATAATGACTCTACCGAATGTGTTCTAGGTTGTGCAGGGTGTGTTCAAAACCCTGTCCGGTGTCATTGTGTCATGGCAATCCCATTTCATCCGCGAAACGTGAAACGGGCGTCAAATTTCTGATCTCTCGTGTCATACGCGCACCGTTCGGTTCGGGTTCTTCGAAATTACTGCCTTTTCAGGGGGCTCTGACGAGATTGAGCATGGTAATCACAACCCACCCTGTCGTTATACAGGTGCGAACCTTAATACCTGTCTGATTAGCTGGCCAACGGCAAAGCGTCTGATTAGTTGGCCAACGGCAAAGTGTCTCATGTCAAGCAAGTACGAGATAATGGGACTCGGCAACCGCATAGATATAAGACACTGTAAAACTGTGGAAATCGTCCGGATAGGTTCTCCCCTCTCCTCTGGCCTCTATCAGTTTCGGTGCGCCTACATATACCTGATATCAGTTCTTAATCTAATACTGTCACGCCCAGAACAATATGTCCCTCCCTTTTACGTCTGAAGCCCATTGTCGCGGTTGTCGCGATGACATCAACCTGAAGGAGCAGAAACATAAGGCCCAACAGAGATACATGGACCCTGATACTGGAAAATGCACGGAGCTTGTCGTTCAAGCGGTGAAACCAGCCCCCGGAACAAACCAGAAGAAGATAACCGATCAGACTCGGGCGACCCCCAAACGTGTTGTCTCGCTCTTCCGCCCTAAGACTTGTTCGACGAAGGACGTGTTGGTTTTTATATTGCTTTTTCCGTTCAGATTCCTCGTCTGCTCCATTCATTTACTCATCTGGCCGCTCGATGGTCTGCCGAAGGGAGGCATGGGAGGAGGCATCGATGTAACAGAATATCCGCCTTACCTCATGTATTATTGGGGCCACTTGTGGGCAGCTCGATCTCAGAAGGAACACTCTGCATTCGAGAATGGTAGGGAGAATCGCAAGCGTGCGTCATCCAGAACTGTTTCTGCGGCAAATGGTATCACCCGCCTTCTACGTCCTCGTCGCAAACGCGAAGATGACTCCCCTTCCACGATGCCTGTCGTTGCTTCTACTCCAGAGAGTACGGCTCGCAGCTTCTACCCTCATCGACTCGTCATTCTTCGCGATGATGACGTCTGGGAGGTCTGCGATGATCATGACAAGATAGCTCGCCATCGTTATTTCGCCGTCTCTTATTGCCAGAGGGACATGTTGGAAGAGGAGGAATTCATCATGTCGATCCATTCGGCTGCCCTGCAGTGCAAAATGAAGGCTTATTGGTTGGATCTCGAGTGCATGGGTAACACGGACGAGGAGAAGCATCTGGATGTTTACCAATTAGCAGACATTTACCGTGGTGCCGAATTCACCCTTGTCGCCCTCCCTAAATCGGATGATCCCACCGATGCTCAAAGTGGGGAAAGCTGGAGGAGTTGGAGCGACCGCGTGTGGACACTACCGGAAATCTTGTTGAGCAAGGAGTTGCGATTCATGGTTGGGCCGAAGGGTCCAGTGACCATAATCACTCTCCGTGAGCTCGCTAATTTTGCTTACGGACACGATAGCGAGGAAGCTGCGGTTGTCAATGCCTGCGGTGGCCTGGACCGCCTGTATCAGCTGGAACATCTGACCCTCCTGAAGGCCGTAATTTGGCGTCGAGGCAGTTCTTCGCAAGACCCAGAGAAAGCTCCACCAAAAGTGCAATCTCGGGCATCGAAGGGAATAGAACATCTTTCCTACGAAGCCGAGAAGGTGTACGCTCTGATGGCCTTCTTTGAACATCGAATCATGCCTTTCCCTCCTGAAAGCGATCTACATGCACTAGCCCGGCTTTCGATGATTAACGACGAGTACCGTATAGCAGAACGAATGCTTTCCATGTTCCCCCACGAAATCCCATCGACATCTTGCTGGTATGCCGACAATGATCAGTACAAAGCGCAGTTCTGGGACGTCGAACCAGAGGTTCAGGTTGCTGGAGTAACAGACAAGGGGGCGCTGGTTCTCGATGGCTGCCGAGCTGCATCCATCAGATGGAAGGATTTTCCAGAGGTCGGTGTTCAGACGACGGAGTCCGGCTTCCGTCAACTGGTCGCCAAAATCGCTGTATTTGGTATTCCAGGCTTCTATGCCCTTGCCGCGCAATGGATTCCATGGTTGTGGAGTAAAGTCTCCGCAGAGTCAAGTGCTGTGAGCGCGGACGCTTCGGCGTCGTGCAGCGGGAGCTCGTGTGCGTTCAAGCTTTCCCTTAGCCCCGCAGCGACAATTCTCGCCATCGTTATCTTCGGCTGGGCCACCTTACTTCTCATTCTCGGCCCATTCATGATCGCCTATTCGATTTCTGGACGTATTCTCTTCACGCAGCCATTCCTCATTGGAGTCAAAGGCGCCTTAAAGGTTGAAGAAGCTTCGCACTACCTCTATCGTGGATGGTTAGTGCGGCCTCGTCTTGCCTACACGACCAGTGGTTCCGTGCTTGCCGAGCATGCCGGGGAGGGGGATATACGGGAAGGGAGACAAGACCCAATATGATGAAGTTAAGAAGCTGAACAGAGACTGACCTATACACTCTGATTGACACGTCCACCGGAACTCTCTACTATTTCACTGCAAACCGCCCGCCGACGGTGTGTCTGTACACGGGGCGAGAGGGCGGGTTGGGTAGATTCGTGCTTTGCTCCGAAAACTGCACTGCGAATGAGCTTCACAAGGAGACGGTGTTGCGTATGCCTTCTCAAATCCACCGTTCCATGAGGTCCTGTGGTTGGTTGGCCATCGGAGGCACGGAGGAATGAAACTACAGGATATAACATGTCTTTTGATTGGTTGTGCGGTTACCAGGTAGATGATGTACATATACGTAGTACACTACACATTTACCTGTACTTCCGCTGTACTTGATTACTGCGAAGACCGAGAAAAAGAGCACAGAAAGTGACCGCTCGTCCTTTGATCTGTTTCCTACGCATGTATATCTGGCCTGTAGTCTGTGTTGCTAGGTGTGGCTCGCCGTATTTTCCGAAGCTGACAGAGTCCCTCTGGCTAGTATCAATTACTTGCAGTTTGGCCCATACAATAAGTCCCTTGCTCTCCGGTACTGAACCGTATCCGATGCTTCCGAGGATGGGCGCATAAATAAAATGGGTGGTTATACAGGCTGTTTTGCCTACGTTCACTCTCCACAGGGACTTATGGAATGCCTGTGCAGTCATGAGCAACGAGAAGTGTTGCTTTACATGAATGAAAAAAAGCATCCCTGCCGGTCTATCACTTGGACAGCAGGGTTTTTCTTACCACCCAACTGTGCTACTGGCTAGCTGCAACTGAAGTTTTCTACAGAAATCGAAATTTTGCACTCTCTAGATCTCTGAATGAAAAATGCATAACTCATCTTCGATAAACACTTTTTGACTGTCCAGCTGCAGGACATTCTCAGTTAACCCCGAAGGCATCCCTGCAGGGCCGGTCGCAACTGATGATGACTCTGCCAGATATGTCCCAGCTTGTGCATGGTTCAAAGGTAGTACAAGCCTGGCTGGGCGTCATTGTGTCATGGCGATCCCATTCCGTCTGCACAACGTGAAATGAACGCGAAATTTCTGGTCTCTCGATTAGCCAACGGCAATGTGTCTCACGGCAAGCGAGTTCGGGACAATGGGAGGCAGCAAAAGACGCTGTGAAACTGTACAAATCATCCGAATAGGTTCTCTCCTCTCCTCCAGCCTATATCAGTTTCAGTGTGCCTGTGGATACCCGATATCAGTTCTTAAAGTAGTTCTGTACACCCAGGACAACGCGTCCCTCCGCTTTGTGTCTGAAGCCAGTTGTCACGATGACACCAACCTCAAGAAGCCGTCATGTAAGGCCCAACAGAGATACATGAATCCTGATATTGGACAATATATGGAGCTTGTCGTCCAAGTGGTGAAAGCAGCCTCTGAAACAAACATAAAGCAGGTTGGGATCACTGATCAGACTCTGAGGGCCTCCAAGTTTGTTGTCTCGCTCTTTTACCCAAAGACTTGGTCAGCGAGATGGAGGTTAACGTCCGGGAGGCAACAAAGGACGAGCCTTGATGTGGATCTCACTGTTCGGGACACAGTTGAGCCAAAGCCGAATTGTAATACTTGCAGTGGGGCAAGTTCCGCATTAATGCAGGACACCACACTAGGATAAGGATCAACATCTCGTACGTGCATATGCTCACCTGCACCCGGTGTTTCTGTTCTACGTATACCCCTGTCCCCGTCCCTTGCCAGAACGAACTGAGTCAGCTGGCCATGACCTGCAAGACCAATGCCGGTGGCGGATGCGTCGCGACAGAATAAAGGGTCGTCTGGGAAGGAATGAACGATGCCGCAAAGGGATTGAAAGTTGCTTGAGAGGTAGGAGATTTGACCTGAGTATCGGCGGCGGTGGAGTGATTGGTTTGTTAGTTTGTAAGTGATAAAATGAGCTTGTACGCGCCTATTCGCCGATGGTCCTCATCGTTTACCTAGGTTGCATTACTGCTAAGTGGCAAGTCTGTAGAGGCAGAACGCCGTTCAACGATCCGTAGATACGCGAGTGTCCCCCTTGGAGGAGGAAAATGTAGATGTCTACGGTATCCTGGGATACAGGTGGTGGAGTGGAGTATAAGTTAATTTCGGAATTGCCGTCGAATGACGTGGATGTATCTTGCTCTTGAATGGGGGACTCCGGTCTTTGTACGACGGTCTGTACGTATGTCGAAAGGCCACCTTATTGTGACTGCAACCGACGTGTGCAATGCTGGAGCCCCTGAGTAACAACAACGCTTTGAAAGAGCAGACCGACGCAGTCGCATCTCGAGGCAACGCTACTTATCTGCACCAACTGTCAATACTGCAGGGAGGTATAGCATGAACATTGAAATATTGAAAACCCATGCGTGGACTGGCCGCATGGCAACACTCACATACCTTACATAATCACTCAATCACAAGTTGCAGCTTATGTACCCGGCCGGAATCAGTTGTTCCATGGCTCCACCCACTTTGTGGCCTCTTATGGCCATGTAATCCGTTGGTACGGCGAAAAAGGTGCTGGAAGGTCTTGGCTGGAATCTTACGAATGCGACCAACTGCTGATATATTTTTTATTATTTAAGGATAACACAGGCCTTCATCATGTCCCTGACACCCATTTTCGAGGTCATCCTTAGGTGACTGATAACTGATCGAGATTCGTCGATCCACGCCCTGACAAATTGCCGAAAAAACAAACACGACTTACCTAACCCCTGTTTGCAGTTCCCCTAGGGCTTGTGCTCGAGATCATTCTGCCAGTTATCTTGGCGTAGGTAGACGTGACCGCGTCCTTTCATGGATTGGTCGATTTTCAATCCTATCCAGTACATAACAATCTTCCAGCTTCAGCGTGGGTAGGTTGATTCCGTGTAGATATCTCAATTAGATGCCAATCAGCGCAAGCATGCTTATCGACGGCATTGCTATAAGAGTCCGTGTCGTGCGCGAAATATTCTGGTTGGACTCCTCATCACCCTCGGTGAAGGTGCGCTGGTTGACTCTGGAGGTTGTTCAGAGTTTAACCTTTCAGTGTGCTCAGGCAGTATGCTCCTCCCATTCATATCACCGCGACCTGAGGAGAGGCGCACTACTTGCCGCGACCTCAGCCTCAAGTGGAAAACCCATAAAGATAATCAGAGGTATTTAAATCCTGAAACCGGGATATGCACCAGGCTTCAAGTTCAGGCTATGCACCCCGTTCCAAACACAAATCAGGTCAACATTTCCGACAGCGTTCGGTGGGCACCGAAACTCGCCGTCTTGCTCTTCTGTGCCCCACCTTCCACCATTTCACAAATCATTCTCTGGCCTCTGAGGTTCATTCTGTGTTCCCTCTTTCTGCTCTCTTGGCCACTCGATGGTCTACCAGGCGGAGGGAGTTACACGGATATATACCCCGCATATCTGATGAGCTACTGGGGGCAATTGTGGGCTGCCCGATCGCGTAGGGAATATTCTATTTTCGATAAGATGGTCGAAAAGAGTCCGATGCCCACCCCTGCCGATTTTTCTGCCATTGTGAAGAGTATCACTCACGCTCTCCGCCCTCGTCGACTCGCCATATACGGCGAGAGCGGATAGTACCTTTGTGATAACCCGGATATTGTTATCAACTATCGCTACGTTGCCATCTCGTATCGACAGAGCGATGTCTTTCAGCGAGGCTTCGATGATGAAGGAAAGAAGAGGGAAGAGGAGCAGAAGAAGCAGTTCATCGAGTCGGTCCGTTCCACGACGTTGCAGTGCGGATTGCAGGTGTATTGGCTGGATCTCGAATGTTTGGGCGAGACCACAGAAGACAAGAACATTGACCTCTATCGGATGTCAGATATTTACCACGGAGCGATCTTCACTCTTATTACCCTTCGCAAGTCGGACGATCAGCACAGCATTGAGAGCTGGAGGAGCTGGGGTGGTCGTGTGTGGACCTTCCCAGAAGCGTTGCTGAGCGGGGAACTTCGTTACCGGATTGGGTTGGACGGACCTGTTACACCCATCACTCTTCACGAGCTCGCTAACAAGGCCTACGAGTACTACAGCGAGGAGATTGCGATCATCAATGCTTATGGCGGAAAGGATCGTCTAGACCGATTGGAACATCTTACTCGTCTTAAAGCTGCGATTTGGCGTCGAGGCAGTGCAGCTCTGCCCAAAGCTCGGGACCCAGAAAAGCAGCGCCCGCAAACTGCGCAGCAGCCCCAGCTCCAGCAAACGGGGTCACCAAACCTTTCCTATCCTGCCGAGAGAGTTTATGCTTTAATGGGCTTCTTCGAACATCGCATCATGCCAAGTATCCTTGAAACGGAGCTACAGGCCCTAGCCCAGCTTTCGATGGCCAACGATAGCAATCGTATGGCGGAGCGGATGGTTTCGATGCTTCCGCAGGACATCCAACCTCAAGCTTGTTGGTACGCCAACGACGATCAGTATGAATCGGAACTTTGGGACATCGAACCAGAGGTTAATGTTGCCGGAGCAACTGAGAGGGGTGCATTAGTTCTCGATGGTTGTCGAGCAACATGCATCTGCTGGGAGGACTTTCCAGAGATTTCATTCCGGAGGACAGAGTCGATAAGGCGAACTATTGCCGGCAGAATACCAGTCACTCTTCCAGGCTGGTGCTTTATGCAGCAATGTGGATGCTGATCCCTGCAACTGTATCAGTTGGTACCGCCTTCTTTACATGTGCAGCATTCATGCTGGTCTCTGGTCCTTTCCTGACCGCGTACTCCATTTCTGGTCGCATTCTCGCCACACAACCTTGGCTTATCGGAATCAAAGGCGTGATGTCACCCGAAGAGGCTGCAGCCCACATTTATGGTGCAATGTTGTCTAAGCGCCAACGCCTATTCTTTACCCCCAGCGGTTCGCTGTTTGCTAAACCAGCAGAAGATGAGATCTGACAAGGACTTGGAAGTCAATATGACGAAGCTTTAGCGCAGACCGGGGACGACATTTACACACTAATCGACACGTTCTCGGGGACAATCTATTATTTCACTGCGAAATGTCCCCCCACAGTATGCCTTTTCACTGGACGTGAGGGCGGACTGGGTCGCTTTGTACTCTTTGTACTCTGCTCGGAGAACTGTTGCCAATGAGCTTCGCAAAGAGGTGGTACTACGCATGCCTTCCCACATTCACCGAGTCATGATTCCCTGTGATTGGGTTGCTATTGGTGGCACGAGAGAATGAAGATATCGATATCGAAGCATTTGATTTGCGTGTTTGGATATAGTTGTCTTGCAGGACATACATACTTTGTGACGATCTACCTTCCTTACTACCACCAATAGCTTGTTGAAGCTTGATACCAGTAGTATAATATGCAGATATATGCTTCAGTCTCGTCCTGTATGGGGGAAAAGAAAGATAGCATGCGCACATCCAAACACTGCAGAACAGGAGAAGGATATCCATGTATGAAGTCGATGGCAGTTTCGAGCCTGCGAAAGCTCTCACCAAGGGGCCGCCGCTGCACTGTTCCTGGGCCGTTTAGGTGGCCACCAGTAGGACTAGCAACAACAGGAGTTGCCCTTGCCCCAACTGACCAGTGACGAGGTGCTACGCTCGCTGTGCTCAGGGTGACCCATACCAGGTCCAGTGTATATCGAGGTGGGAGTCAAGGCAACTGGGGGGGGAGCGAACTTCTTGCCTAACCTTACCATGCGGCGACCATACTGGGACACGATACTCCATTGCCATGCCATACAATGGGCATTCACTCCACCCTCAGCGGACAAAGTGACATAGATATCTATATATTTTGACGGTTAGCAAGGGTTATGAGGGAGTGTGGGTTTTTGAGATTCAGAAACAGTATACGTGCACGCCTCCGAGAGGATGCCATTTTTGTTTCAATGTTCTGCTGATGCTGATGGAATCTCGCCACCCTACGCCCTTCGAAGTGGATGACAATTTGGCGCCCACGTACCAGAATGAATAGAAAGTCGCTCCTGAAAAGATGCACTTCTTTAGCTGCTACGAGGCCGTGTTGCGGTTCCAGCCTTGTCTCACACATGTGGTACCTCTTCCGACTTGTGAGTGGTTGGGCTGGGCCAAGCCGCTCGAGAAGGTGCTTTAGTGACAGGTGAAGCACAACAAGCTCGAGAGACACCACCATACGCTGTAGCTTACAGTATGTATCTCGCTGTAGAGGCTCAAGAAAGAAAATAACAACCTTTTTCTCTAATTATCATTGGTAGCTACTGACAAGTAAGAAAGAGGGCGAGGAACGTAGGCACACAGTAACGAGCAGGCGAGGTGAAGGTTCGCTACCGGAGAAAACCGGCACCATGTAAGTCGGGTTCTTTCCTTTTTCTCGACGTATCAGCTTCTGGGATAAGTCCTCGCTGTAACAACTCATCGGTCTGACGAACAAGAATAACAAATGTGAAACACCACAGGGCGAGAACTCTGGATTTCAGTTCTTGTCGGCATCACACTCACTATTACTTATGCATATCATGAACAGGCCGCCCTAACCTTACTGTCCCTACCTGCTTGAGGTCACAATTAGGATGGCCTTGTAGCTGCAAGCTCCATTCGTTCAGGCCACTCTCAGGGTCACAGCCAATGTCAGCTGCGCTACTTCTCATATGTGGCCAGCTAATGTTTTAGTGTGAGTATATTCCAAACCAGCGTGTCACTAGCGATCGGCACCAGTAACTGGTTTATGTACATGCTGAGTGCTCTACATGTCAGAAGAATAATTTGCTTTCGTGACTGACCGAAGTGTGTGGCCCAGTCAACAAGGGCCGCAGGTGCTCAGGCGGCAGCGCTGGACAGGTAAATAGAATGGAAGCTGGAGAATGTGCGTGATGACGTTAAATGAAAGAAAGTTCACCACAAGTTGATCATTTATCCATGTTAGTTCTGCAGGTTATGATCAGCACACTCACAAAGATTTCAACTTCTTTGTGAAATTGTTCAACCTTGGGCTAATTGAACTAGGAACCACTCTTCGTATTTTCCAAGGCCGATGTCTGGCAAATTTGTAACGCAGGTTGGCCTATACAGCAGGTCCCTTGCCGCTCGGTACTCGAATCATGTCCAACGTTTTCAAACATGGACACATAAATAAAATGGGCGGCTATACCGATGGCATGTGCGTAGTCGTAATATGCAGAACGTTGCGCCTCATGGGAAACGTTCATTCTCCGTAGGAACTTATGGAATCTCCTGTGGTTACGGGCAACAACAGGTGCTGTTTTATGCAAACTAGAGAAGCATTTCCGCCGGACCATCGCTTTTAAAGTAGGGTTTTTCTTACCACGCGCCGTACTATCGGCCGGTTGCAACTGAAGTTTTGCAACCCTCCAGACATCGAAGTTTTCACTTTTTGAATGACAAGTGCATGCTGGCGCTAAACAATTTTCCTCTACCCTGTTGCGAGCGTGGTATAGGTCATTCGCAACAGGACCGGTCGCAACTGATGATGTCTGCTAAATATGTTTTAGCATGTGGATGGCTCAAGAGCGGAGCAAGCCTGGGCAGGCATCTTTGTGTCACGGCAACTACGTGCCATGCGTGAAGGTGAGATGAGCGTCAGATATCTAGTCTTCTTACATCCGCACCTTTCGGTTTAGGTTCTCTGAAATTCTTGCCTTCTCAGGTGTTCCATTGGGAGCAAGCATGGAAATCACGTCCCACCTGTCGTTCTACAGATGTGCAACTTAATACCTGCGTGATCGGCTGGCCAGTGGCAACGTGTCCCGTGTTGAGCGGGTAGCGGCACACAGAGATATAAGATGCTGTGAAACTGTATAAACTGTCCAGGTAGTTTTTCTGCCTTCCGCCGGCCTCCGTCAGTTTCGGTACGCCTGTAGATGCGCCTGATATCGGTTCTAAAACTAACACTGTCACACCCAGGACAACATGCTCCTCGCCTCTTCTGTGCCCAAAGCCAGCTGTCGCGACGATATCAGCCTGAAGAAGCATTCACATAAGGCCCAACAGAGGTACATGGATCCTGATACTGGACAATGCACAGAGCTTGTCATACAAGCTGTGAAACCAGCCTCTGGAACAAACATACAGCAGGTCAGGATCACTGATCAGACTGGGAGGATCCCCAAGCTTGTTGTCTCGCTCTTCCGCCCGAAGGATAACAAGCGGATAGACGTGATGGTTTTCGTACTGCTTTGGCCGTTTAGATTCCTCATCTGCTCCATTCATTTGCTCTTCTGGCCGCTCGATGGTCTACCAAAGGGAGGTATGGGAGGAGGCATCGGTGTAACAGAATATCCGCCTTATCTCATGTATTATTGGAGCCAGTTATGGGCAGCGCGATCTCAGAAGGAGCACTCTGCCTTCGAGAAGGCTGAGGAGCATCCCAAGCAAGTGCCTCCCAAAGCTGCTTCAAATTGTATCACCCACCTTTTACGTCGTCGCAAGCTCGAAGATGGCCTCCCCTCGACACCCCCTGTCATCACTTCTCCTCCGGAGAGCACGGCTCACGGCTTTTACCCTCGTCGACTCGTCATTGTTCGCGATGATGGTCGCTGGGAGGTCTGCGATGATCATGACAAGATAGCTCGCCATCGTTATTTCGCTGTCACCTATTGCCAGAGCGACATATTGGAGCACGGGAAAGAAGAGGATTTTATCGCATCGATCCATTCGGTCGCCTCGCAGTGCAAAATGAAAGCGTATTGGCTGGATCTCGAGTGCATGGGTGACACGGAGGAGGAGAAGCATCTGGACGTCTATCAGATGGCAGACATTTACCGCGGTGCCGAATTCACCGCCGTTGCCCTTCCCGAATCCACCAACGCTCAGAGCGGGGAACCCTGGCGTAACTGGAGTAACCGCGTGTGGACACTACCGGAAATCTTGTTGAGTAAGGAGTTGCGATATATGGTCGGACCGGAGGGTGAAGTGACGACGGTCACTCTCCGTGAACTCGCTAATCTTGCCTACGGGCCTGACAGCAAGGAAGCTGCGGTTGTCAACGCTTGCGCTAGCATGGACCGCCTGTATCGGTTGGAACATCTGACCTTCCTGAAGGCCGTGATTTGGCGTCGAGGCACCTCCTCGCAAGACCCGGAGAAGCCTCCGCCGAGAGCGCAATCTCGGGCGTCGAAAGGAATAGACAACCTTTCCTATGAAGCCGAGAAGGTGTACGCTCTGATGGCCTTCTTTGAACATCGAATCATGCCTTTCCCTCCTGAAAGCGATCTACATGTGCTAGCCCGGCGTTCGATGATTAACGATGAGTACCGTATAGCAGAACGAATGCTATCCATGTTCCCCCAAGATATCCCATCGACATCTTGTTGGTATGCTGACGGTGATCAGTACAAAGCGCAGTTCTGGGACATCGAACCAGAGGTTCAGGTTGCTGGAGTAACAGACAGGGAGCCCTGGTTCTCGATGGCTGCCGGGCTGCATCCATCAGATGGAAGGATTTTCCAGAGGTCGGTGTTCAGACGACAGGGTGTGGCTCCCGTCAACTGGTCGCCAAAATAGCTGTATTCGGTATTCCAAGCTTGTACGCCTTCGCCGTGCAGTGGATTCCGTGGCTGTGGAGTAAACTCTCCCGAGAGTCAGGTGATGTAAGCGTGGACGCTTCGGAATCGTGCAGTGGGAGCTCGTGCATGTTCAACATTTCCCTCAGCCCTGCGGCGGCAATTCTCGCTGTCGTTCTCTTCGGCTGGGCCACCATACTTCTCATCCTCGGCCCGTTCATGATCGCCTATTCGATTTCTGGACGTATTCTTTTCACGCAGCCGTTCCTCGTTGGAGTCAAAGGTGCCTTAAAGGTTGACGAAGCTTCACACTACCTCTACCGTGCGTGGTTAGTGCGACCTCGCCTCGCCTACACGGCCAGTGGTTCCGTGCTTGCCGAGCATGCGGAGGGGGGTATCCGGGAGGGCAACCTGACCCAATATGATAAAGTCAAGGAGATGGACGACCTATACACTCTAGTTGACACGTCCACCGGAACTCTCTACTATTTCACTGCAAAGCGCCCGCAGACGGTGTGTCTGTACACGGGGCGAGAGGGTGGGCTGGGTAGGTTCGTGCTTTGCTCCGAGAACTGCGCTGCGAACGAGCTTCACAAGGAGACGGTGTTGCGTATGCCGTCTCAAATCCACCGTTCCATGAGATCCTGTGGTTGGTTGGCCATCGGAGGCGCGGAGGACTGAAACTACTGGATATAGGATGTCTTTTGATCGGCTGTTCGTTTACTAAGTTGATCGTGTACATGCATGTAACTGTGCCTCGGTCGCGCTTACTTGCATCCGAGCTCTATAACCTTTGTCCAATATATGTCAGTCTCAATATTATATACCGTCTCTGGTAGTATATCGGTTAGTACACCCGCCTGTCATGACTTGCTCACGGTGCGCGGGAGAGCGGGGTTCGACTCCCCGCCAGAGAGATTCTTTTTTTTAATGACCCCTTTCCGGTTGATTATGTCATAGAAGTGTTGCCTCGTATGCTGATTGTCTTTCGTTGGTCACAGTAAATGAAACCATGAACAGCGTTTCGTTTCCAATCCAACTTGTCACTTTCATTCGCAGACTCGTTAATGTCATTTCAACGATCTCTCTAACCAACCATTACTTGTTCCCAAGGATTCAAGTGGAAAACCGTCTTTCCGAACACCAAGCAAGACCCGGCATCGGACCATATTCGCCGTTGTTAGACTCGTCGCTCAACGATAGATGGGACTGGCTGAGACCTGCTTACAAGTTTAGTTGGTCTAGTACTGTGAAGCCAATTTGGTCGAGCAACTCGAGAGACAGTCTGCAGCTAGGACTCCACAAAGAACATATAGCAGGCAGGTCTAGCTCTTGCCAGCCAACCGAACCGAGCCATTCATTCTCCCTAGTAACCACTTCTAACCAAACAAGGGGCTCCGTCTCTCCATCGGAGACCTCACTACATGCATCGGAAGCATTAGAATTTCAATCCAGCATATCAGTCTCGATAACCAAGGTGGTTGCTTCTAGTTCAAGTCCAAACGTTGATCTCACCACGCAAGATGCCATTCACCGTTTAATGAGCAACCCAACCCTTTTCGATCCCATAAGAACACCTCGTTATCCTATCGTCCTCTGTCATGGTATGTACAAACCCGTGAATATCATCGGCACTTCGCCAGACATACCCAGGCTTGTATGGATTCGATGCTAGGGGACCCTCCGCATTTCCAAGTCTCCGGTACCATTATTGGTCGAATGTACTCGCTATCTTGAAGAAGAAGATCGGCGCAGAAGTCATTGTTACGGCTGTTCCTGGGTAAGACGCGAGCATACTATTGTTGCAGATCAATTGAGGGTCATATAGGACCGGATCGATAGCAGCCAGAGCTGAAGCATTGGACCGTATTCTGCAACAAAGAGCGACTGGTCGGGGCGTAAACCTTATGGCCCACTCGATGGGAGGACTGGACTGTCGCCATCTTATCACTCATATCAAACCAACCGATTATGTCCCCCTTTCACTCACTTCAATCAGCACACCTCATCGTGGGAGTCCCTTCATGGACTGGTGCGCAGTAAGTGTCTGTTACTAACTCGGCGATCTGTAAAGTTTGACGTTACTACTTCAGCAAAACCTTGGACTTGGGAGGAGGACAGACTCACATGTACCGGAATGCAACGACGCGTCATCCAATTCCGACTCGGACAAGCACGAGTTTGTCCTCTCTCTCGCATCGCTCCCCTCGTCATTCACAACTCTCATCCTGTCCTACCTTGATTCTCCGGCGTATGCAAATTTGACGACTTCGTATCTCAACGACATCTTCAACCCATCGACACCAGATGATCCACGCGTCAAGTACTTTAGCGTCGTCTCGCGCATCGATGAAATGAACATTTGGCATCCTCTATGGCTTCCGAAGATGGTTCTCGATGATGCAGAACGAAAGGCGAAAGAGTTACTCAAGGCACGCATGGGAGGCAAGTATTCCGGCGAGGGAGTCCCTCCTTGGGAGCAGGATGATCAATGGGGAAACGACGGCCTGGTTACTGTACAGAGTGCTCGGTGGGGCGAGTTTTTGGGCATCTTGGAGGGATGCGACCATTGGGATATTAGAAGCTGGGGAGGGTCATTAACGGAGTTCAGCATCGGCCTCCCCTCTGTGTCAATACCACTCAGTGGGCTCACACATCGCGCCGGGGCAGATGGATGGTCTCTCGGAGACTGGACACGGTTTATTGGCGCGTGGAGAAAGCAAGATAAGGGCACTGAAGCTGGACTACAAATGAGCACAGTGATGTCGCAAGCCGATGCTCTTCCGCTGTCCTCGTTGCAGGAGACAAAGTCGGAACGGGAGGAGAGGAAGCAGAGAGACGAGACGGATCCGGTTGTCAAGGCTTCTACAGACAAACTCTCTGCAGTTTTCGACTGGATCGTGGAACAAGTCCCGCCCCCCGGCAAGCCCTCGTCACCTAACAGCCAGCCACAGTCCGAGAAACCCGCCCGAAGAGATTTAGTCACGAAGATGGACCTGGAAAGATTTTACATATCGCTCACTCGCAAGTTGTACGACGAAGGTCTTTGAGGGTGGATTCCAGGACACGTACGTATATACAGTACATAATGACCTGTTGTATGTATATAAGACACAAGTTCTAGTGGCGCCAGTTGAGTGTTACAACTTCAAGAACACTCGAAGAACACATGTACATTACGTCTCGAAGTCTATATGCTATGTACAACACGTGAAGTCCATTGTTTATTGTGCAAGATCCCGGGCGAAGTGGAAGAAGTCTACGTTAGAACCATTCACACCGTACTTATAGATCTGTGCGAGTTAGGTCAGTAACTCCAGCATCAAACCAATGTGTAAGTCGGGACTCACGAAGTGGGAAGCAACCCAGCTAGAGAACAAGGCACGTTGATACGATTCCGGGAGTCTATCCAATAGGGTATCTAGCCCGACCTGGTCAACTAGTGTCCTGGGGATCGCTTTCTGTATGACGCCCTTCCTGCTTGGAAGGTCGTTGAACAAGTCCGACGCCTCAAGCTCTGCTTGAAGGTCATTGAGGGTACTCGAGAGTTCATCCGAAATCTGGGTGCGTGACTTGGCACCTTGGAGACGCGCGTGCTCCCGCCATATGCACTGGAACTCGGCCGCGGCGTTCTCAGTGATCTTGGACTGGATGTCCTTCACGTAGCTCTTGTAGAAGTCAGACGGTTTGCCGTCCTTAAAGATCATGAGATCGACATATTCTTCGGTAGAGAGTGCGAGACCAGCAAGAACTTCCAGCGAGGAGCTCGTCACGCCACCTGTTAGCGTATAGTTTTAAGTTAGCGTGCGTAAAAGTGGGCTTGGAAAGCGTTTCTAACCTTTGTTAGCACTGGAGTCCTTGAAAAGGATGACCTTCCGCTTTTCGAGAAACATACGTGCTTGTTGCGTGAAAAAGAGATTGGCGCCTTCGACGATGTACTTGTAATGAGGTTTGCCTTCCGTATCGACCAAGCCCGCTACATTCGAAATGTTCACCGCCTCGGGACTAAGAGAGCCGTATCAACACGACTGATTACCTCACTGCAGGACTAATAACTTACCGCCCACCACAAGGTACGAAGATGTCCGCCTTAAAACGGAAGTGTGCACCATTCCTGAAGTCAGTTCCGTCAAGCACAATCTCTCCGGCTAACAATACGGATGCCAATCAGTTGTATGTCATAATGAAACGTAAGGATCACAAGGGAACAACGTACAGGGCAACTTGACATCTTGGTCCTCGACCTTGACAAGATAACCGTCCTTGCTCAGCTTGGACTTGTCGAAGTTGCATACAGGCACACGGAGCTTGGCGAGGCGAACGAGTTCTTCGCGGTTGAGGCCCTGAGGGTCGGCGGCGACACCACTCCCGTCAATAACCGCGACGGTCTTATCAGAACTCAACAAAATTTCGTCTGATCGTATCCATTAGTTCTCAAAGCCAACATCGGAGTCACCCGGAAACGACTTACTCGATCCAAGATCACCATCTACACGCAAAGCATCATAAGTACCAAGGATCAAAGCAGTAGTGGACTACGTACCGGGTCCACCCGTCTGCACCTTAGTTACGTCCTTTTCTCTGAGACCGAGCTGCTTGTATATTCCGAGGACATATTGCCGGATTGACAGTGATGTCATTCCATAGGTATCGTGGGGAACACCGCCGAGTCGTTGAGCACTCTTTCCGGTAGTGAACGACTTCCACCACGTGTCTGCGCCGCGGTCGCGTGCATGCACTGTATTGTCGGCACCGGTGAGTAAATGTGCATGGATGATGAAAAAGAATGCTTACTGGCCGCCCAGTCCATCATATCGGCAGTACCCTCTGCATAACGAATAAGATGTCAGGAAGGAAGGTAACTGCAAGAGCCAACATCCCTACCATCAGGTCCGAAGAAGAGGAGCTCAGGTTTGCCGTACAAATCAACTAAATGCTCCTTGATTCCTGGAGTTTTTCCGGGGATCAAGAGATCCAGGACAGCCTGAAAATTTTGTCAAATCATGACACTGGTTTCATACTGAAGCTTCTTACATCTACATATTTTTCGAAGCACCGTCTTGGGTTCGCTCCAAGCCTGCAGAACAAGTATAACCAAACCCCTCGCAGGGAAATATATAGGAGACGTACGAAGGCAGAATAGTTCCCTTGGCGCCGCCTTCAGGTATGTCCTTGTTCTTCAACGACTGTGTCGCAGCCAACCCATAGTTCTCGTCGAACAACATCCGCTGATTGATAGAGTAGTTCCTACAATCCGCTTGATCGACAAGGAATACATATAACCTGAAGCAGATTCTTACTCTTTGTTCCTCGACATCACGATGCGGATGCCGCCACGAGCGACGTCCCTAAACCGGAGGTGGAAGCCGCGGAACTCATTCCCAATGACAAAGTACATCCCGAAAGGTTGCTTGGGGTACTCGATCTCTGGCAAGAAATCCGGTGCAAGACGGAAAGACAGGGCAACCTTTGTCGGCTGGTAAAAGTTGGTCTTCAGAACATGTCTGAATGCAGCCGTGAGCTTTCGTTTCTCTCTTGAGATTAGGAGGTCAGACTAACTTGTTGAAAATGAGGAAGCTCTCGAGGACTTGGAGATCCTGTTTGCTAGGGACTGAACGCCTAATCTTGTCATATAACTCTGCGTCCGAAAGAGGTTGAGTAGTTTGCAGTCGCTGGTAAGACAACGTAGGCCTGTTTCGCTCGTCAGATATGGAGTAATACATTTACATTTATAACGCCCAACATACATGAGGGAGGCGTCGGTCGCGGCAGGATAATGGATCATCGCAAAGTTGACATACAACAGACGGATCTATGACTTTGTTAAAAATCGAAAGCAGGCTTATTACAGCCGAAACTTACGAGCTCTGAGTGCGCATGAATAACTTGCGCAATACTTTCACGGGTGAACGTTTCTTCTCGAAAACGTCTCTTAATGTTATTCAGGACCTCTGCATGAGCAGGATTCGATTCGTCAAGAGTATTTTTCAACTGAAGGTACGCAGGCCCGAGGCGGTTGCAGAAGTGTTGTGCAAACACCCATCCGCAGTCTGGGTAGGTCCGTCAGCACCGTCATCTGTACACTTAAACGATATAAACGTACAGGCGTATGTAGCTTCCTGAACAGCATGGTTTGCACCAGAAACGTCCAGGAAGAATGGATTGTCGGGGAGGCAATAAAGCAACGAAGCCTCCTTCATAACCTGCACTATAGAATTCTCGATCGGCGGAGCGGTAGAGTTGGGCAATGGATTGAGGTACAGCGAAATGACGGTGACACCATTGGAGAACTGCTCGACGTACTTCCGCGCTGAGTACAGCTGGTAATAATGATACAGGTTGGACAGTGCGCTACAAGGTGTCAGTTACGTGATCCTCGCATGCTATACGGTAAAAAAAATATAACACATACCTAAAGAATCGGGAAGTCCCTCCCATCTTGTACCCGATGACAAGGCGCCTTTCGCGGCTACCTTCGACCTCAAAAACCTCCATAACGGGACCGGAACGACTCTCGACCTGCCACATGATCTCTTGATATACTTGGAGTGTATGTTCGGTCGCTCTCTCAAGAAAAGAGCGATCCGAAACGGTGCGGATGTCGGTCTTTCCATCTGTGCGCGTCGAAGGAGGGGGAGGGGAAGGGAAATTACACTTGGTGATGAAGTAACAGCGGAGTTGTTGAGAAGCGGTTGCAGAGATGGATCCAGTTGAACGATAGGTTTCTAAGCGGTAGCACTTTTCTGACGTGGAATTATCCAGGTACAGTTCATCAATTCTATAGGATATGATGAGCAAATGGACGGATGAAAGGTTGTGTGGATCGAGTCCATACCTGGACTCGCAGGTGGCGCCAGGGCCCTCTTTAGACGTAAGACCGGGGCGACTGGTGTGAATGAACGTGGCACCATTTCCTTTCTCGTCAATCTTTTCTAAATCGATGACAAGCTTATTGGGGTCGTGCTTTGTGAAAGCGAGGACTTTAGCGCCGAAGAGCGCAATGATATGATCAGAGATAACGGAGACGGATTCATTCTGGAAATATGTGTCGTCAATGCCGAGGTGGGAGTAGAACCAGTTGACTTCGTTGGCGACGAGTTCCCGTGGCATGAAGCCCTGTGGTGACGTATGAGATCATGCGCACCCCAGTGTCACTGTCAGCATCACGAGGTACCTTATTTGCTACTTCAGCCTGGACTTTGGCGCGCTGCTCTTCCTTTTCTTTGAACACCGGTGTGGTGTACCCCGGGAGGTTCTTGACTCGTTGCAGCGACGCCTCGCTGATGGTCCTGGACGTGCCATTGGGACGGGGAGGCACCGATCCTGGTTGAGGAGGATTTGGAGACATTCTAACTATTTGGAAACTTGTCCGGATGACGAGGGCGACGGGGAAGTATTAGTGAATGAACGCCAGTGGATGGGGGAATTGAGACAGGGAATGCGGGGTGCAGCTAAATATTTATATGCGGCTGGCCATGGCCTAATACAGCACGGGCGACCGAGACCAGCTAAGATCCGTTGGACTTGGGACACTCGGGTATCTTAACGAATACGTGAATGCCAAATATACAGCCGTGTTTCATTTCAGCCTACGAAATGGATAGACTCTCAGAATATATTTTACTGGCGATACTGCGATGGCCGGCGCCGGCATCAGCGAGGAAGTGTTCGCCATCAGTACAACTCGCGAAACCTTCTTAGTTGAGTCCTCGCAACGAAAAAAAACCCGACCGCACGGTCACCATCGCATCGATCATATCAACCGTTATTCCGGCGATGGTCTTCTAATAGATCGCAGGCCACCAAACCCCAGCAAATTGTTAAGATCCGGACAGAATTTTTGAGTTCACCAGGCCGGGTACGTGTCACTAGCGGGCATCGCCAGCAGGCACCGTCCGACTCAAAAGCACGGCAGAGTATTATTACGAGCATTTCACATGACGCCTTCTTACCCCACTCTGAGTTAAGTCAGTCCCACACCCATGGTCCATCGGAGTATTCGGCAGCCGTCCGTACATGGGAGTATATTCGTAGCTACAATAAAGAATTACTTACTAACTGATTAGACCGAATTGGTCTGCCAACCTGATTGCTCCATACCTGCCAACCCATCCCGCACGTACTCGTCATACAACGGTTTCCAATCCTTATGCCACCGGCTCAAGGCGGGTCGCCTCTCCACCACATCCGATGCTGCCCACATGATCCGCAACTGATTCAGGTCGTGTGTCGTCTCGTTGTCCGGACAGATAATATAGAACTCCCCATGGCGCACACCATCTAGCATGTATTGAACCGCCTCTTCAGCAGTCCACGCACCCGCAGGCTTCTCTCCACCCTGTGGGGCTGTCAGGCCAGTGTGCGTCCAGCCAGGGCTGCACGAAAAAATAATAATAGTTTGTCAACCGCCGCGGTCACGTAGAACCCCTCAGGGATATCAAACTATACTCACACAAAGAGATGTGCGGTGACATTACATGACGGGTTTTCGCGCAACTCGTGTGCAAGACCCTCAGTGAGGCTCTTCACCGCCGCCTTGGTCGCATTGTACGCGGGATTACCCCTAGTGAGGTCACGTGGGCGTCAAACGTTCGTTAGTAAACAGTCGATATCCGAGATCAATCAGTAATCGACAACGTACGGAGGGTTTGTGATGCCCTGCTTTGAACCCGTATTGATAACTATCGCCTGGTTTTCCTGATGGAGCATCGACTATAACATGACAGCGTAAACATCCCATGATCAGATTGCGTGACCCCAACAGCCAAGGATGAAGGATCAGGTCATACCCGTACGAAAGTTTGTTGCACGTTCACCACTCTGGAAACACGTTTAAAACAATATTCCGGAACGTTCACCCGAACACAGACGCAACAAATACGTACCCGAATAAATTGACTTCAAATGTCCTTCTCCAATTCTCTAAATTATCCCAGGACTTGCTTGGGAGAGCTATTGCAGCATTGTTCATCAGCACGGCGACCTAATTTCGTCGTGAGCAACCATTCCCTCTTAACTCCAAGAAGCGGTGCAATTTCGGCTCGGACTCATTAATTGGGCCCGAATGGCATAAAATACTCACCTCTCCCCAAGCCTCGTAGACCTTGTCGCGCAAGCACACAACGTCATCTATCTTCGAGACGTCGGTGGGAATCACGAGGATGTTGCCGTCGCCCGCGATCGCGGTAACCTCTTTGCCAGCTGCGGTCAACGCTTCCTCGTTGACGTCTGCAAGGGCAATCTTCAAGCCCACCCTAAGTAAGTGTTTGGAGAAAGAGGGAGTGCGACCGCAGCGGCACCCGACGAAATGGGAAGAGTCAATCGCAAAAACCGATCACCGTCACGAGGCAGTGATAAGTGGGCGTGTGTTACGGCAAACGCAAAACCAAAATGAGGCAAGATCGGAAAGTAAAGTAAATGAAGAAAAAAATGAAATGAAAAAAGGTCGAATCGTGGCAATATTGGTGTGTAACGGGGAACAACCGATGGGGAACGACGACGGCGATGCTTGTAGTGAGTATCCCGCGCAGCCAAAGCGACGGCACCTACGCACTTTGCCAGCTCGATAGCGGCAGCCTTGCCAATACCACTTGCAGCACCAGTGATGACGGCAACTCTCCCGGTATGGATGACTGGGTGGACATCGCTATCAATTGGGGACATGACCTCGACTCGTCTGTATGACGATGCGGTACGAATCGGGGGAGGTCTGAGAGGTGACGGCCCGTGGTCAAGAGGCATGGTCGTATGATGCGCCGTCCGATATCACGTCTTTCTATGGTGGGAATCAGCTATTGCAAGTGGCAGGCGGGTATACAGGCAACGGATCACTGATTACTCACAAGAGGTCAAAAATTAGGAGAAAAGCAAAAAAGACCAGTGTGAATGGAAACGAGCTCGCAACAGACTGTTCTACTGGAGCTGAGGAGAAGTACAAGCCTGTTTCAAGTCTCCACCGCTTTATATACTCTGCTTGGAACACTAAACAAGATATGACCATGCAGGCGTTGGGAATACTCCGCTGTTCCAGACAGGCCCAAAAGTTGCCACCGTCTGTCCCTGCCTGGCAGGTTCCTGCACACAAAAATATCGACACACGTCCCAAACGTCGCGGAACATGCCCGAAAGCCCGATAACTACGTATTGTACATTCGCAGATTGTCCATTCATACCAGCCAAGTGTGTGCTGTCATAGAGTATGTACCTAGGGAACACATTGTAGATCATAAGAACACTAGACAAAACAAAAAGAACGATCATAACAGCCTTGTGGACTTCACTCGTACTTATCCCTCCTTCGCACCGTCAGCAGCAACACCCGCGTTGAAACCTGGAGGCGTCTCAATACCCATCTTCTTCCTCACAACCTCAAATGTCTTGAGCATCTTGCGCCTCGCACCGAGTGCGGCCACTCCCTTGGCCTCCAGTTCCGCGTCGTCCAATACCACCATATCCTGCCATTTCATCTTTTCGAAATTAGGGGTGTATTTGTGTAGCCTCAGGCTCCTGAGCCAAGCCGGTATATCCACCAGCAATGCAGGATCAACGTCATCATCGTCCTTCTTGGTCCCCGCGCCATTCCCTCCAGCGCCGTTCCCACCTGAAGAGCCCGTCTTCGGTCCAGGAGACCGGCCGCCTCCCCGGCCCCTGTTATTTGGGTTATTGTTACTGCTGTTGCCTTGCAATGCAGCTTGTTGAAGACTCAACCAGTTTGGCTGCGCAAGTCCAGCGGTAGCCATCTGAGCCGCAATCATTTGCGCTTCGGGAGTCATCCCCATTGCGTTCATTTGTGCTTGTAAATTCAACATGTTCATCTGCAGCGGGTTCATTCCTGCCAAAAGACTAGCACTTGGCATGCCCATCCCCAAACCAGGACTTCCCAATCCGGCCATGCCAAAACCGCCCATACCCAATCCGTTCAGGGCAGAAGCATTGGCGTCCTCTCCACTGAACCTGCTCGGCTGTTGCAGTGCGGGACTCCGAGTTCCGTTCCATTGCCCTTGTTGTGTGCCTGGGAACTGCACGCTATTGCTCGACGGGACTTGTGTAGGGTTCTTCCGTTGCAAGGGTTGTTGAGAGGAAGCAAGGCTACCCTCGTTCTCGTATGCGCTACCAGCGTCGGAGCCAGTGATGTTCTGGCTGGTATTACCCTTGGAGGGGCGGCGGAAAGACTTTGGATCCGCCATAAGCGGGACGCGAGGTTGGGAACCATTCCAATCGTTGAGCTTTTGGGCAGCTGCATCGAGATTCTGAGTAGAGCTATGCCCGTCTTTGTTAAACATGGGAATCAATGGGGTGTTGACGTTGCTCGCCCAGCTGTCGCCGACCATGGGAGACAATGGGTCAACACCAGTGCGTGAAATACCCAGAGACCCGCTAAACTCTGTACTCTTGGGTCGCGAAGCGTTGCTACTATTAGGTACTATGATCTCCTGCGCAGGGGAATTGAGATTCTGCTCGGCAACTTGGCTAAGGGCAGACCCCCACGTGGTCCTGGTGTCTCCACTGCCTGAAGCAAGAATGGGTGCCGATATGCGGTGAGCAGCATTGCTCGCTTTCAGTCTTGCGCGTTGCTGCGCGAGAGTAGCAGCCGCATCGTGATTAGTGCCAAGGGCAGCGGAATCGGGTGAGAGAAAACCTGATGAAGTGGTATCGAGGGCAAGAGACTGCCTGTTTTGGTTGCCGCTGAAGACACGAGGAGACGCCGGCAGGGGTGACTTCAACGAAGGGGATTTCAATGTCATTTGGGCAAGTTTGGCCTCCATCTGACTTTGCATCGATCCTAGATGATGTCAGAAAGCTTGACAAAGAAACCTGTAGCAGTTGAGGACTCACCACCCACAGCAGGGCTCAATAAAGCGGTCACGGGATCAGATCGTGCCATCTGCTGCAACACTGTAATGAAAAATCTGATCTGTACTTGAGTGGATTGCTGAAGTAGACTGTACAAGGCCGCAGTGCGCTCTGCCTCGGAAAGAACCTTGAACCCTGGAGTACGCGATGAGAACGCTGGCACTAAGGACACGAACGACAAATCACCCACATTGCTCGATGGCACTTAATTCTTCTTTGAAGTTGACGTCCAGGGAGGCTGCCGCCATGTCTTCAAGGGTTTCCTCGTAGTTCTGAAGATTTTCAAACCACTGATCAATTGCTTCGGACTCGGGTGTCTGGAACATGGCAGCACTGCTCAGCAACTCGCTAGTGGGACGAACTCCACTTCCACCGCCATGAGGGCGAGGAGAGAGAGCTTGACGTGGACCCATGGATGCGTGCGCGTTGGTAGAAGAACGCCCGTTTTCAGCGTTGAGTGGAGAAGGGGAAGGACTGGAAGGGGGACGAAGACTTGCCATGTGGGAGGCAAAACGAAAAGTGAAGATCCGCTAGCGGTGACTGTAGATGACGAAAAGCACTAAGTGGCGAAGATGTGTTGAATGCGAATAGCTGTTCCTGATTTGGCCCTGGGATTGAAATGCGGCAAAGGCGAGGGTTATGCACGCAAACTGAGCTGCGGGGATTATGCTGATAAAAAGGATATAGGGTCAACCCGTAGTAGAGAGTTGCAAACTGGGAGTCCTGACGTCGAGCCTGTGGACTGGACTAGAAACAAGAGCACTTCGCAAGGGTCAAACAAGCTGCCGTTATGAGGCAGGCGTTGTATTAAAGCTCGCCGTGCTTCGTTGGGTCTAGACGAGACCAGCGGAGCCTGCCGGTCTAGCAAAAAGGATTAAGGCCTGCCCAGTGTCGACAGACAGCGCAGGCGTTGGCTGGGTAAGAACGACGACAACAACGGCGCTGATGGTGAGGGGGGTGTGGACAATAAGCCTGGCACGTGCCCGTTGGCTTTGGTAATGAGCGGAGTCTGTGCCCCAGGCGCGTGGCGGAGCCTCAATTCTCGGCATCCTCGCAATGCCGACGACCGACCTGTGCGTGTTTTAGCACACCGCCGCCGTCTCACTGAATTGATTGGGAGATCGTCGTCAATTGTGGGCTGTGCAAGTCATGTGGTCATGAAAGTCACGGTGATTGTCGTATGAGTTGGCCACCCCAGTCGAGTAAGCGGGGAGCCCGCTGCGGTCCATTTCCTTTCTCATATCTAACGCCCGAGGCCTTATCTGTACACTGGTTGCTGCTTTCAACCTTTCGTCGAAGAAGTGATGGTGCGTACAGCGTCAAAGTTGTTGTGGCCGATCTCTAATGCACACAGGCGAGCACCGCTTTCGAGGAGATCCCGATCATGCAAGTGGTTTGTGCCAGCTTCAGAACTGTTGCTTATTCCACCGTATCAGTGATCTGTCAAACGTGACAAGCAGAGATCCAGCTTTGCGTCGCTCTCTCGCAGCTGAGATTCGCAATGCCTGCGTCTCCGTCGGTTTTTTCTATGGTGCGTACACGGTTCTTCAAATTCGGGTTCTTATCCACCTCGTCCGCGGTCCGCAGTCAAGAATCATGGCATACCAGAGGAGGTAATAAGCAAAGCCGTCAGCGCCGCGGAAAGATTTTTCTCCTTGCCTACTGAGACAAAGATGAAGGTTGGCATCAGAGTGTAGTGTCCAGTATCAGCATCCAATGGATCATAATCACTAGTTAGATATCCATGCAAGCCCCAACTTCAAAGGATATACAGCCCTCCTTGGAGAAAACGTGAACCTCAATAATAAGGGCGATCTGCATGAAGCGTTCGACTTTGGATGGGAGTCAGACAGCACCGCTTGCTCCCTCAACAGTGTTATGGTCGGCAAAAATGTTTGGCCAAATAATCTCCCGGAATTCCGAGAGGACGTCCTTGCTTATTAGTGAGTTTTTCGGAACGTAAACAAGGTCAACGGATGATCTGGACTCATGTTAGTGACGCTGCTCTGAGGTTGGGTGTACTGTTATTTCCCTTGTTTGCCTTGGCGTTAGATCTCCCCGAGGATTTCTTCGGAGATAAAGTGCGTCCTCTTCGAAAGTCCTCTGGCACCTTGTGGACGTATGTGTCAAAGGTCACAAAGCAGGGCGCTATCGGAAGGTTACTTCACTATCCTCCACAACCCCTACAACCGATGGAAGGAATAGAGGGGATAGGGGCCCATACCGAGCGAGTTATTTTCAGCACTGGCGATGTCAATGGACCTAACACCGTTTTTTCGTAGTTACGAGTTCTTCACGATACTTTGGCAACAAGATGACACTCCAGCGCTACAGGTGATGAACACAAATGGAAAATGGATTGATGCCACTCCCATACCAGGTACATTAGTTCTGAAGTACGTTTTACGAATCACCGATTCCGGCTTCTACTGATGGAGTCATGCATAGTCTGGGAGACCAATTAGCCCGCTGGACTAGTACTTGTCATTGTTAGGTCTGATACCGCGCTCCTTCTAATATTGACCTTTCTAGATGATGTCTTCAAGTCCACTGTCCATCGCGCAATAAATAGAACAGGGAAACGGCGTTACTCGATCCCGTTGTTTTTCGGCATCGATTACAACGTCAGACTCGAGGTATGATATCTTTGCTTTCCCGCCTGACAGTAGCTTATGCTTTTTCAGCCCATTCCAGGATGTGTGAGTACAGACAATCCAGCCAAGTATGAGGTGGTTACTGCTGGGGAATATGTGAAGTCTCGCTTGGAGGCTACGTACGCGCAATCTAGGATATAATTTACTGATTCCCAAATCTTCATCGGCGTACACGATTTTATGGATACATGCCTTGGCCTTCCTACGTTGAAATTCAACATGATTGCAATTCGTGGCCTGCCACGACGATGACACTCCCAAAAATTAGCCCCCTTCGCAGTCCAAAAATGGTGCAATCAACGGAGGTAGGCGGGTCATATATGGGGTTCAGGGCTGAATATCAGCGTCGTTTTACCTTCGTAGTCTTACATTATGCCTTCCCTTGCAGACACCTTTCAATTTATGTTGACCACTCTTTTTTTCCGTCTTTCGCCCTGGAACCTCCTTCGTTTTGCAACTTGCCTTTCACTTTTATCATGGCTGACATTCATGTACATCGTTGTCCACAGTGAAATTTCATTTTAATCGCGTAATTACTCCCACAAGGATAAGCGCCTGAGGTCGAACTCTTGGACCGCTATTGTATTATCCGGAGACCGCACCACATTCGCTACAACGGTGCCTTACAGGAAATCTGCCACTTCAATTCAACCACCTTCCTTCAATTTACAACAAGGTTTTCCCAGGGAAAACTTCGTGGCTTGAATCGTAGAGCCACCAAGTTGTCAAAGTTCGTGCCAACATCAGGGGGGCAGGGAGTGGTGGCATCACGGTCACGACTAGTCAGTGACAGGTTTGAACCACCTAATGAATGGCTGATTGATGATCTTCAGGTTGGTACTTCCTACGTGATCGGAGGAAAGTTCTTACTTATCTGTGGTTGAAAGTTACCAGTCTATTCCGATTTAACATTGGATAGGGGTAAACCGTTATGATATGTGCCAGGTTCGGTGTAAATTTTCCACAAGTCCGGCCGCGCCCTTTCCCTGGTTACAAAGGTCATCTTATTTACGAGATGTAAGATCTCTGCAACCGTAAAATTTGCTTTTGGCAAGTAAGCTTTTTCTTTCCAACCGCAGCGCGCCGTCTGGCCTTTGGAAAATACTTTCCTATCGACACACTTTCTAGTCTATCACAATGCGACTCACCAGACGACGAGCGTCGCCCACGTAGACGTCCCACGGTTTTTTCTCCTTCTTCTATCTCCTTGCGTGAAAGCATCCGCCCTATCTGACACGAACTGACACTTCGGAACTGCTTTTGAATGCCAGATTCACACGAAACCCAGCTCTTACACCCTTGACGACTACTCAATGGCGGTCCCGAACCATGGAAACTATTGTATACTTAGCCTAACCGACGCAAATCGACGCATTTTCAACTCTCCAACACCAGAATTGCAAAGTCAAATAAGACAAGTTCGCAATCCTAAATGCAGGTTACCAGTTTCTACTTGCCATTTTGGGACGAGTCTGCCAGCCAGTCGGGTTAGTGACCAAAATACAGGATAAATGCAATATACGAGCAATCATCCATGCATTCCCGGTGACCCTGTTTTTCTTTAAAAAACCCACAGATGAGCCCGAGGCTCGTGACACTGGCAGCAGGGATCGACCAGGAGCTACAACAAAAATTTACCTGGACGTAAGGAAGTTGCTAGGTCGATCATCTGAGTGACCGAGGTTCGTCAGCCTCAAGGAAATAGGCTAGAATTCTGGATGACATCCGCTGGACCGGGCTTGCGTATTGGAAAATCGTTATCAATTGGTCTTGAAACAGACAAAAGAAAAAGATTCCGCGGAGATAGCAGCAGCAATAAGTTTTGAGCGACACTTGCTCGATATCAGTACATTATTACCGTACTTGTATACCATCACGGCAGCCAATATCCAGTACCGTGGCCGAGAGCCCAGTAGCCTATCATAGTAAGCAGCCTCTGCGAGATGATCGGCCTAAGTCAAAACTCAACCCCCCCCCCCCCAGGTTCCTGACCCTGACCAATTGTATCCCAGTGGCTTGTGTCAGGCTGGAATCCGGTGCCGGTGACACACCCGATTACAGGCTGTTTGCGTAAATTACAAGCGTGTATTTTTGCTATGCATTGTGGTTACCACCCATCGTAGGCCGATGCATTGTATTTGCAGCAGCCCCTAATAGGTAGTGTCATCCACCCCGACGGTTCGCCGTGAAGCTCAGAGGACGTGTTCGTATCAACACTTTCGGCAGTATCTCCTAGATCTTATACAAAACTCTTCCCAACCCCTTATGGATTATAGGAGCTGGCAACGGCATTAATTCTCCCGCCATCAACAAGCCACACCGCACCATTCACATATGCTCCAGCAGGTCCGGCCAGGAACAACATACAACCAGCCATGTCAGACAATGTCCCGACTCTTCCCAAGGGAACCGCCTTCGCAAGCATGGCAGGCGTGAATAGGTCGGTATTGGTCATTTCTTGCATTCCCATTAGAAAGACAAAATAGGATAATCACGAGAACCTCACCGCTTGGCCAAACTCCGGGCTTATAAGGACAAAAGACCTTAATCAAATAACTCTATGGTAAGAGATCAACTTACACATAGAACATTGCTTCTGATATTCCAGTCTGCGAGAATACTCGCCAGCAGTCTTCCTAAATGGGTGCAAGCCTGCTTCGCGAGCGTGTAGGAAACCGTCAAAACGCGTGCATCCACTCGAAATGAGCCCGAAGATGATATCGTAACGACCTGCGATGTCACCTGTGGCAAACTTGGCACTGAGGTACCTGAAGCATGGAAAAAGGATGAATTGTTCAGCAAGTAGCATGTTTTACTGAAAGCATAACCCTGACCAAGAGAGGTGTTAGCCGCCTGCTGCGTCGATGTGCGTCTAGCGGCCAGCAGAGGTGGAATTGCGCCTCGCCGTAGGTTACCGAGGTGTAATAACTCAAGAAACGCAATCGTCGTGTAATATACTGCGGTGACGTTGGTCTCAAATGTCTCTGCGAAACCTGCAGGGTCCCCCGTATCCCAAAGTACGCCTTGGAACGCTTTGATGGATGGCATTTCTCCTTCTCCAGCATTTTCATCCAAAGGAGAAGGCAATCGAGAAGGCAGCAGATTCCTAGCTATTCCCGCATTGTTGACGAGAAGGTCTATGTAGCCGTGACGACCCTTGATCGTCTCAACCGTGGAAAGCAGCGATTGTCGCGACGTGATATCTCCCTGAAGCGGTATAATCTTGCCGTATTTCTTCGGGTGGAATGAGGAAAGATTCGCCAAAGTGATTCATGAGCACGCTATTTCAGCAACCTACATTGTGTTCTGATGCGGCCTTCTCTAGGACTCCCAAGCGCCTACCGATGATGTAGACAGTGGCACCGTTATGTTCCAGTGCCTTTGCAATGTGGAGTCCTATGCCTAGCGCAGCACGCAATGTCAAGACGTTCAGTCCAATCTTATGACATACCTGTTCCGCCGCCGGTAACCACTGCTACTTGTCCCTCCACTTTGAACAGGACCGTGGGATCCGTAGCACTCTCATCCATGGTTGGAGACGAAGGAATGCAGAAACCGTTCGGAGCATATCGACATACCGTTTAAACACCGCGTACAATCATGGTAGGTGTTTGGTGGCAGTTGGCATCACTGTACGCCATACGTGACAGCAACAGCAACGTCAGGGATATTTTACCCTGGAGAACGCGGTTCTCAGCTAATTCACATGAATGCCAGCATAGCACGTATAATACTAAGTCCCAACGCTTTATATGAAGCAGTGCTGCGCTAAGTTACTGAGTATCCTTTGTCGCAAATTTATTTGGTCCATTGTCACGTGCCCCCATTGTAAGCAGCATGTAATGGACCACTTGCCATTATAATGGTCAGGTTTGGCTAGATTATAGCAAATATGTGATATTTTATCTAAGATATAGTGCAAATGTGTAAAATATTATGTACAAATACCCATTTTTGGCAATCTTTCAATGACACATAGGTGGCATTGGCATGGCTTATAACGGAAGTGTGAACAGCCACCCTTAACATGTATTATAAGGTTCTTATCACGTGCCCAAGAAATTTGCGACATTACTACATGGATCCAGTCAGCCCTTCCATTGAAATTTGTCGATAAATTTTCTGCCCAGGTAATAGCATCCCTGGCAATGGGCCGCTCGTTGAGCTCCTGAACCGACCCTATTCTGTAGGATCTGGGAACTCTGTAAAACTCACTACCTTTCTGTACAGAAAGTGTAGAGTGGGAATGGTTTACTACCACTTTCGCGGGCGCCGTTGTGAGAAAGGTTCTATGCTGTTTTGGAACCAAGCATCATTCAAGTTACAAACTGAGCTGCTCGTTCAAACTACACGTATATGATTTTTTATTTTTTGGGTGAACCAGGAAGTAGCGCAGGCACGACTAGACCTCAAGGCTGCTTCCAACTCAATCGGGACCTTGTCAATTATGACAACAACTTTCTTCAAGCGTAATTCTCCAATCAGCTCATCAGATGAGGCCTTCCCCTTGCTGTGGATCTAACCCAATATTTCCACTTACGTTGTGTCCACAGGTCGCAATCGACTCATAGTCAAAACGGATCGAATGCCTTCTGTCACATTTTGCCATTGATTGATCATATGTACAACTTCCTTCAAACGTTTTAAAGGCTAGGCCAGGAAACGCGATGGGTTTCGTCACGTTACTGTCTACGACACAATATAGTAAGGACATACGGAGCGCTGAAACTCTCAGACACACTCACATGTGGTCTGAATTTCAATTGGTGCTTTAAGTTTGGCCGTTTTCGAGTGCGGCGATCGTGCCGGTGTTGGGTGGCGTTAGACGATGATAAGATGTTGATACTAATCTTGGAATATCGCAGGCGCCATCATCGACCTGCAGATCTTTGCGATAGTCTGGCAGTCCAAGGCTTCACCGGTGTGCATTTGCTCGCGATCTCGCCTGTAGTGCAGCAGAGACTTGATCGAGATCGTTGAACCCTGTTTGAGTCGAGGATGGCCACTGTCTCGACACGGTCACGTGATGGGTGGTATCGGCATTAATGTTTTCTGAATTGCAGTATATGTCACTGACATCCCCATTCGCGAATGCATCAAACTTCGATGAGGTCAAATGTACCTTCATTGACAACTCTTCTGCCAGACCATGGCACAGATAACCGGCTGGGCCTGCTTCCTGCAGCTATTACGTGTGGTCAAGCGATCGCTTTTATAAGGAGTACGACGCAACCACTTTCTGCCTCAGTTCTTTCTTGCAAGAGCTTGCCGCGCGACGGTTTTCTCAGATTCACCATCTCGGCACGTTCCCAGTCAGCGTCGAGAGATACTTGGTTTCCTTCCCTCGCTTGACTTGCCCAGAAAAAGCAGGAGAGTGGTTGTCTTGTTGCGTTAGTTGCGTTAACGATGTCTGCTGTTGGCACCCCGTCTTCGACACCACAAGATCGTGGCGTTCCAGCTCTCCATGTGGCCAGTACCGTTGGGCGTTGTTATCAAACTGATGCAAATGCCTGTCCCTCTGGGGGTTTCGACGACATCGGACAGCCAGCGCATTGCAGACTTGCCCCAGCGAGCAGACCAAATGCCGAGCTGGCATACAGAGTGCTGGAGACCACGCCGCTACTCTCTCCTCCGGTTCCTTGTGCCCTCAAGGACGCGGAACTCGCATCGTATACCTCTCAAACAACACGGTCCGTGCTCTGGGATGAAACGAAGATATTGCTCAAATATTCGTTCCCTGTCTTTGGGTAGGTCACTTGCTTGATTCGTACTTGTAGTCCCGATTGATCGCAAAATCCGCAGGACCCACGTGATGGAACACAGCATAATGATGGCTACGGTGATCTCGATTGGGCATATCTCTACGGTCGCGCTTGCAGCCGCTACCCTGGGCTTCATGACCGCTAACGTCACTGGCTTAAGTATCGTCCAGGGGATGGCCAACACCCTGGATACGGTCCTTCCACCGGCATGGACTTCCGATCAACCCCAGTTAGTTGGTCTCTGGACCCAACGAATGAGTGAGTTCACGAACGTGATAGATGGACGTAACTGACTTCCAACTCAGCTATTCTGATATCTATTGTATTGATTGTACGTACTCGTATTTCCCACCTGCTTGGTATATTGATCCTCTTCAAGCCGGTGCTTGCGTTATGGTTCCATGCAGAACCCATCCTCTTGGGGTTGAATCAAGGTCCTGAGATTGCAAGGCTAGCCGGCATCTACTTGAAATGGGCATCGTTAGGGCTCCCAGCTTACGCTTTCAATTGCGTATCCAGGTATGGTATACGATCCTTGCAGATGCCTAGGCGCTAATCACACCTGGTCAGGCGCTACTTTCAATCACAAGGTAAAGACAGTTCCACGAGCTACTAAATGATTGCCCATTCTTTACATTGCAGGACTATTCACCGTTCCCACCCGTATCACTCTTTTTATTGCACCAATTAACATATTCTTGAATTGTCTTCTGGGTAGGCGTGGCGTTTACTGTTACAGATCAGGAGTTTGACGATGTTTAGTATGGGGACCCGAGCCATTCTGCTTAGGCTTTATAGGGGCGCCTATTGCGGCTTCGATTTCCTACAACGTTGTGGCTGTCGCATCCGTAGTTTATGGGGTTTTCTTCGTTCCAAGAACTGCCTGGCATCCGATCACGGTGAGGGCGTTCACGAACTTGGGCTATTTGGCCAAACTAAGCTCTGGCGGTGTTGGCAAGTATCTCGTGGATGCAGCTGGAATTGTCTTATGGATAACATTAATGCAGGTCAACTCGCATCCGCCTGGTGGTCATGGGAACTCGTTGGACGTGCGTGCCTATTCCATCCTATTACACTGACTACATGTATGCCGACTTGTTGTTCGCAGTGGCTGCCAGCTTGTGAGTATGCGACCAAGTTGCTCTTACGTGGTGCTGAGCTTCTTCCAGCCTTGGGCCCGTCCCGTTGGCTGCCCAATCTGTCCTTATTACGACCTCCTCTTCTTTTTATCAAGCTCCTTATGCTCTGAGTATTGCTACCTCTGTTCGGTGGGTGTGCTTCTCTTCCTTATTCAGTTGTTTCCCCCTTTTTTTACGTCCCACACCGTTGGGTTGCAGGATCGGGAACCTCTTGGGAGAGAGAAATGCGAAGCGCGCCAGGGTTGTCGTTAAGGCATCTTTCCTGATTGTTATTGTGCTTGCAACCCTGTTCAGGTTCGCATATCACGAGAAATTGGCCTTGGTGCCTAGGGGTTTATTTGTTATCTTCTTCACAACAGTTGCACACTCATAACTTTCCGGCGATCTTGGGGCTATTTATTCAACAACGACCCTGGTATGAATATCCAAGGCACGCTTTATGGTTACTCTAAAGATATTTTTGCAGAGGTCATCCAACTGGTTGCCGCTGTTCTTCCACTTCTCGCGCTCGTGCAGATATGTGACGATGGCAGCGGTGTAGTTTCTGGCATACTAAGAGCTCGGGGGGAGCAGGTAAGATGCTTAGTGCCATCCCAACTTAGGATGTTCTATTCACCCAATCATGCTAGGTTCTTGGTGCATTGCTGAATATTAGGCATGCGACGGTTCTCATACTTCGGATTCCGTCAATACTGACCTTTTTCATCTCCAGTGCTTACTACATTGTGGGCCTCCCCATTGGCCTATGGCTGACTTTCAAGTTGGACTTCGGGCTTTTCGGCTTGTGGTGGGGTCTCAATATCGCTGTGGTATCCGCGGCTTCAACCGGGTTGTATCTATGCCTTATCACTGACTGGGACAAGGAAGTGGACAAAGTTGCGGCGCGTCTGGCTGTAGATAAGGGGTACAAACCGGTGGACGAGGAACATACACACTAAAAATGGCAGATGGCGACGGATCGTCGTGACTTTGGCCTGCGCTCCAAAATATCGGAGGACATGTTTGTTGACGGATTACGACAGATACAGATGACTTGACATGGGTGTATATACTAATGACTTGACAAGAATTATGACTTTCGCTTGCTTTGCGTGCAATAACCGTGTAAGTTGATCGCAGATAGGGGCAAATTACCTATATAGCGGCCATGTCACTGCCATCAGGGCACAAGGATACGATCATGTCTACCACGTTGTGTCCTATACACTCGACGGATAACTTACGGGGACGGAACCCTAGCAACGGAAATAAGAGCGCTCAGCAACAAGGATGCAGAATATCTTACGAGAGTAGGCACATAAACTCCAGGAGACGTGTAATCGGGCTGAACAGGTAAAGGAAAAGAAAAGAAAAGAAAAACAAGTAACGTAAACAAAAATGCTTCACGAAACAACCAGACCAGCCTTCTCGCGGACGACACCACTCCTCCTCTCAATCTCATGGAAGAATTGCAGAGCATTCAATGCTTTCTTCTCCAACTCTTCAGCTTCCCTGACCTCCTTCCCTCTTTCTTCCATTGCGACTCGGAAGCGCTCCCGGAGGTCCCAAGAGGCAAGTCGCAACACCTTACGTGTCTCACGACTGACACGGCCGGCGTGGGCATTGATGAAGGTCTCCGCTTCAGTCGCGTTCCCTTCGACATTGAGCAGTGATGCTTGTATGCGACGGCCAATGGTCCGGGGTATCGTATCCGGAAGTCGATAAATGAAGTAGCCAGTCGCTCCCACAACAACAGCCCCGATGACAGGAGCCACCCAAGATCTTGCTGTTTCATTAGCAGACAGATCAGACAGGTGTATAGCGCCATCAATGAAACCGCGAGCTCCCAAGACCTTGCCGCCAACCATAGTTAAGGCGCTCAGACCAATGGAGAGAACGCTAAGTGCGGTCGGATTCGACTCGTTATCATCGCCTTCCCCACCACCGAAGTGAACAGCCAGGTGGCGGTTAAAATCGAAGATGTCGCTAAATGAGGTATCCAACATGTCGGAACGTTGCGAGAGGCCAATCCCAAGATTGTAGGCGCCCCCTGCCACGACTACATGGGCTGTCGGGGAGTGGTGGTCTTTGAGTCCCCCCTTCTTGCCTGGGCGGACGTTAAACATGGCCTCGGGTACGAACACTCGACGAGACCGTTCAACACCCTGCGGAAGGTGCTCATCGCCGAGGTCAGTAATCTTCATCACCCCAGCCTTAGTCGTGACACGAGCTTCCTCCTCTGCCAACTTGACTGCCGCATCTAGACTCGCGAGAAGCGCCCTCCGTACGTCGCGTGCATAATCCCAGATTCGTAATAGGCCGCGATATGCTGGCAGACTAACGCAGTGATCTACTCCGGGGCGCCCCTGCCCCACGCGGTCAAGAGCAGTAGAAAGAACAGCTTTTGTTCTCTCGTGGGTCCTGGACGCACCCGTTTCTTCAACTCTTTCCAACGCATCTTCGAGCGCATCACGGCTATTCTTCATCTTCTCCCAAACAGGCTTTGACCGTAAGAGGTCGTCCTTAGCGTGATCGATATCCGATTGGGCAACGATGGCGTTTGCTCCGGCCAATAAATCAACCTCGCTCAACAGGTTGGAAAGGAACGTCGAAGCAGGCTGAAGCTTGGATTTCGATCGCTTGACCAATACGAAGGAGCGAAGCGACGACTCCAAGTCATCAAATGCGGGGTTGGCAGTGTAAGGACGAAGAGCAGCGGCGGAGTCCACAAAATGAACAAGATCCGCTGCGTCGTCGTAAGTACGAGGGCTGAACTCCTTGATCTGCTCCAATACGAGTCTCTTGCACTTCTCCTTGTTCTTGATCTGTTCGAATTTGTTGACGACGATGAAGACGTATGCCTTCTCGTTGCTGGCGGTCTCAAGGAACTCCTTCGCAGACAACGTGAAGTGGTTTTCAGCCGACACAACGAACACAACGACATCAATTTCTTCTTGACGAGCGAACAGGGCGGTCGTCTTGAGACTGTCACGATTAAGGCCCGGAGCATCAATGAGCGAGATGTCGACCACTCCGTTGTTTAGAAGAGACTCCGATGGAACCCTGCTGTCTGCCAAATATATCTTGAGCACAGGTTGAACGCCCGTCTCGTTATCCGTGACGATAGACTCGAGGTCAGCCAAGGAAACACGTGTGAAAGTTGACTCGTCGGAGACGGAGTAGGTTACGCCTTGTTTGAGCACATGAACCTCTTCGATCCCGTTGTTCTCGGATGCACCGTGCACTTCGCAGAATGCGGTAGTGCAAGGTTGCTGATCAACCGCCATGACCTCTCGTCTCAACAACGCATTCACGAAGGTAGACTTTCCGGCGTTTAGGTCGCCGGTCACAAGGACTTTGGAGGACGTGTCCGTGATGCGAAGACGGAGCTTGTCCATGTGTTGGATGGCAGACCCAATGCGTTCGTCCAACAGCTTGGCGATGGAACCCCGCTCAAGGTGCGAGACGAGAGCGGCTGGGGAGGTGGAGGAACCACTGGGACCGAGCTTCAGGTCGAGACGGAGAATGCTAAAATCCCCGCATTTTGAAGGCAGCGACCGGTCGTCGCTGTCACTACCCGCCCTATCCTGCTGCACGTCATTCCCGTCCAATAGCTCTGCTGACTCTGGAGCATCCGCAATCGAAGCTAGCGTCACCGTACAAGCCGAGCCATTGCGACTGGGGGTATAAACCACGTCGGTCTGACTGTCGGGGTCATCTGCAAAGGACAGGGAACGGCGAATAGAACGACGAGACTTCCTTGGGGCTGAAGTCTCGTCGTTAGGGTTTGATTCTTGAAGCGTAGGATATCTGACAACCCATTCGTTGTTATTGAAGTCGCGTACGTCTCCAAGCAGGCGCTGGGTAGTATCTAGACCAACGAGCAGACTGGAAGAGGTCGGGTAGAGGTGAATTGAATTGACTACTGAGGCATTGGAGAAATGTCGCACCGATCCTTCTGCTCGACGTATGCTTCCTGTACATCCTCAACCTTGAGATGTCTTTCGCCTGCAACTGCTGGCAGAGACGACTCCTGTCCAAGACGCATCGGTGAGAGTCGCGGCGAGCGAATACAGCGCCAAGCTTTTCTTTCCCGTGGGCGCAGCTGGAAACGGAATGAAATCACAGCCGAAAGCCTCCGTGCGTGGGAAGATGCTGAGTCAGCTACTATAGGGGCTATTTCACTACCTTCTCCTCTCTTTCGAAAATCGACTTCAAATACCTAGTGCGCGCAAAGTGCGTGAACCGTACACACGTACAGCTTCATCCATTTTGTGCGCACTAGATATCATGTCGGTCATGCATTCATCAACTCTCCCACCATTACGTTGTTTGTTAATGATGTCCGAAACTCGGCGTGCAGCTTTTCACCCGTATTCGAAGCGGGCGCAAATGAGTGCTGACTAAAGTTGCACATCAGCTTGCGTCAGCTGGTTTGTATCAAGATGCTTCTCGGGGCGATGGGCCCTACGCGCTAACTGAGTCCGTACTCCCTGCGTGTCTCAAGATGTCCACCATGATGCGCGCTATCTTAATCAAAGAGGGTAAAGGCCCCATCGAGAACCTATACATCGGTGAGGTCGAAAAACCAGTACTCAAGGAGGGTCAAGTGTTAGTGAAGGTCAGTGTGGCCCTTCTGATTTCGAGTCATATCGACGATTGGGATTCATGTTCGCCTCGCAGATCGTCGCATTTGGTCTGAATCGCATGGATTCATTACAGAGGGAGGGAAATTATCCTCTCCCTCCCGGCGCCTCCACCATTTTAGGGGTTGAATTTTCTGGGCGCGTCGACTATGTCGAACCTGGCGTCACCAAGTGGTCAGTGGGTGATGAAGTGTTTGGCTTATCCAGTGGTGTAAATTGATAGAAAATATGCGCGGCGACTGCGATCTTACTTATGTCTTTGTCACCAGGGTGCATATGCCGAATACATCGCAGCAGACCAAGATTTATTGATCAGAAAACCCCCCCACCTATCATGGGAAGATGCAGCAGGTATTCCAGAGAACTTCGTTACGGGTGAGTTTGCCCTGTTGCTTCAAGTTATGTATCCGTGAGTGTTGCTAATCCTACTTTTAGCCCATCAAGCAGTGACTTTATACGGTGAACTGAAGAGGAACGACAACGTCCTCGTACATGCTGGTGCCTCAGGAGTAGGCATTGCAGCGATACAGATGGCTCGCAGTTTTGGCGCGTGAGTACACTGCACCGCGTATTTACTGGTTCGCACACATTAATTTGTGACGTGCAGGAGGTCTGTCACAGCAACAGCATCAAACAAGGAAAAGTTAGACTGGCTTCTGTCCATCCCGAGCGGTGCAACCGAGGTCGCAAACTATAGGACAGAAGATTTTTCAACAACAGTCAAAAATGCTACCGATGGAAGAGGTGTCGATGTGATAGTTGATTTCGTTGGGCGTACCCATTGGGAGAAGAATATTGATTCTCTTGCTCTTGATGGCAGAATGACAATACTTGCTACACTGAGTGGTGAGATCGCTCTTGATCACGTGGCTACTGATCCCAATGTCAGTCGCAAAGGCGGCGTGGTCCCCAAGGTAGACTTAGGTCCTATCCTTTACAAGCGTTTAAAGATCCAGGGGTCGACTCTGCGGTCTCGAAGCTTGGAATACCAGTCCAACCTCATTAACAGGTGTGCTCGGAATTTTGTAGAGTTCCCAAAGGTAGAGGTTAAACGCCCTTGCAGCGCAGCTTTTCAGGACGTAGTCTCCAAGATAACAGGCAGCGAGGGGGACGGACCAATGCGCGTTTATATTCACAAAGTCCGTACCTATTTCCTCTTCAAATAGTCCTCGGTAGAGACACTCTTCATGAGTAGGTGTTTCCCTGGACGGAGATACAGGCAGCCCACAAGGAGATGTCGGACAACAAGAACTTGTAAGTAGACCACTTTCGAAAATACCCAAGTAACTTAAGTCATTTCTAGAGGGAAGATCGTTTGTAGGATTTCGTAGCCGAACACAATGATTGTGCTTTGTAAACTTGTAACCCGTACGAATTTGTGTACAGACGCCGAGTTGGTAGCCGTACACAGCGACTGTGCTTTGTGAACTTGTAACCCATATGAACTTGTGTACAGATGCTGAGTTGGCACCCATTGTAAGATCAACATACATTTGCGTGTCAACCCATGAAATAAAGTACGGTGCTCTCTTACGCAAATACCAAGCGCTGAGATATATTATAACCTTCCTCGAACTCCGGTCCGTAATACCCCTGTCACTAAAGCACCTGAGTGGTGTCTTTCTAACCACTCCAAAATAACGTCTACTACTTCGTCCTGACGCTAAAGATAGCGGCCGTGCATTGTGGCATAGTCGTCGATATTAGTAGAACCACTCACCCCAGCGAAATTATGGCCTGCGTCCTCCATCAGGTGAAGGACATGTGTCCCGGGAGTCCTCGAACCAAACGCACGCGCGTAAATAAGAGCATCATAACTGGGGTTTTTTTTCGTGAGGCGGTGAAGTCTCATAAGACAGAATATACCTATGCTTACACCGGTACCACCTCATCAACGAGTCCATGTACTGTGAGGACATTTATCGTGGACGGGAAGTTATCCCACACGATGCTGGTGTCCCAGCTTGCAAATTCCTTCAGGTCTTTTGGATATACTCGTTCGATGACTGGTTGGCGCGCAACGGTCACCTTCCACTCGTAGTATCCCGTAGTATCGAACGCTTCCTTGTATGTATCCATCCGATCTAAAAAGAAGTCCGAGGTTCAGAAATAACTACCGAAATATGAACATCTACCTACCGTAGATCCTCTGTGTGGGGTCATAAGATTATAGCAACCTTCGCTGGGCGGACAAAGGCTCTTACATGCATTCGGTAACGTCCCGAGACATTAACCATGGCCGTAACGCGTTTCCCTTCCTCCGATGTGCACAACCAGTGCATGCCAACGACAGACCCCCGAGAGTGACCCACTATCATATCGATTTCGTATCCATGATTTTTGCGGAGGAAAGCCACGACGGTGACAATGTCTTGGACATCTTCCGCGAACCCACCATACCTCCACTGTCCTCCACTCTCATGGCTCCCGCTACACAGGACTCACCGTAACTAGGGGTCTATCTGATACCGATGACAGGTCATCGTACTCACCGGAAGTCAAATCGGACAGAATCTAGCGGCAATCGCGCAGCAAGCCGCTTTTGAAAGAGATAATCTTTATGACTGCCAGCCAAACAGTTAGCGTCACGACCCTCGGCCGTTATCAGGACTTCATTTTCACCCCATGGTTCCATGCAGAATCTACGGAACCTGAGCATAATTTGTTGGCCGTGTATATCCGAACACAACTCACCAGTGCAATCTTCCTGCCATACGTAGGTTTATTCGGTTCTAGTTGCTCCAAGACGCCAACGAGTGTACAGTTATCGGCAGGCTGGGGGATATACAGCTTCGTCGACATCCTGTCTGCCATGGTGAATTGAAAGAAAGAGATGCTGACTTAGGGACGCTGCATGTATTTCGTGCTTCACCGGTTGGCGTTAATGCAGCCGAAGGGCCCAGCATCGGAACGCCGCAGTCATGTCTCAAGATCTCATGACTCAAGTGTTGTCAATTCAACAAGGGCATGTGTAGCATGTAGTACACCGGATCTACTCAGGTGCCGCAAGAGAAAAACACGTCACGATTTCCCCACTTTCTTGCCTAACAACGTGTCCTTTGGCGTTTTCGTTGTTCTACCCTTCACAACCTTTTCCTTTTTCTTTTCCCCGACGTCCGCACTTCGCTTGCTCTTCACTTCCTTTTGACTGATGGTAGCTACCGGAGGGGGTGATGAGGGTCTGATTTGACTGTTCCGTTTGATCGCCAGCGATCTTGGGGGGTTTTTCTTTGCTTTTCCTGCCTTTCACCACTTTCTCCTTCTTCTCCACAACGTCCGCGTTCTCCGTGGTTTTCACCTCTTCCCGACCGACGGCGGCCACCGGAGAGTGTGTTGAAGGTTTGTTTGACTGTTCCGTCGCATCCCCAGCTGTCTTGGCGGGTTTCTCCTTCTTTTTCGGTGGCTGATCCGCTAATGCGGGTGCGGCAGGCGAGGACTCCCCAGCCTTCTTACCTATTAAGGCGTTTTTTGGCGATTTGCTTACTCTGCCCTTGACGACTTTCTCCTTCTTCTTCTCCCCTGTGTCCGCGCTTCGCTTGGTTTTCACCTCCTCATGGCTGATGGTAGCCACTGGAGGGGGCGATGAAGGTTTATTCGACCGTTCCTTCCGATCCTCAGAGGTCTTCGTGGGTTTTTCCTTCTTTTTCGGCGGTTGATCCGCTGTGGCGGGAGTAATAGCCGAGGGGGTCGATTGTGTACCCTTCTTTTTTGGTGGTCGATCTTCTGCAGCGGATGCGGCAGTCGAAAAGGCCGATTTTTTGCGAACCTTCTTCGGCGGAGGGGGTGTGGGGGAACGTGACGGAATCTCGGCCTCGTCTACAGACATCTCATCCTCATCCTCTGATTCACCTTCGTCGGTTGAGCCATCCTCCTCTTCCGATTCTTCCATGGTCAAGCCAGCCCAGCGTCCCCCAACCTCATCCGAAAGCTCACACGACCATATTGGGAGGCTTACGCTTGAATTGGTTTTAATATGGAGACATTGAATATTGTCCCATCCACCCTTTATGTGGCTGGTAATAGCCGGTAAGGCGGCTTGGATATTTGCTAGTACCTGCTTAGGTGTTTGTGACAATACACCAACTTTGACCGATCTATTGGAGTCATAAAAGATAGTACTGAGTAAAACTGAGCTGGGGAATAGGAAGATAGTGACGCACGTGCATGTTCCCCTGTTTTGGTGCATGTAGGAGGATTCTACGGCGCGTTCCAGTTCGGTCTTGAGGTCCTTGCGTTTTAGGTTGACGGGTATAGGTTGTCTTTTCGGTCGTTCACAAAAGCATTAGAAGGATGAAGTGAGCACAGAGAAAAACCCACTTTTTGGCATCAAACCATTTTGAGCCGAGAAGACGTGGGAGGAGTGGTATAACGCGATCGTCCGCAAGGAACAGGGCATTTTCTTTCAGGAGCAACCGTCGTGCTTCGAACGCTTTGAATTTACCCTTCAATTTCTCTATCCCGACCACACGGGATATGAACTTAATGTCGTGTTGCTGAAGGAGATCCTTGTATTCCCTTTGAGGATCTTTTGTGATCAAGCACACAGCAGACGTCCTAGGGTCGACTAGAGTGTATTTCAGAGGGCTGGAGGAAGTGGGATCAAGTCATTTCATTGGATTTCAATGAGAGAAATGTATACACACATTCTAATGGGTTTTACTTTTTGTGTTGGCTGCATCTTCTTTACGGTGATCTGGAGCCATACATGCTGTTCTTTGCCCGGTAAGAGTTCAGTTTCTTCCCTTTCCTTCTCTTTCTTTGTGGCATAGTCATGAAGGGCTGTTACTGCGCGTTTACATTGCTTGAGCGAGACATGGTCGTCGATGAGTTCTGTCTTGGCCATGGCCCGTAATAAGAGTGAGCTTGGAATCGAGGCCTGCTGGCTGTCTCACTCTTGCAAGCAAATTGCTGTTTACCCTTTGTTTGTATAAATAGCCCCTATTCGAGTCTTGCCTCTGTCCTGGACTCCGGCTATTTGGGCCACTGATACGGTCTCGACATTGTCATCGGCGCTCCGCTTTTTGTCTTGATTCTCGAATTTGTCTTTTCAAAGTCGCGACAAGGACGTCGATCATGATACGGTCCCAGTTGTCGAATATATCTGTCGGATAACTCCAATTTGTCTCGATTACAAGGCTGTCTGTCTTTCATTGCAAACAGGTCCACTCCTTCTCATATAGCATGGAAATGGAAGGCGCCTTCAGTCGCCGTTCTTGCGGATGCTTATTCAAGACAAAGCGAACACCAAAAGCTCTTCCAGGAGTGGGAATCTCCCTTGAGCAGTGCTGATCTTGCGGACGTTTTCACAGCCGGAACGCACTGCCGAACGTGCGAACGAAAGTAAAAAATTGAATTGCATGGTGCAAGGGTTGTAGCAGTTCAACTTGGTTTCGAAAACGTAACGGGTTATGCATGCAGTGAAGGTATGTAACATATGCATTGTGTCAAGCTTCCAAACTACTTGTAGCAAGTAAGTGTAGTAGAGAGTGAAAAGAAAGACCATAGAATCCGTTCGTACAGCATGGTGTACTAGCGAGCGGGGGGTAGCTGGTGAGAAGGATTGCGGATGACCAAAGACAGCGAAATCGAGTGAGGTCGTCGACTAGAATGACTCCGGTTGGATGAATGTTGCAAGGTTGGCCACTTCGAATGCAAGGCAGGCCCGAACTAAAAGGAAAAGTTACAAAACCACCACCGATCCGAAAAAGTAGCAAAGCGAGAGCGATCAGGCTCATAAACACAATCAACTGAAGTAAGGAAAGCGATGACGGCGAAAGCCACGAAGGAGAGACACCAATATGTAACAAAATACGTCTGAAGCAAGGCACCCGGATCCATATACTCACACCGAAAACAACAATCACATAATAACGCACTTGCAACAGCCCCCTGCACCCAAGGTCCTCATCATCCTTCGGTGTTGGTTCTGTGTCGTCAGACGGTCGAGTAACACTGATAGTTGGGACCTCGGGGTGCAGATACCTGTGAAAAGGGCGGAGTCTCGCCCGTTGTGCTTTTTGGCCGGGGATTTGATTGTGGTAGCTCCTTCGGTTCCTGGATGGATAGCCGAGGTACATGTCCTGGTGATGGGCTGGGTCTTGGGGGTTCTTCCTCCTCGGCGTCTGGCTGTGGCTGCTCTTGAACCTGTCCAAACTCGTCCATAGGTATTGCTTCATTCCCACGGGGGGCTTTGTATTTCGAGTAGTCGAACCCAAAAGTACCTGGAGCCTTCGACGTGATTCAATATCCATGCCCCTGAGATGTTACAGCAATACATACCGGCCGTATGGGTGTTGGTTCGGGAGGCTTTTGGCGTGGACTGCCATCAGCTCGTTCGTACTGACCATCCAGACCCTTCTTTCGAGCTACAACCGGAAGTACAACCTGAAAGAATGCTCAGTGACCAAGTCCAACATGCAGGGTTTTGTCACATACATCGTCCCAGTTTCCCGATTTCTGAACCGGTTGTGTCCATGTCGGTATGGCATTAACGATATCGCCCTCTGGTGTCGGGTACACAGCAACTGAATGTCGAGGATCTTCCTTTTGACGTGACGATGGTGGAGGCGTTTTGCCCTTGGTCTTTGGCTTCTTTGGTGTAGACGCAGGTGACGTTGTTGCCGGGCTCTTGGCGCGGCGCTTCGTTTGAGATTGATCCGAAGCTTGGGACACCGGAGAAGTTGCTCTGGGAGCCGTCTGGGAACGAGATGAGGAGGGGAGTGGTGCTGGCATTGTGCTCTCCGCACTTGACCTAACAAGACCTGCAGAAGGTGATTCAGATCTTAATGATCCCGAAATGGTCCGAGCAGTGGGGACGCGTGCAAGAGTCGTGTCTTCTCGTGGCGAATGCGTGCTAACCAGGGTATCGCTTCGTAGGTCAGCTGCACTATCAAGCGGCAACTCCGGCTTGGAGGCACTAAAGCCGGAGTGCACAGTGTCGTCCGTGCCAACGTAAGCATCATAAAAGGCCTCCGTATCGATGTCTTCTTCAGCTTCGATGTCCGTCAGCGGGCGCTCATCAAGAACCATGTCGACATCGCGTGTTCGTTCGTCATCAAGGTGAAGACTTTCTCGCGTGCCAACACCAACACTCTCGGCTCGTTTCCGCCGTTGGCCATATTCAGAGAAACCGGGATGTTCGCGTGTCTGTGAACGCGCAGGTGTCTGTATGGTATGTCCGAAATTGGCGATCTGTAGCATTTCCACATGCTTTGCTACGCGCAGTTCGCCCACTCCACCGTTCCTGTGGATGTCTCCTCTGTACCAATGTTCGAACGGGCGTTCCTCCGAGTCGGTTGATGCTCTAGGTTGTTGGAAAGCTGATTCGTAACCTCTGAAGCGCGTCGGCAAGACCGCCGTCGGAAACGGAGCAGGCTCATTCATGAGACTAGTGGTAGCGTGTTGCGGGGTAGAGGGCGTGGGTATCTGATCGACCTCCTTAACGACCCACAGATCTTGCGGAGTTTCGGGGTGGGGTGGTTGATGAGACCCGGGAATGACGCCATTGCGACTCTCCGCTCTGGGTGCTAGGCTCTGAGCGTGACTACTTGAGCTCGTTGTTCTATTGCGCATTGGGACAGGTATCCGTGTCGGTCTGATGTTAACGTCGAAAGTGCGTGGTGAAACCGAACGGGAGTCAAGTGTTGGCGGAACGGTGCCGTTCGGGTATCCGTTTGGCTGGGGTTTGTCGAATATGGAGGGCTGAGAGTAAGTGCGCGCACGCATTGGAGGGGGATGAGGAGATGACGCGCCGTTCGGACGCGAGTAGCTGTTGGCTGGAGACTCGTCGTGGCCATCCGGCGTACCTTTGGGCTGCTGAAGGCTCGGTCTGGGAATAGCACTACTTTTTCTTGAATCAGCAGGGGTTGTGCGGTATTCTCGAGGAAAATGGGGTGATTTGGAAGGAGTGATCGACCTCGGGGAGTCGTCGGCAGATGTAATGGATGCGACGGACATGCGCTTTGCCAGAATGCGGCTTTCACCTTCTAGACCTGTAAAATCCAAAGGTTGAGAGACGCAATAAGCGTTGAATGCGACCCTACTCACGTTGACGCAGTGCCGGCACAATGGTCTCGTCCCATGTCGGCAGCGTTAACTGTGCCGCCGGTGCAGTCAAGGCCATCTAAGAGAAAAAAGAAATAAAAAGACTACGAGACAAGAAACAAACGATGACAGTAGTGTTGTGAATGTATGGTAGCAGAGGTGTAGACGACGGCAGTCCTGCCAGCAAAGCAGTGACAGCGATCCGGTCAAACTACGGAACCGACTTGATCAGCCCTGCCATTTACTTCCAAAACCATTTTTCAGAGCCGGAGTCGGTGGGTCTTAAGTTCATCCTCCAACCCACGCTGCTCACGAGTTCTCAACCTAGACTATGAGCGTGGCAGCCGCAGCAGCAGCCAGCGTTGCGCCCGCTGTGCGCGCCTTCCGCAAGCCTCCCAGGATACGCAAGTCGCTGAAGTACGATCAACACGGTTTGCCCATTCCTCATGTCGACATCGCCATCCGTGACATTGCTCCATGTCGTCTGCGGGAACACTACTACACCACCCTCCAGGACGACCTCATGTACATGACCTACGTCCATGAGTCTGGTCACCGTCCTCCACCTCGGCAAATCCGTCTCAGGTTCGACCCCAATGACCCATACTCGAGAAACCGCCGCAACAGTCCAGTCGGTGGTGACCAGCTGGGTAGGAAAACCTGCACCGGTCTCCACCCCTCAGACTGTTGTCCAGCTCGACAGCATAGTCCTCCACACCATGCAAAAAGACGCAATCAATAACAGGAGCTCATTGGTCGGTGCTATTGCTGCATTCCGTGCGCTCTCTGGAGAGACAGAAAACGGTGGAGGCAGGTCGTCCCGCGGTGGTGTGGAGATCGTAAAGGGAAAAAAGGCAGTCAGCGGTTGGGTCCGCCCAGGCTTGCCTCTGGGTTGCAAAGTAACCCTCAAGGGTCCCAAGATGTACGACTTCATCGCAACCCTGACGGAATTCGTCTTCCCGAGGATGCGTGAGTTCAACGGCATCGTTCTCCTACCAGCTTCTTCGACCATGAGAACTCCAAGCGGTGTAGCAGGCGTCGTCAGCTTCGGGTTGCCTCCCGAGGCCATGGGGCTCTTCCCTCAAATAGAGGTCAACCTAGATGCATACCCCAAGCCTATTGGGTTCCACGTACATTTCATCACAAATGCGGAAGGTGCAGGCGCACAAAATCGTGCGAGGGCACTGCTCTCAGGCTTCCAGATTCCCTTCGCTCGCAAGTAGACGATCACCCGACACGTCCTACTTCACTTTACGCGACTTTTTAATGTGCATTTCGTGTAGTATGGCCAGGTATACAATCTTAATGAACACCTCCAGTACACGAAGTAATTTCAGTCCTACCACTATTGTCATAACAGTCCAGGTCGACGGGGATACCCATTTTCACTACTCGTCCTACAGTTTTCTCTGCGTAAGTGACCACGAGAATGGGGCCGCCGCTATCTTGAAGTAGGTTCTACAAACCTGCAAGGAAGCAGCCATTCCTGCCCGCTCAACTTCTCGATAAATAGATATTATTGCTATATGGCTATTATGCGGTACGGTGCCATATGTTATGTAAGGAGGGTGTGGTGCACGAATAATAAAAAAGCAATGATGACAACTCGGAGAGAAAAAGTACAACGAAAAGATGCGAGTGCAAGGAAATTAATAGTCACCTATTCCAACTAACCACTGACCGATCCTCCAACCCCACAACGTCATCGACGTGCCACACCTTGTTGCCACTGTATATCCCCAAGCTTATGTCTCGATGATGAACGTGGACGCTCAATGCCATATCTCGACGACGGCGTAGAGGTCGAGGAGGACGTGTTCAGAACGGCCGAAGTCTCAGAGGCTGTTCGACGTGCTTTCCTTGGAGCGATAATAGAACTGCCCTTGGGCGTGTCGTGACCCTTTAATCCGGACTTTCCGACCGCAGGTTTCAGTGCGGGAGCGAGTGCTGGTAGAATCTCCCTCGCAAGCTCCCGGACGAGGACGGCACCGTCATCCTTGCTCAGCTTGAGCACAATTTCATGCAGACCGTACCGTTCCACCAGCATTGCCCTATTAGGGTGGACGTCACAAACGGTGCGCAAGATGCGCAACAGGTTGAGCCGGACGACTGCACGGCTGTGACCGAGTCGATCAATAATGCGCTTGAAGAAAGATGCTTTCGCGAGGCCAATGGTGACCGGTATCGAGGTTCGGCATATCTTGAGAAGGGGGTCGAGCAAGTTCTCAAACGAGTTAGCTTTCGCTGAGACGAAACATTTCAGGAGTGCGTCAAGAGAGTCTGGCTCGACAAGAACGTCTTCTATCTTGGCAGTTTCATCTTGCAGCCTGCAAAGCACCATGAGTCAGCGTCCCCGAGTAACAGGTAAAATTCAAAAGCGGAAGTACCATGAGAGTATTGCTTCCAGCGCGCTGACCTGGAAGTAGGGATCGTCCAAGAGTTTCAAGTACATCCCCAGACCATTATGTTGCCAAAGAAGGTTCCGACAACTCTTCCCGGCGCTTGCCAAATCACACAGGATAGGCAACGCAAATTGTTTCAGCGGCGAACTGGTTTCGATGACTCGTTTCAGACAAGGTATAATTCCTGCCTGAGCAGCTTCCTCCTGGCGTGACTTGTTGAGCCGACAGAGATTATAGCAGGTCTGGAAGATGTGATTGGAGATTTCCTGAATATTACAAGTGGTAAGCACAAGAACAGTTTCAATTCCCAGAACATGGACGTACTGTGCTGTGTGGACCAGCCTTGGCTTCGTCAAGCAGTCTAATAAGAATTTCGATGGCATTGGCGTTCTGCATGACTTCCAAGAGATTTGCATTCATGGACAAATGCTTCACTGCCTTCAGCATTTGTACCAAATACTCCGGCTCCAGTAGTTCGCATGCGCGCAGCAATCCTGGCAAGGGACTTCTGTCAGCTTGCTCATCGCGGCACGCTACGAAAAGGAAAACCCACTTCTCACAATCTTGCGAGTACCTATCGCATTCCGAACGTGAATATCGCTCTGCGTCACCTGCGAAAACACGAGCAAAATTTGTATAATCTTCTGCTTCATCTCCATTGCACTTGGACTCGAGTTCCCAATGACATTGAGGAGCGCGGACGATAGCGGATCAAGAAGGCCTTCCTTAATGAACATCCGACAAAAGTCGTTCTTGGTTGTCGGGCTCTGCAACTCAAACACGCTCCCAATACCGTTCAAAGCGTCTACTACAAGCTCGCTTTGCTCGGTATAGTCTTCGTCGAGGAGGTCCACCAAGACTTTGAGACCACGACATGCAATAAACATTTGCAGAGTCAGCACAGAAGTATGGCAAAGGAGTCGGATGAAATTTGAGGCTTCTACTCGGCATTCTGAGGGATATTTCTTGGAGGTAAATCCTGCATCGGAGTTAGGGGAGAAAGTGGCATAGTACACTGACGTTACTCACCCATCATCATCGGAATACCACCGATGAGGCAGAAGCTCTCCAAGAAACCAAGATCGCTCATGACAAGCTAGAGTGTGTGTCAGCCTAACCCATCGAATGTCACAACATCACATTACCAGGTTGATGATGTGAAGTAATTTCATCAAAACATCACGCGAACACCTTCCTTCCAGCACCTCCAAGATTGCAAGCATGCCATGTGATGACACCAACTGAACCAGCATGTCCGGGTTGTCGGTCATGATGTTAATCTAACGACAATCTTTATGATGTTGATCACCAGGAAGAAGGCTAAATGCTCACTAGCTGATCGCATGCATCCCGCAGTTGGAAGTCGGGTGCGGATGGCGTGAGTTCGTCGATCAGCTGATTCACTAAACTGCATAGACGAGCGTGCTTATCACGTTGCAGATTAGCCTCCAAGTCGTCCTCCGCAAAGCCTTCGTCAATCTAAAGCACCATCAGATAGTGGATTGCACAAATTGCCAAGGTACATACCTCCGCAAACGGGTCATCTTCGTCGTCTTCATCCCCGAGCTACACAACAGTTTGCTCGCTAACGTTCGCAATTTAGCAGCGGTTACTTACCCAGGACTTATTCGACAACCGTGTGTTGAGCTGAAGGGTTTGCATCGGCTGCTCCAGAGCTTACTTAGCCGTTAGTTCACGAGAGCAGTCAGCGCCAAGAAAGATACTCACTGCTCCCGCTAGCCTTACCAAATACATCATCGTAGTCCTCGTTATCCTCTTCGGCATACTTGTCGAACTCACGCGAACCCGCCGCACGCTTTGCCTCCGAACGACCAAATGATCCAGACTCATTTGACCCAACCAACGACGACGATCGAGAATGGGATCGAACGTGGGCGGATGAGGGCACGTTTTGACCGACGAGGTTCAGGGAAGATCGGGATGTTTTACGGGAGAGGCCAGGTAGGGGAGCCGACTTCGGACCGGGGGAACTGGGGGTGATACCAAGAACCTTAATGTCATCTGGATGGAAAAGTCCGGGCCGGACAGAATTCCTCATCTGCGGCAGAAGTACAGTTAGCTTGTGGGAAGTAAGCAAAATCACACAACAAACCTTGAAATCTGCCACTTTCTCTTGAAGTATGAAGTCGTCCTCATCGGCTGCAAGGTCTGAGTAATCCTCGACGATGGGTATCATGTCCGCGGAGGGGGCTTTTGCCAGTGGTATTGTGCCGGGGCCTCCAGGGCTTCTGCTGGGGCGAATAGTTTGAGAACAGTCGTCCACCTCTACCTTGTCATCCTCCAGAGCAGTTTTTTCGAAACCTATAGGATACCTATCAGAAATGCAGGGTAAGACCACGCTGACACACGTACCTTGCAACTTGGTGAACGAAGGACCATCCTCGAAATCGTCGTCCCAGTTGTCCGTTTGCTCCTCGGGGGGTTGGAGGACGAAAGGCGCTGGCTCACGAATCTTCTCCACTAACCCGATAGCCGCCGTCGGTTTTGTGGCTACGCCACTTTGCGCTTTAAGGGCCAAGGGACCGGCTACAGATTGTTGGAGACCGAGCACTGAGTGTTGGAGGAGCGAGATGCCAGGCTTGTCGCGAGTGGCTTGCGTAGGAGACGCCGGGGGTCCTCCCACCTGGGGACGAGCTCCATGTTTGGAAGGTCGAGTAGGAGCTATGAACATCAGTATTGAGAGTAAGTCAAAGGAAAGAGTTGTTTCACATTTCAAAGCCTCGTTCCACTCTTGGACTTTGAGGACAGCCTCGTCGAAATTATAGTTAGCTTGAGAATTCTTCGGTACATGCGAGTTGCTGTCAAACGAGTGGCCGTCCTTTCCAGCCACCACACTTAATTGTTTCCTGGCAGAAATCATCCATGGGTGCTTCAAGAGCTTCTTGGCGGATATACGAAGATTAGAGTCCTTTTGGAAACAGTGAAGTAAGAAATCCTTGACGATTGGAGAGGCACCCTCGGGTATTGGAGGACAGTCGTCTTGAACAATCCGGAAGAGCGCGGGCATCGGGTCAAGAAAGTGATACGGGGGTCTGCCCTCCAGGAGTTCAATCACAACGCAACCCACACTCCTGCACAACAAAAATATATATCAAGGTGGATTCCGCCAAGAAAGCTGCATCACATGCCATATATCCGATGCCGTCGTTGCACCTGATTGCTCAATCACTTCAGGTGCCACTATCATGAACGAAAGTTAGCCGTAAACTTCCTGATTCCAGGAAAACACGCACTCCAATATGGGCTCCCAACAACGGCGTCGTCACTGACAGCTCCGGTCGTCGTGGAACTGGCGACTCCAAAATCTGCCAGCTTCACACAGCCATCTTTATTGGTCAGTATGTTCGCGCCCTTAATATCGCGGTGTATAACACCCTGATCGTGGAGATATACAAGCCCTTCGAGCACTTGACAAATGTATACCGCAACGAGATTCTCGGGAAACTTTCCGAAACGCTTGCATATATGATGAAGGGATCCGTTCTCGCAGAATCTGTTCGTAGTCAGCACGTTATCTGTCCATAGCCGAGTCATACACACTCGAGGATGATGTAGAGGTACTCCGGTGTCTTCACAAACCCTTTATATTTGACGATGTTCGGATGCTTACGGATTATGAGCTAAACAATCTCCAGTACAGTAGATGCCGCTCACATTGAGATTCTTGAGCAAGTCGATCTCGGACTGCAGGAGCGTGTTATTTGGGGTGAAAAGAACGTCAGTAGAAAATTCACCATGATCTGAGCCAGTTCCCCCTTCGGGATATTGCTGAGTTGTATTTCCTTGACAGCAACAGCTTCACCAGTGGCCCAATTAAGTGCCCCTACATGGCTGACGCTTGAACTGCACAGCATAAATGTTCGCCAGGTAAAACTTACGGTACACCTGGGCAAAGGCACCCTTCCCCAGAGAGTCCCCTAGTTGCTGAGAAAAGATCAGAGGTTAAGCCAGCACAGGAGCGGCTCTCATGTATTAGATTGACGAACGTAGTCATTGAGAAGTTTTGAGCTGTTCGCCCGCTTTCCTGGACTTATGCCACGAATGGCCGACATAACTGGGCAGTCTATACGTTGGATGCCAGGAGAGTGGTAGGAGTACGCGAGGTAATAGCTGGGTGTTTGAGGGAGACCGGTAACCTTCCGAGACCCAACCCACGGATATAAAAGGGTATGGGGAGGTGGATTCAGAGATCAAAAGAAAGATTGGGAAACAATGACGTCCCCTCTAAAGTCGCGTCCCGCGCCGACGAATTGCAAAGTGGGCAGTGTTGGGCAGCAGTACTGTACCAAGTACTGGCCACAAGATGAGTCCGATTTGGACAAGCACGCAGTTCCTATACTATTCACGTGACTCAGTACCCTACAATATGACTACCAGTCAATTTGGAGTTGCTACTGGTCGACTCCAGATTCCAAATCCGTCACTTACACTTGAGAGCTTCACCCCCACAATGCGCATACCTTCTCAGAGCAGCGCGAGGTGGCGTCGTATTACTGTAGCAGCTCGCCGGGGTGCCCTGTGGGAGCGATCGCCAACACCTAAATCTGGTCACCGTGGTGGATAACACCACGGCCTTGATCAGATCGAAATCCCCGAAGCACTTTGATACAAGCAAGGCTTACACAATGACACTTGAAGCATCATCTGCAAAACTACCCGAGGGAATGAGCAGGTTATACCTGCCTCCGTTTGGAAGTGACTTGTCGTAAGACTCGCTAAGACACTTGTTGGCCAATAAGAGGGCTCGCTCAAATGCGAAAGAGCTGTTAACAGCCGCATCGCGTAGCTGTTTCCCAGATGATGAAAGCTCAAACAAAGCGTACCCCTTTGACGATAAATCATCATGTTAGTTAATAACCACTTGAGCAGCAGAGGCCTTAAAAGAGACTTTATTAAAATATCGACCTGCTTGACTTCCATTTGCATTGACGTCATTGAATTGCCAACTTCGTTACTCTCTGAAGCAAAGCTGCCTCTTGGGGCACAATAACTGACTCCCACGCAACGGGCACAACCCACACAAGGCATAGTGATTTATGAGTCTGGCCCCAGTATGCCCGGTGACTCAGACGGCCTGATGACCTAGTTGGTTGCGAGCTTGATTGACAGTGGTTTGCGCAGCTACTAACCACACAACTCTTCCTTTACTCGTCATGTCAGACAAACCAGAGACAGACATACCCTCACTCGATCCCAACATTTACGATGCAATACTGGATTCCGAGATACTTTCGTTCATGAAGTCATTGACTGGTATTCAGGACGATGATGAACTTAAAGCACACGTACTAAACATTCAGAAGAAGGCTTACGCTGTATGCATGACTCACAATTAACAAGAGTAGGGTTCAAGTGCAGTACTGACCTTGGACTTCCGCAGGTATACCCTTATCCATGCATAGGTTTCTTGCATTTTATGAAGTACGAGTCATGTTTTGTAGGGTGACGCGCTATTAGCGCTTACTGGGATGAAAGCCGAAAGATATCTTCCCATGAGTCATACCAACAAGTCCTTAAGCTCGAACGGGACCGTGAAGGTGCATTGCTTTTGGAGATCGGCTGCTGTCGTGAGCATCTGTATTGCGATAATGAAGTGTTATATTGACCTGCCTTCAAGTTGGGATGGAGATGAGGAGAGCTGCTGCAGATGGTTTCCCTGCGAAGCAAATCATCGCTTCAGATTTACATTCAGGTGAGTCATGTCTCACGGTCTATTGTTCCAACACTGAATGGCCGCCTTGCCATCGGCAGAATTTTGGGAGTTTGGCCATGCCCTTTTTCGAACCACACCTCAGTCGTTCCCAGCTACCTTCGTCGCAGGGGATGCACTCGATCCTGATTTTCTCTCACCACTTCCAGGAAATTTTGAGTCTCGGGCGTCCCTAGATTTATCGACCTTGATGACACTGAACCAACTGAAAGGCAAGGTATCAGCAATTTATGCGAGATCACTTTTCCATGTAAGGCAAACAAATTGAAATCGCGTACCCGCGTTTGACTCCATTGGTCATGACAGCTTTTCAATGAAGACCAACAACGCCAACTAGCCCACTCACTGGGCAGTCTTCTGTCTACCCAGCCTGGGAGTGTCATTTTTGGCTCTCACATGGGAAATGTAGAGAAGGGCATTATTAAACACGAACCGATTGCTGGGCAGGATTGTACGTTTTTCCATAGTCCAGAAAGTTGGAAAGAATTGTGGTGTGAAACATCGCCTGGGGACTATCAGAGTAATAGTCAAGGCAAGCTGACTGACCCAGTTTTCCGATTCGGGGAAGTTAACGTCGAGGCAAGTTTCCAATTCGTCAGGACGGCATCGGGTATGGAAGGGTTCCGGATGGATTGGAGCATAACCAGGCTGTAGAGAGATATGGTACGCATCTGGTAGTGGGCCGCTCGACGTCCTTCCGTATGTACTGTATTTTATGATAACTAAGCTCCAGACTCGACACCAATTAATGGTACTGTAAAGATATTGATGTCTATCACGTGACCGCGACGCGTGTTCTAAAAAAACAACCACCACACCGACACGATCCCAGCCACACGTTTCTGTTGCATCGGGCGACATTTACACTACGAATTGCATGTAAATTTTCGATAAGCATGGCCTCCATCGCATCCGTCACCAAGCAATTCACTACTCTGGAGATCTCCAAAAACCCCATAAATAACCCATCTCGCCCCCCATGCGCGCCTTCGAATCTAAAGCCAACCAGAAAACCCCCCATTATTAACATTGGGAAGTACGACGGTGGATTCGAGATTGATAACGAAAAGCGCGGTGAAAAGGTTTATGGCGAGGCGGCTGACGACCTCGCATTGGACTCGAGTACGTCACGGTGAGTGGCTCTTGCTCGCTCAGGTTGAGTCCCACTTACAAGTTCCACAGAACACGACCTACACGCGAATGGAAACTTACTGACTTCGATATCGGCCGTCCTCTTGGAAAGGGAAAATTTGGTCGGGTTTACATGGTTCGCACCAAGTGCGAGCCTAACTACATCCTTGCACTCAAGTGCCTATATAAATCCGAGATCGTGCAATCTCGTGTGGAGAAGCAGATCCGGAGAGAAATAGAAATCCAACAGAATCTTCGTCACCCGAATGTCCTTCGTTTATATGGCTATTTCCACGACGAGAAGCGAATCTTCCTCATGCTCGAGTTTGCAGGACAAGGAGAGTTGTACAAACAACTGAGCAAGAAGGGGAGCTTCTCCGAGAGGCGTAGCTCAAGATATATCGACCAGATGGCAGATGCACTGCAATATTTGCATTCGAAGCACGTCATCCACAGAGACATCAAGCCCGAGAACCTCCTTCTGGGTATCAATGGGGAGTTAAAAATCGGAGACTTTGGATGGAGTGTGCATGCCCCAGGGAATAGGCGGATGACACTCTGCGGTACGCTGGACTATCTACCTCCTGAAATGGTGGAAGGAAAAGAGCACAACGAGAAGGTCGATTATTGGGCCCTTGGAGTGTTAACCTACGAATTCCTGGTTGGGTGTCCTCCGTTCGAAGATAAAAATAGTGCCAACGGTCAGTGTCGGACAAACTGGACCCTACCAGGTGACTGATTTGCCTTACAGCAACCTATCGGCGCATTGCAAAGGTGGACCTTAAAATACCTCCCCACGTTTCGCCGGATGCCAGAGATCTGATATCGAAGGTGAACGCATACTCTTGTTTGGTGAAGGTTTGTTAACGTCTTTTTATAGCTGCTAAAGTACAATCCGGAAGAGCGACTTCCGCTGTCCGAAGTAGCTCGGCATCCATGGATTCTCAAGTACCGGCCAAAGAGTACTTCTAAGGGCGGGTCTGAGGCATAGGTTGTTGCTTACACCCTGTTTGACCAGCCAAGGATAGATTTTTGCTGTTTGTTGAGCCTGTTGTACTTGTGTAATTGCATGGCGTTTGGGAGGACTTCAAACCTAGGGAACCGTTGGCTTGCTAATCATTTGGGAGGTGTCGCGGAGCCATTCAATCAATTTTTAATCGATTCCGCGTGTCGATCTCGCCACGTGGGGCTGGTCTTGTAATAAAAGTAGAGTCTGGTACAGGTTGCCATCGGACGCTTGTCTGAAGTTTGAACCTCGACTTTCCTCACATCCTCGCCCATCATTACCATTTACTCACGTCCAGTCTCTCAGCTATTGTACGATATGTTGAAAGGATTCGGCAAGTTGGCAAAGAAAGCTTCGTCGGCCACCCTTTCAGCTGGTACCGACGAACCCCCGCGTTCCATCACTCCAACCCCAGGCAATCCCGATGGCAAACCTACGTCCCGAACCGGTCTCCTGACAATACGTGTCCTCTGGGCAGAGGGCCTTGCCCTTCCTCCTGGAACGGCCATCCCATCTGCCGTGCAAGCTGCTCTCTCAACCCAGCAGGCCAAGGTTGCAGCGTCTGTTTCACCATCTAGCGTCATGCAAAAGCGTCTTGCCAAGAGACACAGCGCCAAGGACAGCTTGCAACGTACGCAATGCTGGTGGCTTCCTTACCTCGTTATGGAGTTTGAAGTGAATCAGATCTTGATAACCTCTCTGGGTGGTGACCTCGAGAAACCGCTGTACATGTACCAGGCGCAGTTGTCAGTCTCAGTCTTCTCCGAATCCAGTCGTTCCGGACACTAACCATGTTACTAGCGACGTGTCGAGGACTTCCGAGATATCCATACAATGTTATCTTCGGGCTGAGCAGCCCAAGGTCGGGAGCGATGGCCTTGCGGATGACATGGGTAACGACTTGTTCATGGGAGGTATCAAATTTGTCCCGGACTTTGACAATGTCGGTTCCGTGGGCAGTGACCAATGGTACGATCTGAGTGGTGGTCCAGGAAAGATCCAGATTGGCGTCGCATATCAACCGAGTTCCGTAGGTTTTCCGTACGTTTCGCCCTTCTCTTTGACGCTCATGCAAGTAAACAGGGCCAATCGCTGACTATCGACGATTTCGAGCTTATCACGGTCATCGGAAAGGGGAGTTTCGGCAAGGTGAATTCCTCGTGGGGCCGGGTTGATCGTTGCCCGCTGACGCACACCATAGGTTATGCAAGTCAGAAAGCGTGATACCATGCGGGTATACGCGTTGAAAACCATTAGGAAGGCCCATATCGTTGATCGGAAGGAGATTACCCATACTCTGGCAGAGCGGCTGGTGCTGGCACGCGTCAATAATCCGTTCATTGTGCCTCTCAAATTCAGCTTCCAATCAGAACAGAAACTTTACTTGGTTTTGGCGTAAGTAGGCACCCCATCTTTTACGGTGAGGAATACTGAAGTTGCAAATAGTTTTGTCAATGGAGGAGAGCTATTCCATCATCTGCAGCGCGAACAGCGCTTCAACGAAGAACGTTCCCGTTTTTACAGTGCAGAACTGCTCCTTGCTCTCGAACACTTGCATGAGTTGGATGTTGTCTACCGGTTCGCTTGCAATCACTTTTAGGACATAACCGCTTCTAAATTCTGTCTAGTGACCTGAAGCCAGAAAACATTCTTTTGGATTACACCGGACATATCGCGCTTTGCGATTTTGGTCTCTGCAAACTCAACATGAAGGATTCGGATACGACAAATACATTCTGTGGCACCCCGGAATACCTTGCTCCCGAAATCTTGAATGGCCAAGGATACAGTGAGAGCAGGCCCTTGACGTGTTCAAGCAGCTTCTGACTAGTCGCAGACAAGGTTATCGATTGGTGGACGCTGGGCTGTCCTGCTTTATGAGATGTTGTCCGGTCTTCCGCCTTTCTATGATGGCATGTCGCGTTCTGCGTTTGCGCTGGTCGATTGCTGATTCTGGATTGCATTGCAGAGGTGACGGATAAAATGTACCAGAAAATCCTGACGGATCCACTAGTTTTCGGACCCTGATATCGGAACAGAAGCGCGTAGCATTCTCACCAGTCTTCTCAATCGGGACCCGACCAAACGTCTCGGTGTGAACGGTGCAGAAGAGATCAAGAGGCACCCGTTCTTTGAAAAGCATATCGATTTCAAGAAACTCTTGCAAAAGAAGATACAGCCTCCATTCAAGCCTCGTGTTTCTAGCCCAGTGGTGCGTGCGACTCGCAACTGTTGGTATGAAGTCTGACAACCAATGTTCAGGATGTGTCAAATTTCGACACTGTATTTACTACCGAGGACCCCATCGACAGTTACGTCGATGGGTCTCATCTGTCGTCTACTGTTCAGGCTCAGTTTGCCGGTATGTGAACCCGCCTGTTTCTTGGTAGACTATATTTACTGTTTCTAGGGTTTTCATACGATGGCTCTAATATACCCGCCGACGCGTAAAGTACCCCAACTTACCGGACGCTCAATTAAGGAATTCTCTAGAACGTGGCTCGTGTTGGTTCGTACCTCGTCGTATCACGCTGGCAGCCGCATTAGAATTGGGTATCGGCTTTCTGTTTCATATCATTTTGGGATCGGAAATATACTGTACAAACTGAAGGCATTAATTTTCTGCAGTACACATGGAACCATTTTTCCCCCCGTTATGTGCTTCTTGTAAGTAGTGGAGAAAGGATCTCAAAGTCAAAGTCAAGTTTTTGTTCTAAATACCAAGTTTGCATCTGACTACAATCCTTCGTTCAGAGGCTAGAGTGTTCATCAGACGGGAGAATGTTATTAATATAGGAGCTACTGCTGCGGCATTCGCACAGTCTCCGAGCCTCGGCATCTCAACTCATACATGACAGACAACATCCAGTATAAGACCGATTGTCTATATCCAAGTGAAAATACACACGCCAGTGTGTGCAGCCAGAGGCCTGCTGTAATATTGTTGACGCCACACCAGATACGCCAGGCGCACAAGTGCCGACAATCGGTACACATTCTCATCATTATCACATCAGATCATTGCCTAATCCACAATACTTACCTCTAATGTTTGGACACGAGCATGACCGGAGTCGATGAAGGCCACAGCAGACAGATTCCCCTTGAGGCATATCAGCGCGTCCGATCCAGAACAGGAGAAGTCACAACCCACGACCTACGCGGTGGCAGATTGCGGGTGGAAGCGGCCTGCTTCCTCCAGAAGTTTACCACGCAGTAATGCCGAGCACAAGAATTCTTGGATACAACATTCCACGCTGTCAAAGGAAGTCAGTCATCAGTCATGCATACCTCACTAGTAGAAATGGTTTCTTGAATAGAGGTCCGAATATGCAGGGATGACTAATCAGGAGGTAAAATGTTACACCCCGCATTATGTAATGAGGTCATGGCTACCGTCAGTCATGTCATCCGGTCAGAGTACGACCCAGCAGACCGCGAAAGGCTCGAGCGCGAAACAGGCCAAGTACTCGATGGCGACAGCTTGACAGACCCGTGGCAGACAGAATCATCTTTCTCTGCCCAACGTCGCCTTCGTGCGGCGCCATCCTTTGTCCCAGCTACGATACCCTATGACGAGTGGGGACAAAATCATTCGTCGCAGTCTGCAGATAGACTATCTGTGACGACGATCGGCACATCTACGGATACTACCACAAATTGGTATAGATCTCTCGTTAGGACTAAAACATCAACCCCACCCAAATCGTTGACACCCTTGCCGCCACGTCCCTGTATAGCTCCACCACCAGAGGACGTATCAGTATCAGTACGAAAGAAAACGTTGCGAGAAGGTATCAACAAAAACAACTGGTTCATCGCCCAAGCATTGCGCTCTGAGCCTGACATGAATGTGCCTTCTCCCCCACCGTCATTGGCGGACATTCTCACTCGTGACCCTCCACCTTTACCCTCTCAGGGACGGTACAAGCCACCTGTGTGGCTGCATATCGGTCCGACGAATAAAGGATTTGCGATGTTACAACGCAGTGGTTGGAGTGAAGGCGAGGGTCTTGGTGCTCACGCAGCAAGACGGACCGAAGCCGTAAAACTCGGCAAGGAGGATGTAAAAGATGCGCCGTCTCTGTCGGCGTGCCATGATAACGTGGGTCTCGCCAAGGGAAAGGATCCGAGTGTGGTTGCACCCGAATGTGCAGCAACCAATGTCATTGATCTTACTCATTCGGATTCTGAATCGGAAGAAGAACCGGACGAAGACCCCGAGACATTGGAAGCTACTACCATGCACGAACGAGCGTCCACTCAATCACTTGATGAAGCTTCTGCGCCTCATTCGCAGAAGTCCTTGCTCACTCCCATCCCAACGGTGCTCAAGGTAGACAGACTTGGAATTGGCCTGAAGGCAAAAACCGAGGGACCCTACAAACGGTCGAAGAAACGCGTCACACATAACGCGGCCGCACTGGCTGCACATATTCAGGGCATCTAAAGAGATGCAGAGGAAGAAGGCAGAAGTCGGCAGAGGGAGCAAGGGCTTTGCCAGATTACATAGACGGGAAGAAGAGAGACGAAAGTCGATGTTAGCATACCTCAACGAATAAGACAACCCATTTGCAGCATCAATCACTTATTATAGTCTTCATTCCATTGTGACTTATGGGGTATGAGTAGATACAACGTTGCAAGTATCGTTTGATCCAAATGCTAATAAATACCTGCCTCGATTGTAGTGGGCATTCTGTTTGTCTGGGCTGAAAAATATGCGGCAGTGTAAAAGAGAAGTGAAAATGAAAAGATGTATGGTTGTTGGGTCTTGATGATGATTAGTCCAGCCCGCGACATCAGGGTAAGATGGAATCACCCCAGATGCTCTTCACGGATTCACAACGGACGTCACGCACGTACATACGTAGCCACTGAACCATCTCCTTGCTTATCTGATGGCAACGTGTCACATCGACGGATGACAGTCGCCGAGGACCGGGCACAGGACTGCTACACCGCGTGGAGGCAAGGGAATGAATGTAAGCGGATGCCGAGGCGGATGAGACTGGCCGAGGGCCAGGGGTTGCTGAAGACGGTAATTGTGACAGCTTCCCGGAAAGACGAGACTCTACTAGTGTTCGCAAGGCATCCCATTCTAGTGTGGTACACCCGTCGAGGTTCAGCCGCTCTAGTTTGGGACAAATCCACGGGTGGGAGGCCGGCGGTGCCGAGAGATTCTAAGTTAAATCGATTAGAAACCAATCAAGACACATCGGCCGGGTCCTTACCTTCAGAAGGAAGCATGAGAATATCTTCTATGTCTATTAACTCCAAAGTCGTAAGTGACATCAACCGCCTCAGCAAATTCACGAATTTGGATTCGTTGAAGAGGCTCGACTCGATGCGGAGGTGTTGCAATGGGAGTGACGTCAGGGATTGTTGCCTCAGGTGTTCCAGGATAGGCGTTAAGTTATCAAGGTAGCTGAGATCGAGGGACTGCAACGCTGGAAAGGTGACCTGGCTCAGAAGTAGCCTCGTACGAATGTTGCCCAGCATAATAGAATGAGGCCTTGGTCAGTCGTGGAAGCCTTACGACTTTGGCCGCGGAAAACTCTTGGTCGTGATGCGTGAGATTGTCTACGTCCGCATCTGTCATGTTGCGGAGTGCGAGCTCCTGTAGGTCGGGACAGCCGCGAAGGACATCAAGCAAGGTCTCTACAGATGGAGAATATCCATTCCAATAACCCCCTAAATGAAGAACGCGTAAACCAGACATGATCCTTCCATCCCAACCGAAGTTGAAAGACGTGAAAGAACAAGACTGCAAGCGCGGTGTGTAACCATTGAACAGGGGAAGACAGGGGCTAGCGTGATGATCGTCCTGCATCGAGTGATATATGCAGATCGAGAGCGTCTCGAGGAAGGGAGCGTCCTCTTTGCATCGCAGTAGAGCAGCGTGGGCTTGAGGTCTGTTGGGCACACTAAGGCGGAAAGTCTTCGTGCGCCAAAGAGCGGGTCGAAGAAGATCCATGGCGCGAACGATATTCTCTGTGACGGCTGATGGATTGTCAACGCGGGGACTGAAGTTAATGGTAACGTCCAGGGGAACAGATTTGGAACGAGCGAGCCTCCGACGTGCCTTCTCGATCGAGTCGTGAGGGCTGATGCAGATTGTCGACCACAGCTCTGGTGTGTTGACAGCGATATCCCTCCAATATCGGCACACCAGCATTAGACTAGATATCATCAACGGATCCTCGTCCCCTGCATCGCAAACTCCAGTAACGAAAATCAACGACACGAGTTCTTCGGGTAAACGGAAGATGGGAGACTGAGAACGAACAGCTTGCTCCAGATGTGACTCGAGCTCCTGGCGTTTGCTAAGTAGGGAAGCCACCTGAGTATCCAGTGAATCAAGGGCTTCTCGCAGATGTGAAATTGTCACGTCTGAGCTCTGATTCCATCCCGGCAGTGGGGAGAGGTTATGTTTGCGAAGAATAGAAACAGGGGCAGTGGATAAATCAGGGGGGCCGAAGTCAGAGGCGTAAGTGGCGGTCCCAACAGCACCGACACTGAGTATCGGGGGTGACCCAATCGATTTACCGACTGCGTGGATATCCTCGTAAGGAGGAGGGGGTGAAGACGGGGACGAGGAGGAAGAGGAGGAGACGCTTGGTGGTCTGGAGAAATACACAGGATTTCTGGCTGCGAAGCTGGATCGATCTTTGGTTGAAGGAATGACGCGTTCATCGTCGGAGGGGGTAGAAGAAGACCACGGCATAGAGACTCGAGAGCGAGGATGATTGATTGAGGGTTGATTTGACCACGTTCTTAGGTGAGATCAATGGTGGGATAATAACTTCTGGAAGGTGGTCAGGGATTGAATGTACATCTGCGAGGGTAAATGGTTCGAGTTGAGATTTAAGGGATGATGAGAAGGGGACACGTACATCAAAGCCTGTTGTCCATCGTCCCGGCTGGGAGTGGAGTGGATGTGGAATGGAAGTCTTATTAAGTCAATGACAAGTACCTGCGAAATATCAGAGCTGGTCGTCATCGCAGTGCACGAGGCTGGGACTCGTGTCGCTGCAGGAGGGACAATCCGGCCTGAATTGCTTGATGAAGAGCTGCAACGTGGGACGGCAAAAGGGCATCTGAAACACGAGGGCTGGCAACGAGGCAGCTATTGCCACCTGCAAAGTACCCGATAATGTAACACGTTCCCATCCACCCACCCGGGCTCATTTCGCCTTTTCACATCCACAGCACCCACTGCGGGAATCCGCAACACGCGGAGCCGATACATACACATGCAAGTCTACCAGTAAACAATCCCATTCATCTCGTCCTCATTCATCCACCATCAGCCGAGACACATAGCCGTAATAGAAGAACTGGCCCAGTACCTGGATGCGTTTCAGCCGCGGATAAGGCCTGACTCCACACACTAGAACTTACAAACACATCGCACACCACTGTCACGGTACTCCCTGACAAGAAAACAGGTGATATTTAGGGTTCGCCATTAACAATCCACGTACCGGCGAGCCAGCTTGCGTTCCTTATCAGGTAGTCGCGGTCCATAGACACCACGCAAATGGACAGGGTGTACGTGATATTTCCAAGGATCGCGAAATAAAAAAGACCTGGTGCTAGACCCTCGCATCTAGTTTGGACGTTCTTGTCTAAAAACTGTCAGTGAAAACACTGCGCCTCCGTAATCACACACACAGATTTGTGGTATTCGAGCGCCGACTAGGTACGTAAGTCCACTGAATCAAATTTACTATTAGGGAAGGCCGGCGGAACTCACTGTAAGATATGGCACTGGTCCACCCAAGGATCTGGGTCTCCAATTCAACAGAAGTTTCCAGGGACGGATACGAGGAGCTTCCGTGATCAATCACTTTGCTTATAAAATAGGTCCCCGATCCCGCGAGGGCAACAATGACAGCAGCGGCCGTATACCGCAGGAATATCTGCGAAAGTGGTGCCCGTCGACGTTCTCTGCAGGCAGACGTTCGTTCTTCGAGTAGACATGACTGTTCAGATGGACAACCGTTCAGTGCAGCCGTCCTCTGCGCCTTGCGCTTCCGCCTATAATAGTACACCTGAAACAGTAGCGTGGAGTCGCATATTGTGTACTTTGGCGTAAAACGTCACGTCAGTCCCGATGTCCATTCAAGGAAATGGGTAAATACCAACATAGACAGCGAGAATTATCACCGTGGGGACCAGCTGACCGATGACCGCACCCGCGAAATTGCACAAATCGCCAAGCACCCATATGTATATAAACAAGAGGGATAGGCCCTCGCCGCTTTGCAGTTGGTAGTTCTCTATGAGCTGTGGGGAGTATACAATGATCCTAAGAAAAGGGATGGTGAAAAAATTACGGGCATCCAGCATCACAAAGCGCACCAGCATGCGGTAGATATGGAGCCGAGCTTCGTTGCAAGACAATATCAGCGAGGATAACCCATTTATAGTGAGGCGTAGCACGTACGATGTTGCTGGCTACATCCCAATCCCCAAGCATGGTCATGGCAATACGATTGTTTGGTTGAAAGTGGGACACCAGACCTCGGAGAACCTGCAGAACCACGAGCAACGATGAGAACGCGTCAACGACACTCAGGATGTCTGAGTTAATACGTACATTTGGTGTACCCCGTTATCTAAGTACATACGGCACTTAAAGAGGTTTAACTAGCCACGTCACGTGAGGCTTGCCGAAGTGCTTCGGCGGATCGGCATTTGTGCAACGTACGAGCCCAACCTGTGACTTGGCCACCAAGTTAATCCTTCGAAAATGAGTGGTCAAGAAGCTTTCAGAAGGTTGGCACAACAGCTACAAAGGGCTGGCGGTCCTGGGGGTGGAAGTGGTTTACCGGGTGGTCCTGTTCGATTCTTCGCTGGGTCGGGCTTGTTGCTGGCTCTCGTTGGTGGCGGTATCCTTCTCAATGCTAGTTTATTCAACGGTTCGTGAGTTTTGCGATACAAATTCTTCTGACTATTGATCATCTATGTACCAGTCGACGGTGGTCATCGAGCGATAAAGTATACCCGGTTAGTTGTAATGGTGTCTGGGTCCGTATCGTTTACTGACAACTTGCAGTCTGCATGGTGTGAAAGACGACGTGTACAACGAAGGGACTCACATTATGGTCCGTAGCCTCACCAAGTGCTCTTTTTCGGCTTGCTTTTTACATTACCACAGGTTCCTTGGTTCGAGACTCCCATCGTCTTTGACATCCGAGCCAAACCTCGCAGTGTTGCTAGTTTGACAGGAACAAAAGGTTAAAGGTCTTTCTTCTTGGCTTGTCCTTTCTATCATTGACACTGGTATAGACTTGCAAATGGTGAACATCACTTGCAGAGTGCTCTCTAGACCGTCGGTCCAAGCATTGCCAAGGATTTTCCGTGAGCTCGGGAAGGATTACGACGAGCGTGTGTTACCCTCAATCGTTAACGAGGTCCTTAAGAGTGTGGTTGCGCAATTCAACGCGAGCCAGCTAATCACTCAGCGTGAAATGGTGGACGAGACTAGCGTTGCTTTCGGCGAGTTCCTTTGCTCATTTGTCTTCTCATAGGTCTCCAGGCTGATACGAGAAAATCTCACACAACGAGCGTTGCGTTTCAATATCGTCCTGGACGACGTCTCCATTACTCATGTTGCGTTCTCACCTGAGTTTACACATGCTGTGGAAGCCAAGCAGGTAACTCTCTGAAAGCGTTTTTTTCTTACAGCTTGACTTACCCTCCGGAAGGTTGCCCAACAAACAGCACTTCGTGCGGCTTTCTTGGTAGATCAAGCAATACAAGAAAAACAGGCAAGCTCCAAGCTCTTTCGCGTAGTAACTTTGGCCACTGAACTCGCAAGTGCAGTCGATCATTGTGCGCGCACAGGGTGAGGCACGCAGTGCGGAACTAATCGGAGAAGCAATGCGGAATAATAAGGGTTTCCTCGACCTTCGGCGTCTTGAAGCCGCACGGGACATAGCGAACGTATTAGCTAGCTCAGGCAATCGAGTCATGCTGGATGCGCAAAGTTTGCTTTTGAATGGTGGGTCGTTTAAGCACTTATGTTCTGGCCTCCTTGTAAACATTGTTTTTTACAGTTACTGGTGAGGACGCCAAGGAGCTTCTCAAAGTTAAAAAATAATGTAATGTCGGGGCCACTGTAATTTGAACTTATTCCAGCGCATCACATTGTGATCTCGTGCCTCAATATGGGCCCCATTTATCATAGCTATTGCCTTGGGCCTAACGTACAGGTCAGTACTTCCTGCGTGATGTGGTAGTCACGTGGTTGGTCATCTTCACGTGTCGACTTCTGGCAACGCACGTGGCCGAGTTCCACCTCATTACAATCACAGTGCGTTCCGTTACGGAAGTACTTATCTCCACCACATGGCGCGTAAATCTGGCACGAAGAGGCAAAAGTCTATCACATGCAGCTCCGGAGAAGATGCCATCCCAATGGATGGAGTGGATGTTCCGAATCGTTCTAAACGTGTCAGGTGGGACGTGACCTCAGATCAAGGAGAGGAAGCAGTATCGGGCCCCACGGACTCGGACAACGTACTCTCGGAGAAGGCAAGTGCATCGTGGACAGGCTTCTCACCTCCTTAATTCTAGTCCAGGTCTGTATGGCGGTGTTCTGTCAAAAGTGAGTATTCCTTGGGCATTGAAGTACGTGGGGGGCGATCGATCGTGTATCAGTGGTCGTTTAGGCTGCGCATATTATGACCCAGCTACATGTGTGGTCAGTGTACTGGAAGATTCCAGAGAGGCTGGCCACTACGACTTGACCAAAATGCGTTAAGTGTAGATCTATGGATCAAATTGACCCAGTCGTTCTCATGAGGTGACTTCTTCTTGTAGTTGTCGAACAGAGTGACCCGCGTGTCATCATTACCAGCTCAAAGTCCGACGACGCTTGCATATCTGTTCTACAGGATTACGGTGCGCTTGTTTTCACTTTCTCGAGCGCGTATATGAGCTTTTTACGCCGATACTAGCTGAAGCTGCTGGTAGCATCTTTCAGATCAGACCGCATAGGGAATTTGTCCCATCTAAAGGGCGCGAACGAGTCCTGTCCCTTAAGCTCTTGACTGAATTGGAGGGAGGGGTGTGCAGCTCCCTGGATGCATTCCCAGAGACGTCTGAGAATGGTTTGATGGGCGCATACAATTTTATGCAAGGACGAAAACAGACATCTGGAGACCCTAACATGAAGAGATGGAACGCTACTATCCGTCTAGCGAATTTCGCCTCGTTGGAGTCGGCCCCACTCTGTGTACTGCACATATTTTCTGTCCTGTTTAAAGGATTAACCTCCAGACAGCTCTCCTGCATTGGCGCCCTAATCGATTTTCTCACCAGAGAAAGGGCTGCCGGAGAACTGGATCACGATGGTTCAGAAGCACTCGAAATTCAAAGCATTGAGGCCTTGGTATTGTTCGTCATTTTAAAACACACGACCTTGAAGCATCCTCACGCCTGGTAGGGATAAAGTCATGCACATCAATGCAGACGCTCTCCAGTAAGTCAGGATGATATAACTCTGTCATTCGATATCAGAACGTCTGCCAAGTTCTTTGCAGGTCTTCGAGAGTGAAAACCACGCCTCGATACATTCCGAGAAGACCAAAGAGGGACTCTCACTCTTTGGTGCGAGATTATGAATCTGCTTTTCCATGACGCTAGACTGCACATTAGGTGTTTTCAATACCACTCGGACGGCCTTGGGTCGCTTTCTCCTACGCACGTGGCTTTTACGTCCATCTTTATCACTAGAAGTACTGGAGGCTCGTCACACTGCTGTAGAATGCTTCTTGCTCCCAGAGAATACTCCTGCGATTGGTGCCCTGCAGACACATCTAAAGGGGACCACCAGTGTTCCAAAAACAATGAAAGCGCTGAAACGCGGGAAAGGAACGGCCAATGACTGGCAAGCTCTTGTAAAGGTCCGTTCTGTGTCCACCCGTGCTTGGCAAGGACTTAAAGTCATTGTCAGTTTACGTACCATTCCTCGATGTTATGTGATGCGTTGTCCGAGTTGCACCGGTGCGGGAACGTAGAAGTCGTGAAGAAGGTAGGCTATGCAAACATTTGATGTTCACAATACAGAACCATTCCAGTTTACTGGTGCCGTGGACCTCCGTTCTCTCAAAGAGATTGGCAATGTCATCAATAAGACGGTTCATTGCCCTTTCGCTCTCGGTCTTCCTTGGAGCCTCACTCTCCCCTGAAACAGATCGACTGGGAGGAATCCGCGGAAGTGGAGCGAATTTGCATTCGACCACACATTGATGAAGAGTTGGACAACAGGAAGCACGCGTACTATGGAATCGATTCTGTCTTGGTGCGCGTGCTCATTTGATTTTCACCACAACATGTTGCGTCTTACCGCCCTGTAGTCGAAGGTTGCCCAGCAAATTTCACAATCTGTTCCGGCTGAATATGCTACCTCCCTTAACGTCGTGTACTTCCCGCAGCTCGGTGCGTCCGCCTCGGGCTCTCTATCAATGATCAACTAACGGTAGCTTGATTATTGTTCAAGGGTTCTTGATTACCGTACCTATGCTAGAAGAATGGACATCTGATGCTGGGATTGAATGTCCTTGAGGGTTGGAGTTTTCAAGTAAGTTAAACGATACTGACGGGGTCTTCGTAGTCGTTCTGAGATTTGTTCGGCAGTTCTCATCAGAGTAATGGTTTCTCTTCGAATGTTTGTTATATTTCTGACTGTGCGACCGTCAGGTCTCATGTATACTTCAAGTCTCAGGAGATGCATGGTACACAACTTTCGGGTTAGGAACGTACTGCATTTCTAATTCCTGGCGCAGACATGGATCATCATATTGGTGATCTACATTCATCAATAGTCGGTGAGTACCTCCAGTGTACCTGCAAGCGAGCACTAACAGCCTTGAAGATCGAGAGATTGAACTCGTGCAAGAGTTGTTGGAGAAGATCGTACCCTTCCACGATTCTATTATGAACATATGCGACGTTTGCGCGGAACTCGACTGCTTACTTGCTTTCGCCGAAGCAGCCAGGTCATTCAATTATCGACGACCGCGGATGGTAGAAGGCTCTATCATGGATATTGTACAAGGAAGGTAAAAACGCAGTACACGTCCGGGTAACTGATACTGCAACCACCATACTAGGCATCCACTGCAAGAACTAGTTGCTGATGCTTTCGTCCCTAACGATGCCCGCTTAGTTGGCGGTGTTGGTTTTGGACAGTCCTATGTGCCCGATGATGCCTTTAGTGTAGCCGATGGTCTTCCATTCAACAGTGTCGTCCTCTGCACAGGAGCAAATGCATGCGGTAAGGTGAGTCGTCTTCCGTTCATTTGTCCTTCTGCTGTGATTCATCGTACACAGAGCGTATACCTGAAGCAGGTCAGTGAAAACCTAGCTGCTAGTCTACTTTTTCATTTTGTTCCCTCTCACAGGTCGCATTGATTCAGTACATGGCCCAAGTCAGTGTCAGCGCTCTGTTGTTTTGAACCATCTACTAATCACGGCTGCGTTTTGTAGATTGGAAGGTGAGTGAGCTTCCCAACCGGTACAACTCACCTGACCTGAGTATGTAGCTTCGTTCCCGCTGAATCTGCTACTCTGGGAATTGTGGATAAAAGTCGAGACATGTTGTTCCGGAGGTGGTATATATGCTGACATGATCCTCAGTTTTCACCCGGATTCAGACAAAGGAATCTGTATCCAAAGTGCACTATTCTGATCATTTGATATACTCTTCGTCCGTCTAATGCTTGTTTAGGTTCAGTCTGCTTTCATGATAGACCTCAGCCAGGTGTCTCTGGCCTTGAGGAACTGTACTTCGAGGTCTCTCATCCTTCTTGATGAGTTTGGGAAAGGCACCATCTCCACAGGGTAAGTGGACAGCGAAAATACGGTATTGGTTTTTACCTCATATACGCAGACGGGGCTGGGCTCTTCTGCGGTGTTGTCAAACATCTTCTCAACCGTGGGGCAGACTGTCCCATGGTTCTGGCAGCAACTCATTTTCATGAAGTGTTTCGCAAGGGCTTATTAAACCCGGATACAGTACCAATTACTTTCTTGCACATGCAAGTTCTTTTCACAGTCCAGCAACGGCGATCTCCTCAGCACAGATGGTCTTACGAATCCGGATGTGGTCGTGGACGGCGAAACACATTCTCGTGCATCCGTACCGGGGGAAAGGATCACATACCTCTATCGGTGCGTTTATACGATCGCTAGTCTACTACGGTAGCTTAATGACACAAAAGGGTCGCTCCAGGGTTGTCTTACGGTTCGCATGCTACTCAGTGTGCAGCTATGTATGGACTCCCGTATCGCATTGTTGCGAGAGCAGGATATGTCAGGTAAGTAAGCGATTTAGGAAAAACCCTATGCCGTTTTTTTTCAGCGTGTTTTTTTAATACCAAATAGCGAACTCCTGGCTACGTACGAACTTGGAAAGTTGTTGGAGGAACGGATGAGCGAGGAAGAACTCCTTGACCTTCAGGAGGCGGAAAAAGTTGCTCGGAGGTTCCTAGAGTGGGACCTGACCAGCGAAGAAGCAGCGCACCAGACGGGTGTGAAAGCAAGACTGGCACAAATTCTTGGCCGGGAAGTGGATCAGAGCTGAGCATGGAACTTGTGCACAGTGCTGTGCCTTCGGTTAGGTATTTGTGAACCTACGGTATGCACCACCTTTGCAGATAAGTTCACGTTCACGGTGAATGTGATTTTTCTACCGCGGAATTTGGGTATAGACAGAAAACGACCACGATAGATTATCGGCTACATTCAGGTACTTCAAGTATCACAAGCCAGAAAATCCAGATGCTCTTACCCTGACATAAAATAAAAATGTTGAGTAACAACACATTACATGGAGCACATACATGGTTCTCGTTCTTTAGCAATGTCGGTAAGGTTTGCATATGTGGCTGAGAATGGGTAGTTGTTATGTTTCCTCAACCGTTCGTGCCCCCTAATATACCCCAGGAATCAACCGATAGGGCACCTTCTTCGCCCACTCTCTCCATTCCTTCCCGAAGCTCTTCTCAAGCATTGCATCCTCATGGTTCACGCGTAAGATCCACACGTATCCCACCGACAACATGAACGCCCTCGCTGCCCATAGCACACGCGTCATGGCATGTTCATCAGCGGGCAGTAACCCAGAGCAAGTAACCAGCCACGAATTCCTATCGAGCCAAAACAACATCTGGCCAGTCTGCATGAGCAGGCATGCCGAATAGCTCGGGTGCCGCACAATCGAGTATGGACCGGACGTGACGAGTCTATGATCGTCCCGAATACTTAGTTCGAAGGTAAAGAATCGACCGAGGACATTGTAGCAGTGTCGTCGGAGCATCGCCCCGGCAATCGTCAGACATGTGCCGAAGAGAAATGCCGGCGAGAGCACGCCGACTTGTGTGATGGCCTGACTTGGAGGCTGGTGGGAATGCACCAGTAGGATCACGAGCCAGTGGCGCACGGAAGGTGGGCACAGATCACTCCCAGCCAACACAGTAGCAGCTTCTATGACCCCTAACAGACAGCTTATAATCTAGGTGGATTGAACAGTCAGTGATCGACTACGTTCGTTGATTCAGAAAGCCTGTCACCTTCCATGGCACACCAAGAAAAGGAAGCCCACCGGTAATTGACCGAGAGGGCTCATACCGCCCTTTGGTCAGTGGTTTGTCAGGGGTTGGCAGGACACCTTGTACGATCGCTGAGGCCGTCAAAGTAAGAATCCCCTTGCAAATCGGCGCTGTCATCATTTTCGCTGAGCTGAAGGTGTGATTTCAGCGTCTATCCAAGCTGCGCATGTTAGTTGTGATTGGGACCTTAAACAGTTCTGCCGATACTAGCGTAGCGCCTTCAGATAACAAAAATAAAATCACAAGTTGCCAAACATCGGATGTCCAATCATCAGTGTATAGCGCAGGGAAGGAGACAGGAATGACCCACTACTAAGAGGACAGGGGTAGTAAGCAATGCAATACAATCGAAGCAGGCCAGCCCGTGGTGTATCGTATTAGAAAAAGAAATGTGCATGAGAGGCGTTTGTAAAGCGGCCTCCGCTGGCCAGCCGACCAACCTATGCACCAGCGGACATTGTAGCAACGTAACTACGCAGCTAGAATTACTGAGGTGGATGGAACCCGGTCATAGGCGAAATCAAGCAAAAAAGGTAGAGGGATATATTGATGAGAATGACAAAAGGAAAAAGGTGAAATAAAGATAGCACCAAGTGATCATCGGAATCTAAAATGCGATGGTGACAACAAGATAGCCCCAAATGACAACAAACCAAGGCAACGAGAGGAGTTGGAGGTAGACCAGTTGGTAAGGAAGGGACGTATCACCAGTTCATGGTGCTCTCACGCAGGATCGGTGTAGAGATCGCGGCTGGAATAATAGGACGACGATCTCTCATGACAGATGCACGATGATCGTATGTTTCGTCTTCTGGATGTACGCCTTGATAACCGCGTAAACTGTCTTCGGCATAATAGAAGCTTCGCCTTCTTGGCCCACCAACGCTGTCGCGATCGAATTCCTGGCCCTCCGGGCGCACACCGACCACCTCCGTTAAAGGTCTGTGCCCAGCTTCCTGGCGGCGCTTGTAAGAACGGTAGGCAACATAGCCGACAATCATGAATGCGATGGTTCCGAGGGAACTGACGACGCCTATAATAGCGTCCTTGCGGACATCGGATCCTCCTGAGCTACTAGACGAGCTTCCTCCTGGTGTAGGACCGGCGATCGCATCCAGGGCTAAGCTAGGGTCGACACAAGCCGCCAGCGTTGTGGGTATACCTCCACTCTGCCCGGTGTAAAACACGGATTTTTGGTTGGCGATTAGGCTGGAAAGCGTGTCCACCTTGTCGCTAGGTATGTACCCCTGCCATATTGTTTCTAGTTGGTTGACGTCCTGCGGGCCAGTGTAGGTAGAAGGCTCGTATACGATCAAGTCGTAATTCATCACTTGCGAAGCTATAACAGGTGTCAGCACTAAAATTTCGACCAAAGCGAGATGCCTACCCCCAATGCCTAGAGCGGTGGCAATGACTTCAGGGAAGTATTCGAAAATCTGGCCTGGTGAGTCAGCATTCGTTGCTACCCACTCCCAGTTCAACGACTGGTTAAACAGAACATTGATGAGTGTATAATCAGTTGGAACCAGGCTGAGATTGAGCTGTGGTTGAGGTAAAATAACACTCGGCAAACCACTAGGGAGAGGAGGAGTGGAAGGCGAACTAGTAGGAGCTGCCGAAGCGATTGTCAGTGTTGTAGCTGCTTGGTCAGGGTTAGTCAACTGCAGAGTCGAGGTGTGGGTTGGTGTGTCGAGCAGCAGCGATGTCACACTTGTAAGGTACATATAATTCGTATTAGTGATGGTGGTTGGTTGACTGGTCATCGGGCTCATGGGGCTATTAGACGGGAAGGTTATTGCGGTCGGAACTGGACCAGAGCTTGTGGGCGTTGCACTATAAGAACTGATAGAGAGGTGAACATTTCACAACATGAATGCGGGGATGCTACATACGGAGTGTTCGTGGGTGTGACAGATGGTACTGTCGTTGGCAAGCCGCTGGTGGGAACGGAGGATATATCTGAGAGTAGCGAGGTAAGAGGCAGTCCGCTGCTAGGGGTCACAGTGGGAAGCAATGAGTCTGTAAGGGATCCGACCACCGATGTCGGAAGTAGATCGCCGCTTGACTGATCGCTCGAGGAGGGAAGCAATGCGCTGGTGACAGGGCCAATGACAGAGGTCGGCAGCAAGCCATCACTTGATTGTCCACTAGAGGAGGGAAGCAATGCGCTGGTGACAGGCCCAATTGCAGAAGTCGGGAGCAGATCACCGCTTGATTGACCACTGGAGGAGGGGAGCAATGCGCTGGTGACAGGTCCGATTGCAGACGTCGGGAGCAAGCCGTTGCTTGATTGACCGCTAGCGGAGGGAAGCAATGCACTGGTAACAGGGCCAATAACGGACGTCGGGAGCAAGCCGTCGCTTGACTGACCACTCGAGGGAAGCAATGCGCTGGTGATAGGTTCAATCACAGACGTCGGGAGCAAGCCATTGCTTGATTGACCACTAGAAGAGGGAAGTAATGCGCTGGTGACAGTGCCGACAATAGATGTCGGGAGCAAGCCATTGCTTGATTGACCACTGGAAGAGGGAAGCAATGCGCTAGTGACGGGGCTCAACGCGCTTGTGACAGGGCTCAATGCACTGGTGACGGGGACAACTGCGCTAGTGACAGGGCTCAACGCACTGGTGACGGGGGCCACTGCGCTAGTGACAGGGCTCAACGCACTGGTGACGGGGGCCACTGCGCTAGTGACAGGGCTCAATGCGCTGGTGACGGGGCCCACTGCGCTGGTGACGGGGCTCAATGCGCTGGTGACGGGGCCCACTGCACTGGCGACGGGGCTCAACGCACTGGTGACGGGGCCCACTGCGCTGGTAACAGGCCCCACTGCGCTTGTGACGGGGCCCACTGCGCTAGTGACAGGGTTCAATGCGCTGGTGACGGGGCCCACTGCGCTTGTGACGGGGCCCACTGCGCTAGTGACAGGGTTCAATGCACTGGTGACGGGACTGACGGCGCTGGTGACAGGGCCCACTGCACTTGTGACGGGGCCGATCACAGACGGGAGCAAGCCGTTATTTGATTGGGTAGCGGAAGATGCTGCTGACTGACTCGACGTTCCTGCAGCAGATGATGCAGAAGAAGACGCGGCGGGGCAACCGACACCTAGTCCCAAAAGACCAGAGCAATCCGTAGTGGTAGGAGTTGTGGACGAGGATGTAGTGGCCGGTGCTGCTGAGGAAGAAGGCGGGGTGGAACTCGGTGACGAGGCGGACGTCTGCGTCGTGGTCGTGGTGGACGGAAGAAGTCCGAGTTGGCCGCCAAGCCCACCCACCACGCCTCCAACATCACCACCCAGCGAGTCTGCGGACGCGACCAGCGAGACGAGTCAGATAAAACAGCGCGGTGCGAAATGAGACGGTCTTACCGACTGCACCACCCAGACCACCGAGAATGTTGTCAGGCTGTCTGTGCCTCAGTAGGGACCTCCTCGCGTGAGAGAAGGTGGTGGATGAGTGGGACGCGCTGCTTGGGGTGGCGACGAGAGCTGCGGCAACTGCGAGGACGAGCAAATAGCTCGTCGATAGGTACATGGAACTTTTCTATTGATTGGAGCACAAGGGCGATATTTGCAAGGAAGGCGGGTGAACGAGCGTGGGGTGTTCGCTCCAGAGAGCAAAAACTTGGGACTGCACGACAAAAAAAAGCTGGGATCGCAGCTGTCGACGTCGTCGTCGCAGCGAGCACCCAGAAACACAAGAAATAGAAAAACAGAGAAAACACGAAAACGACTGGCGAGCCTTGAAGGAATGTGAAACTCAACAGCCCGGATATTGCACGTCTGATCGTCGTCTCACACGCTCGTAAACTCATCTCCCTGCCAACACACCGGCGCTTTTCTCATCGCAGCTGCGTCAACCAAGTTCGCTGATATTTTTATTCTGGACGCCTCAAGTACAGGTACTTTTGAAATATATGATCGAACCTCGTATCCACGCAAAGTCCGGCCATGACAACCGTGTCCGACAATTGCGACCCACCCAATTTGTTAGGTGCATATCCTGCATTGCAGCATGGAGGGCATAGCAGACATGTAATACTATCAGAGAACAGTAGAGAGACTATCAAGTAAACGATGGCAACTCGGCTTAGATGAACCCAATCTGCGCAGGCATCGTGACTTGAGTCGATCGATCACTTCCGTTCCAATCAAATAATACACACCTTGTTTGCAACATCGAGTGCATCGTGGTCAGATGTAAGACGCACATACGCCTTCTTTTTTCCGTCGGGTCTATGCAACGCTTCAGTTAGCGTCCTCCTGAAATTAGAGCACGAGCATGATGCTCACCGGACGAGGGTGTTGATTTTCGCAGCCTGAACATCATACAACTTCTTCACAGCGTCCTTGATTTGGCGCTTGTTGGACCGGAGGTCCACGATGAACACCAACGTGTTGTGCTCCTCGATCTTCTTCATTGCCGACTCCGTGTTCAATGGTCTACCAATCCTGGTCAACCCAGCCACACAAACGCGACAAAGTCATCCGTATACGCACGACACAATAGTCCGGTACTCATCCATCCGCGGTGCATGAGGAATAGATTTCCGTTGGTATTTGGGATCACGGGCGAGTTTGAGCGTCTTTGGCCGGCGGAATGTAACAGAAAAGCGTGGCTTGCGTTTACCATGTGAGTGCACGCCTTGCAGCACGGCCTTTTTGGCGGCCTTGGCCTTGGCGTCCTTTCCTCCGGCTTTAGCAGGTGCTGAGGGAAACTCAACGATCCGTATGGCCCAAGTCATCAGGACATAGTCGTACCTGCTGCTTTGCCCTTCGTTGTCTTCGTGGGGGCCATCGGTGATAAGTCTACAAGGGAAACAACGTCAATACCCGGCCGACGCAAAGTTTCCCTCGCCAGACGAAGCCGCAACCCGTTCCATGCGATCTAACGCGACGCGCCATCCGACCTCATCCCAAGCCATCCATCATAATTCGGGTGGATTCGTCCCCATTCCGCCAAGTTTCCCCGAAAGACGGGGCATGAACGTCCTTGGCTTCGTCACACTGAGCAGAGAATTGGGCTTACCTTGATGATATGTGGCCTTGCTCGCTGGTGTGGATGGGTCGTGAAGCGGGATCTGACAGCCCCGGGTATTGCCGAGGAAAGTGGTGTGGCTGTGTCGTATGGGCAGGCCGAGGAATTCGAATTCGTAGCAGAACAATATTGTAGTACTACAGATACAGTACATGAACTAATACCAACAGCAGAGCGTAGAGTATCACTGAGCTTGAGCTTCTTGATCAACAAACTCCATGGCTTCCTCGCGTTTTATACTCCTGATCGTGCTAACCTTTTGGTTATTAAACAAGACACCATAGAACTTGTCTGCAGTGACCAGCATTTCAGGACGGAAAGTAGTGGTGATGAATTGCGCAGTGTCCGAGAGCGAGCTGATCATGTCTGGAAAACCCAATTGAGGACATACACACAAAAGACGTTTCATGGAGGACACCCACTTGCAACCGCAGTACGGTACTGAGCGTCGAGATTCGCGTCGATCTGGTGATCGAGATGTTATTGCGTAACTGCGAGCTAGATTCCTGCAGTGTTGCCTACCTCATCAAACAGATAGAATGGAGCCGGGTCGCACTTCTGTATTGCAAATACTATATGCTCGGTCAGCGGGGATCTTGCGAAGAGAGCTATACAGTACCCAGTGCGAGGGCCACCAAAGACTTCTGCCCACCAGACAACTGTTGTATTCGCAACCCTTCGTCAACTTTCGAATTGAACGACACCTGAGTGACAACCACCCAGTCAGCCAAATCGCTCTGTCATGGAGTTGGACAGACCTTGATTGCGACACCCGTATAGTTGTCGATCGAACTCTGCTGAGTGTCATCCGCTTCGTCCATTGCTTCGTCGTCCTTCTTGTCTGTGAGACTCACCATTCGCGCGAGAGGCACGTCCCACTGACCTGGTCAATTCGACGCTGTATAATTAACCTGCCCCTGCCCGCCGGCACCAGCTTGTCAAATACTTCCTCGAAATTGCTTGCCACCTGCTTGAACGTGCGCTCTATAGCTTCGTCTTTCCGTTGGTCAAGAACGTGAACCAGTTCCTCGATAGAAGTTGCAGACTTGTCCAAATCTTCTCGACGCTGAAGGAGCTGGTCGCGTTGCTTCGTAAAGGAATTATACTGTTCAAAAGCTTTCTTGTTCACATGAGCGAACTTTTTCAGGCCGTCGTTGACTGTATGAAGTTTCTTGACCAGCTGTCGGAAAAGCTAGTCAACAGACGTTCTTTTCTTTTGTATCACAAACAATCACCCTGTCCAGTTTCTCGTTGGTGTACTTTTCAAAGGCTTCCTCAGGTAACACTCCGAGGTCGCGAATGTTGCGATTACATTCGTCCTTCCGTGTTGAGAGCATCTGCTTCTTGGCCAGGTAGCGTTCGGTATTCTTCTGTAGTTTCGTGACACTGCGACTATCTTCAGATTGCTGCTGTTGGGCATTCTCCAAATTCGAACGAAGTTCCTGAAATTCGCTAGTAAGCTTCTCGAACTCTTTATCAGCGTCTATGAAACAATCAGCGGATATCCGCATAACCGGGCAATAAACATGCGCACCATGAGACCGCTTGGTTGCTGCATTTATAGAAGCACCTAGTGATTTGAGCTCACGAAGCCGAGATTCCAAGCTTTGCTTTGAGCCGCCATCCTCACCATCAGCTTCACCCAACGCCTCTAGCTTCGTTTGCATTTCTCTGTGTCTGCGACGCAGACCCTCGCTGAGCTCAATCTCCAACAAGTTCTTCTGGCCATCCAACTAAGGTGCATCTTTACATTAGACAAAGAACACCCAGAGATATGGCACTGACCTCAGTTCGGGCCCTGACGAGGTCCAGTACCTGTCGCCTACGCTCCTCGACTTCAATCCCAAGGCTATCCATCATCTTTGCCTCCTCATCAGTCAGCGTCTGAGTAACGGGGGTGGACAACTCGTCACGGTAGCCTTGCAGACGCGCCGAAATACCACTAAGTTCTGTCTCAAGGTCGTTAATCTCACTTTCGAGAGCGAGTAAACGCGCTTCGAGACGTTCCCGTTCTCTGTTAAGAGAGTTCCAGTCCTGAAGGGAGTTTTCTCTCGTCTCCCGGGCTTGCGCTTGCTGAATCGTCAACACTTGAATCTTGCCGGTGATCCTTGTGATCTCCTGGTCAGTTATCGTTATAGCAGACTTCACCTCCTCCGACCGTTTCTTGTCAGCATCGTATTTGGCTTTCCACAAAGCGATGTTCTTGATTGCCTCGATGCGAGACCTCCGGACATCATAGTATCCACCAGTCAACGCACCTTTCCTATCAACTTTGTCACCGTCTAGCGTAATGGTATTGACACCATGACTCTTGACATATGCCGCAGCAACTGTCAAATCGCGGCATACCCACGTCTTCCCAAACACCTGCTGGAAAGCTTTTTGATGCGTGGCATCAAACCGCATCTTCTCGAGCAGAGGAAGCGCATCTTGATTCGGAGGAAGTGTTGCCGTCTTAGGTTTTAAACGGTTGAGGGGCATAAATGTCACTCGGCCAGTCTTTTCTTTCAACATGATGTCCAGAACCTTGCTGGCTGTTTCATCAGTATCGACGACGACGTGAAACAGGCTAGACTATCGATAAGCTTCAGCGGCCTGCTAGAACGGAAGGACGATCACCTGTTACCGGCCGTAAGCTCGATTGCGGTGTTGAATGTCGGATCGGGAATGTCCAAGAGCCGATACAGGGGTCCATATACCCCCTCGAGGCTGTGTCTCTCAGCGATTCTATCGACAGCTCGAAGGCCTGAGCCAGTATCCTGTCAGTAGGGTAAATGGCTTGAAATGGCATGCGCGAGCAAGTGCAGACCTTATCCATCATAGACGCCAAATTACGCTCTGCAGATTTTAGTTCATCTGCTGCATGTCCGAGCAAACCATCTAACTTCGAATCTTCCCGCCACAACTCCTTACGGCGTTCACTGAGCTCACTTTGCTTATCTTTCAACCCCGAAAGCTGTTCGCCCAAATCCCGCACGCGTTTTTTCCCATCTTCGACAGTGCCTTGAATATTCTCTATTCGACGTGTAACTTCGGATAATCCATCTCGCGTCGAGTTCAAATCGTTCCTCGAGGACTCGAAAACCGAAACACGATTCTTTTGATAAGACTCCAGGGACGCTATTTCTTGATGGAGATAATTGTCGCGCTCAGCCTTTGTCCGGAATCGCTTTACACGACCCTGCTTAGCAAAGAGAGCATTAAGTTGGGCCTTGGCTTCTTCCATCTTACGCTTCTCAGCAACTTCTCGTGCGCGATAGTCATTCCATCGCGGTATTATTGCTGCCAAATCGCGTTCCTTCGCAGAAGTCTGCTGCTCAACTGCTGCGATCTCGAGTTCCAGCTCTGCGCGCCGACCACTTTCTTGCATTCCGGCAGACTGAAGGTCAGCAACAATGCACTCCAGTTCCGTGCGTGCACGAACAAGATCGGTGAGTTCTGCTTGCGCGTCCTGTCGAGTAATTGTAGAAGTAGACAACGCGTGCTTTGTCTGCGAAATTTTTTGCTCAAGGCGCTAGACGGTGCTTCAGCCGCCGAATGAAGTAAGACGGATTAAGATACCAACTTGTATCTCCTTCTCGCGACCTTCGAAGAGTTCACGTCGAACGTTTGCTCCGTGGACCTCTCCTCTCCTCTCCTCCTCAATCTCCTCGAGGGCCTCACCTACTTCCTCGAGTTCGCGTTGGTAGAGGGCATACTCCAGACAACGGCGTTCCTTGTCTTTTTCCTGGAATTCACGTAACTCCTCCTTTTCTTCTTCCAACTCTGTCAGTCGGGACTCGATATAATCTAAGAGCTCGTTGATTTTGGTTCGCTTTGCGTCGGTCTCGGCCATAATACGAAGAGATTCTGTGCGTCGTTGCTCGTAGACTTTAGTCCCTGCTACCTCTTTCAAGAGCGCTAGTCGTTCATGATCCTTAGCGTTCGTCAAGGCTGTGATCTGTTAGAGTCAAATTAGTTTCTGCATATTGTTATCGCTGAAAGGTTGATCCACGCACTCGGCCTTGTGGCACTATGTAGTACGGGTTCGACTTGCTGAAACCTGCACTTTCAAGGAGGTTCATGACATCTGCTTTGCTTGCACTTTTCTTGTCGAGACTGTACTCGTCTTTCTTCAATCCAATGGTTCTTCGAAGAATGACCTCATCTCTACCGGTGGGGAATCTGTTGTCGGAATTGTCAAAGATGATCTCAACTTGAAAGAGAATTAGAGGGTATCGCGCAGCCAGAGGGGCACAAATTAACCGTACCAAACGCGGACAATGTAGTGGTCACAGAAACACCCTCATGTAACAATGCTTGTCTTTCCTCTCGTGTCATAGATGTGTATGCATCAGACAACACGAAACGAATGGCTAAGCAGTGGCCTCAACACGCTGAATGTACCACGCATACGGACGGCGTTGACATACCTGCGAAGAAGTTACTCTTCCCGGACCCATTCCTGCCAACAACCACGTTATGTTTCGGAGAGAATGGTTCGATTTGCGTCTGGTCACGGTCTACGATTGCATAAATACCCTCTCGCCTGGGACAGAGTTGAGCGTACAAGACTTGAACCCCTGGATTGTCAGAGTCTTGATGTACATTCTTGTGGCACTGGTCCACACTGACTGGCACCGCGTACGAATGAACGCAACGTTCGCGTACCAACCTAGCTGTTCCGCAAAATGTAAGTGTTCCCGGCGATGCGTGCTCAATGGCTTGCTAACACTTTCGGTAGTACGGGACTAGCAGTGAACAGGTGTGATGATATCACGTGATAGCGTGACATACGCGTCACTCCAACTAATTTTGTTTACTTCCAAGGGTCAAACAGAACCTTTCCACACTTCCCTTTGTCGAACTCTTCGTACATCCTCCCTGCTTCACTGAATCCCACAACCTTATCAACTAAACTCACTTCTCCTCCTATTTCGCCAAATATATCTTGTCTGCGTACAAGCAGGTCCAGTGCCATCGGGAACATCGCCCGAACTGGACACCGGCCAAAATCGAGCGAGACGTTCTTGTCGTAAAGCTCTTGGCCAGTGAACGGAACCGTGGAATTGGAGTGCACCCCGACAGATGTAATGCAACCAAATGGCCTCACGAGTTCGTATGCAAGTGACAGCGCACTGTTGTTCCCAACGGCCTGTTCTTGTCAGCCACAATGTGATCACTGCAACAAACTGCAAATGTCCTCACCTCCAAAACAACGCTGCAACCAACTCCGTTACTCCACTCAGATACAATGTTCCTGCTGTCTTCGATGCTAGCGACTTGCAGGTAACCCCTCTCCTGTTCCTGGGATATTTTCGAATAGATCCTTGCAAGTTTGCTACGTCTCGCTTCATTAGGGTCAATTGCGACTAGTTTGAAGTCCAAGCCTTTAGTGTAGAAAATATCAAGGGCTGCGATGCAGGCACACTACAGAGTTCCCAATCTCTACTGACCCCATTCATGCATGAGGAACTCACCATTCCAACAGGCCCAAGCCCAATAACGGCGATCAACAAGACTGTATCATGTTGGCGCAATCCGCTTGGAGCCTGTGCGCCTTCCAGGGTAACAATGGTGGAACTGTGAGGATATGGTTGTGATGTCATCATCGGCAGACTCTTGGGGTGGTTCAAGGCCTGGAAGGCCGCAAACACACCAGTAGGAAGAATGTCACAAAGCATGAGCAGTGAGGAGTCCGCTAGCTTTGGGATAGAACGTCGCATCTCAAGTTCTTGACCCGCATAAGCAACTACGACTTCGTCCAGCCTGTATAGCGTCCCACCAGCCTTAGGGATGCGAACATACTGCGCCTGCCCTCCAGGAGTGCTTGGCGTTCCAAAGAGGCAACATTCCACACATCTACAGGTGAAGCCGAGGCGACAGAAGCTAAAATGGTTGATATATCATCGTACGTCGAGTCAGCAGAAATGTCGTCGTCATCTAACAACACCTACTGGCATTCCCCACATGAGACTGTGAAGGGGGAGATGACCTTGTCGCCAGCCTTGAGGGTAGAGTAGAGGGAAGGGCGATCACGCGACGCCGGATGAAAACTCGAACCGAGCTCTATGACTTCCCCCACAAATTCGTGCCCGCAAACACAACTGATAAAGGACATCTGCTTTCTACGACGAAACCCAAGGGGCTTCTTCGAATGACTTACGATTCTGTTAGCCCCGCGGTCCCACGATAAATGTGCAGATCACTCCCGCACAATCCAGCTAGCTATTACAATGACAATCGTGGCGTCCGAACGGCGATGTCTTACTTACTTTGACTTTGACAATCGCATCGTCTGGATGTTCGATCCTGTCGGTTTCAACGTAAATGATAGGTAAATGTGCTCGAAGAATGGAAGGTGGGATCGGGGACTAGATTTGAATAGGCTGCTGCCTAATGTCTACCCCCTGGGCCACCTCTATGTTTGAACCCAAGCCTACCTCGGGAAAGCAACCTTCTCGACGCGAATGTCATACGCAGGGGGATACCAGAGAATAGCCAGCTGATCCACAGGGGAAGACATCTTCAGGGGGGCTTGTGTGTCGTCAGAACCCAATTATGACGTGCAAGTTAGGGCGCGCACGGCTGACACTCGGTTGTTGTTGGTCACTGGGAGATTCCCAAGGCGACCAGATTGAAGAACCAAAACGGCTAGAGCCGAGACTACTTGGAACTTACAAAACAGACCCCAAGTTCATAAACAAATTCATGCGACCACAACGAAATCCGCAGTGTACTATTATACAATGCATTCTATCCCGTCTATACCAGTACAATCGTGCAGGCCGTCAACGCTTTATGTCGACATTGGCAACTTTAGCCAAAAATCGTTCGACAACTGACTTCCCGCGGCGGAGATTAGCAAGAGAAATACGTTCGTTGGGCAGATGGGCTCGGTCCTACGTTAATGCAGAATCATTAGCACTCCTTCCCACCAACTGAGCAGTAAAGATGTTACCATGCTTTGACCCAGAGGAAGGTGAAGCGCTCGACAACCAAACTCTTTCTCTAGGTTGGGTATAGAGGGTATAGACTACCGTCATGTCGTCAGAAGCAACTCGTTCGAAAAAACTGAGAACCTACCCCGCCCTCCCTTATTCGAAGTGGTTGCACTCCCCATTCTTCGTGAACAGCAGACTCAAGTGCGTTAAACCACGGACCATCCAAGTCCCCAAGCCACCAGTCGGCTGTTCGCTCAATAGTAACCTGTTTGGACGTTAGCGATGCCATCCGTCTTCGACAGGATGGAAGCCCAACCGATAACGCATTGGGAGAATTGAAAGAATTGAAAGAAGCTTGTAAATGCGACACGACGGATCGCGATACAGTCTCTAAGTCCTGATCGGGTACGATACGTAGCGAAACTTGGGCTGTAACCGTGCCGGGAATGACAGTGGAGTCTGTATATATGCGTCACTCAGTGCCAATTGTCGAAACGAATGAAAACTTACTTCCAGGTCCTGATACAGCAAGGTTATGGACGGTAAGGGACGGTTCTCGCCACCTTGATGATAGGACAGAGCCCGGGCTTCTTGTCACCTGAGACAAGAGTGTGTATAGCTGCTTTTCGTCTTCCGTCTGTTGTCTAACACTTTCATCTAAGGTTCTGATGAGTCTCGGCCGGGTATGTGAATAGGACATCCAATACGAACAAAACCCGGGAATAGCTACTTTCCTCTGACTATCTGTTAGTGTTGAAAGCAAACGAATCCTGCAAACAAGGTGAGAAGGCGGCATGCATAAGTGGTTTATGGCATACATGTCTAACATCGGTTCAACTACCGCACCACCTTCAACTCCAGAATGCTGGTCCGGAGCTCCACTTGAGATCTGCAAACTCGGGTTCACAGTAAGAAATGCCGTGTCACGTAAGTACGCACCGCAAGGGTTGCGTGCACGACGCCTCGTAAGCCGTAAGTAATACATGGTGGATACTCAGTTATCCACGTAGAATTGCTGTCAAATGTAAAGTCAGGGACAAGTACAGAGGAATGATTCACACCTTAAAAGGATTGCGTCGATGCTTCCTATCTGCGCCTGGTGAGAATAAGTGGCAGTGCAGCGGGGAAGAGAGTGAGGGAAAACCTTGTGTTTTCGTACGGTATCCATGAAGCCGGTGCTTCCTACTTCCTCCTCTCCTTCGATCAAGAAGATAAGATCCACGCCAAGGGCTCGCCTTCTGAGAAGCTCGGCAGCTGCACAAGCGATAGCGATTATTGGCCCCTTGTTATCCGTTACGCCGCGCCCATACAAGTATCCATTGCGGCCAAGGACTGTGAAAGGATCGGAATTCCAGCCATCCCTCGGTGCTGAGACAACATCGTAATGCCTGAGAAACTTCGAGTGTAAGTGATGAGTTCTTAACGAATCTTCCTCGGTGTTTATTCACCCATAGAAGAGTATCCTGGGTTTGGGTTGCTCTCCTTGAGTGCCTTGAAAAGGTTGCCAAAACAACAGGATTCCCCATTTCGCAAGTGGGTAGCTACGGAGGATAATATCAATCTTCAACGTTACAGCACTGGAATATTGTTTCCTCACTAGTGTAGACTCTGCTCCAAGTTGATGAAGACACTTTTTGAGCCACATGGCAGCTTGCCGACAATCTTCGTGGTGCAGCGGGTCTGAGCTCACGCTTGGAATAGAGACGAATGTAGACAGCGCATAAGTCAGGACGTCTGTCGCCAACGTAATATTAGAAAAATGATGATGGCGAACCATACATACCATGGTCATCATCGCCGTTCAGGTCCACAATGGAATTATCGATAAACTTTTCACTGTCGTTGGCTTCCAGAGGTACTGCTATGTCCCAAATCTGACTAACGTTGGCACAGTTGACAATATTAAATGAGACGACGTACTTTGACGAAGCCATCGTTTGCCCCAGTCACCAGCACAAAGCCATTCGCTTCGGTAGACTGAGTAATAACAGACGAAAGCACAATCCCGTCGTGTGCTTTCCAAGTTGACGTGCAGTTAAAGGAAGGAGACCAGCGCTGTGTCATCATTGGTGACGATGACCAAATTCAGTCCGGAATCGGACTGACCTGAACTTGACCGTTTGCAGAACAGGTGAACAAGTCTGAATGCATCATCGACGAGGACAAGATATCGACATTCTGGCAAAGAATAAACCTTGTCTACTGAGCCACACAATAATGACTCTTACCTCCTGCACTATAATCGTGCGTACAAGTGTCTTGGTTTCCAGGTCGAAAACCTTGACATAACCATCCTGACAACCAGCGAAGACGGTGTCACTTCTGGCTGCAAGTGATAGTACGGCACCATGAGAGCATTCGAAGGTGTGAAGAAGTTTCGGTCCGGATGACATGCAGTTCCACAGCTACAGGCAGAAGAGGATGGGCAGGAACTGCAAACGGTATTAAAATAACACACCTTAACAGTTTCGTCCCCGCTACCTGTCAAAAGTTGTTGACACCTGCCAGACGGTGAAAGAGGATCATCGGAGCCTGCTCTAGAAGACGGTACGATTGCCATGCAGTAGACATAACCATAGTGTGCAGAGTCTATGACGTTCGATGCTGGGATATCAAAAGCAGAGGCTGTGTTCACTGACGTGCCCTTCTCCGACGAGGGAGGCGAGAACGAGCCAAAATTGTTGGCAAAGAGGTCAGCAGGCTTGTGCGTGTACTGAGGATAGCTGTCAAAGAACTTGTGAACCTTGCGTGAGGGTGTCGACACGCCAGAGCTAGTCTCCTTGATTCGCTGACCGATTTGATCCTCGGAAAATCCGAACCACTGAAGTGAGGTGTTTTGGCAACCGATGTATATGGTTTGCAGACTGGGATTCCATGCCAGCGAAAAGAGATCACCTGCCCCTGTTTCTAGGTATGGATACAGGACGTAGATCTGTTCGAAACTCGTAGTGGACCATATCTGATGAATTCTTAGACCCTGAAACAATGGTGCCGATGCATACCGCGCACCCTAACTGTACTATCACCTGCAACTGGCGATGAAAGTCGGTCATGTTTGAAAGACGAACAGCCTACCCGAAGCACTAAACAACCACCGCTTCTCTTCTGCAAGCTCTAAAGCGAGTATGCTACCCGTATGACCCCGCAGACTTGTCTTGAGGGTGCAAGTTTGCTTTGACCAGACCTACAACACTGAGTACGCGTGCGACATTCGGTAGCACTCGCTAGCAACCTACAGATATATCTTGGCATTGTCCCCCAGCATATATGTGCTCGGTATCAGCCATCAAACTGAGGACAGACCTGTTCTCATCTCCCAACGAATGGACAAGAAGTGGCGACGGCAGCGATGGTATGGGTTTGCTGACAGAGGCTGCAGAGTCGAACATAAGAGAAAAACACCAGCTCTCTGGGCACATTTTGGCACATACGAGGAGGAATGGTAGCAGTAGGTGTTCCAGAGCTTACCCTTTTGTATGTATTCATTTCTTGTAAGTGGCCCGAGGAAGCGTGGATGGCACCAATCGGGTGAACAGTACCAGTAGTAAAAACGCGCGAATGAGAGAATTACAACGGCTGATACTTGCTGGCGGTCCGGGGTAAATTTGTGCAAAAGCTGCTGGGTCAAGAGTAAGTTTGGAGTAAGTACTATGGCGTAATCCGAAGTTTCAGATATACTGGGACCTCCAATGTCGAAGCAGGTGTCTTGGCGCGGGTTCGGACTGTTCGCTTGAACCTTCCACCGATCGATGGTTGCGGTCACTGTGTAACTTGAAGTACCACCGACGGCCTTGACCGGGCGCGTGGCAGATTGCGACATCGATTTGAACTCGTTGGCTTGAAACCATCACACAAAATGGTGTCAGAAACAGCGAAGTTGGTGAAAGAAAAGGTATTCTAATCCATTCCCAGGAGACTTTCCAAGGCATGCGTCTCATTGGCTTCTCCAGGGTAACGGGGCCTTTAAGGCTGGTGACTATCCCACTGCAATAGGCCATTATACCACCGCCATCCTTGCGGATGGAAATGATCCAACCTTCTACCTTAACCGTGCTGCCGCATATCTGAAACTAGGCAAGTACGTTCTTGCGTTTCTTCCGCATACTTTGCCGCGACTGATCGTCTCTGACCTCCTAGAAACGAAGATGCTGAAAGAGACAGCACGAAAGTCCTCGCGTTAAGCCCAAATAATGTAAAGGCACTCTTCAGAAGAGGACAGGCCAGACGATCTTTGAGCAACTTCGACGATGCTCGCCAAGGTGAGGATCTCACGCACTGGACGCTCGAGGGGTAAAATCATTCTTCAGACTTCAACGAGGCCCTTAGGTTGGAGCCCTCAAACATGTCCATAAAGAACGAACTTGCCGAGCTAGAGGAGGAAACACGAGAGAGACAAGGCAAGTCGGTGGTAAGAAGTTATTCGTGTCCTTGTACGTGGATTCAAACGAATTCTCTAAGCCGAGACGCCGTCGAGTACCGATCGAAATTATTGAGCCAGAGGCAGATAAGTCGCCGGTGGCGAAGGATGAGCCTTTGCTACAGCCAGTGTCATCCAGGGATCTGAGGCCTGAGACCAAGCGAGAAACCAGAGAGCAGTTACCTCCCAAGCCCCAAACATTTGCGGACGCAAAACAAGCTCGGGAATCCAAGGGCATTCGAGTCGGTGGTGGCATATTCCGACCATCCGGAAATCACACTATCGTTACGAGAACAGCGAACGAGGCCTCTCACGAGCCAAGGTCAGGCAAGGCAAATACCACGCCCGTACAGTCCCCGACGACACTTTTTGATTTTACTAAATCATGGAACTCTTTGGAAACGGACGAGGCTCGGTGGAAGCTCATGTGTGTAAGTGACAAACTTCCGACGAGATTCCGGGATCACGGACTTTTTGGCTGTCCTTTAGACGATCCCTCCATCCTCTCTTCCTGCACTGTTCCAGGCATCCCTGGAACCTGATTTGCTTAAATCGATCCTGCATACTTTCCAGGCGGTCTGCAATCCGTCTACCAGTAGCGCCGTACGGGATTACCTGACAGCCCTCATGAGAGTTCAAAGGTTTGGGACAGTGATGTTATTCATGGACAAACAGGAGCGACAACGTCTGGAATCACTTCTCCAGGAGGTGGAATCGTTGTGATCGGATGAAGCAAAATATGTGTTCATTTGCGGTTTTATCACAGTACTTCAGGCGGATGACGTAGTACTGTGGTTTGTTTGCTTCCGCTCTCCCGAGACACCAGGACTCCTGCCATTCGTCCATATATTTAGAGCCTGATCATGATGTGGCAACTGGCTGAAGTCCGGGTAAATTAATGGATGCCACCGGTGCACTTCCAGAGAATGTACCGTCAATCAAGTGTCTCCGCTGAGTCTGAGGATGCGGCCAATGAAGCGATGACTCCTGCACCAGTTCATGATCAAGGCCAGAATTCAGTCGTCGATCCGGTACTCGAGGCCTTCAAAGTCAAGCTTGCCAGTGATGGTCTGTACCAGCCTCCATCGCACCACTGCACACAGGCATCCCATGATGACACGACACTCATGTGCGTCTTCCCCTCAACCGTAGACGATTGCATAGTAGCATGACTGAAAGATTGACTCTTACCTCTTTCCCCTCACAAGGCGCTTTCTGCGGGCACGTCAATATGATTTAGCCAGCGCACAGAAACAGTTCGCCGACACAGAAGCCTGGAGGAAACGACACGACGTCGATAATCTCTACAAGGATTTTAATGCTGACGAGATGGAATCAGCACGGAGGTTCTATCCTCGTTGGACTGGTCGAAGGGACAAGGTAGTTCCTGGCCTATAAGCCTGTCATGTTGCAACACAACCAAGTTAATCTGTGTTCTTTTTCTCAGCGCGGACTTCCGGTATACGTCTTTCGATTAGCATCTCTAGACAACTCTCTGCGCAAAGAACTAGATGCCCTTTCCCCTGAACGACGTTATCAGCGTATGTATGTCACGAAATCATGTGTGGCGGTCAATGGAATCACCTAACACAATCAAGCATCGTCTTGCATGAGACGATGACGCGCTTTTCCCTCCCGCTATGTAACCATTTGCCTCATGAACCGCCCACACCCGTATCCTCTGTCACAACCATTGTAGACTTAGAAAATGTCTCACTCTCTGCGATGTGGGCACTGCGAAGCCATCTACAGCAAGCGTCTACCATGGGTACAGCGCATTATCCCGAAACACTGGATACCACAGTTATCGTTAATTCTCCTGTGTTCTTCCCCACGGTGTGGAATTGGATCAAGGTACCATACCACCGTTTTCTGTATCCAACAACACTAAAGAGGCGTCCTCAGGGTTGGTTTGATGAAGGGACCCGACGAAAGATTCATGTACTGGGCAAAAACCCAGGTGACTTTCTTCGTCAGTTAATCGCCACCGAGGACCTACCGGCAGTCTATGGAGGTGAATTGCCATGGGTCTTCGAGGATGAACCGTGCTTAGACAGAGAGTCTCTGAGGGTAGTTAAAGTGATGCCCAAGGGACCGGCTGCATTTGTAGAAGGACGAGGAGTCGTTACATTGGCATAAGGAGTGCAGTTTATTACAGGACTAGGCGACAGGGTGATATACAGTATCTTAACAATGGGGAGAAATAAAGATATGCAGGTGACAGGCAAGTCGTCCAAGCGAGGCATCAGTGCATGTACGTTAATCTAGAGCATCCTCTGGTTCCGGGGCTACTCCATCTTCGTTCCAAACATGGAGGAACTGCACACGAAATGTTAGCAGCACAATAAGGAGAAAGTGGGGGGAATATATACAGCTGTTCTATGTTTCACCAGGTCTTCTGGGAGTATGAGAGGCATTGTTGCGAATGGCAGCCGATCCCAGGATATAGGGTTTGGATGACGTTTGGTAGCTGGTTTGTCGCCAACCGCGCTCTTCTTGCCAGGAACAAATTTGCTACATTTTCTATGACGGGAAGAAAACGTTAGTGGCTATGGAAAAAGTAGTGGACGTAACTTACTCTTCCGATATTCCGTACAACGTTTTCAGGTATGTCTTGAGTAGCATGACCACGCCGATGATCACAGATGTTCTCATTATATCAACATCAAGGTCAGGAGCGGACAGTAGCATGGGCTGCCAATTTAAGACATGTGAGTCGTTGTCTACGATGCATTGAGGTGAAGTGTACGTACCGCCATGCCGTCAGGAAGAGACTGAGGCTGAGGCTCATGCAATTGGGTGAGGAGATGCGACGGAGAGACCACATCGATGATCTGCATCCCAGACGTCGATAGGATGGAGGTAAGATGTCTGATGACTGTCAGTACTTCTTCCTGGGTCTTGTAATCCAGGGTAGCAAAATTTTCAGCCATGTACCGGACAAAGTCGATGTCATTCTTGTATCCGTGTTCGGTAAGACAAGATGTGAGGGGTATGCCATGACTGTACTAACCTGCGTTGACTTCAAAGATGGAGGAATGTCGAAAGACTTCACCAGAGCCTTGATGAAATCTTGCCGGGGCGTTCTCTTCTCTCGGACTAACGAATACCATCGCTGTAGCAGTGCAGTCGGCTCTGGTTGCATGCGGTAGCCTCCATGAAATGGAAAAGAAAAAGTGAACTTGCGAATGGTGCGCATATATAAGAAACACACCTTGCACACTGTTTGGTGATATTGTCCTCTGATACTCAAATGACCGCCTTGCACTGACGATGAACCGAGCATTCAGCAGAGACATGTGCTTGCTATACAGGATGGCATGCAAATTACTCGCACGGACACTGGTACCGATGACAGGGCTTGTCTCCAGCGCAACGATAACGGGGATCGACTAGGGATGGTTCCACGTCAGGGGTAAGAATGATAATCAAGGACACAGACCTGTAATGGGTGAGCTAAACCTTGTTTCACGGTAAAGCTCAGAATCTCTATGGCCGCAGCTTGTATCTGAGGATTTGGGGATAAAGCAGCGTCGAGAATATGGGTAAGATATCGCTGCACGACTGCAGAACTGACGCTGCGAAATCACTTAGAATGTACATGGGAAAAATGTGTGTCGGACACCCACCCCGAATCAGCGAAGTCGTCGGTGTTTCCGACGAGATGTGCCATATCCACGCCGCCATCGGTTTTGCCTTGACTGGACCCTATAAATAATGATGAGAGCAGCAAACCCGCATCAAGAAAGAGAATCAACCTTTTTGTTGTTCGGTATGCTTTGCGGCCTCCGAAACCAAGAAGTCCTGCAAGATTCTGAGCAAACGACCACGACTTTCTTCATCAGGGGAGGCGAAGATAGCGTCCATAATTCCTGCTGACTGATCCAACGTCATTAACGTTGGTCGAGCCCGGAACAGGAAACCTGGAAATTAGTGAGCAGACTGGTTTCGGCGCATATGCGTAAGAGATACCCAGGCACTGCAGAATGCGCCCTTTGAGACCTGAGTCAGTATATTTTGCATAGAGTGTTAGAAGGCTATTGTAGATGTGCTCTACGGTGGGTCCCTAGTGTGTACCGATCAGACAGGTGTCTTCAACAACTGTGCATTGCTCACCTCTGAGACACTGTTTAAGTCCGATGCAAATTCTATGGTGCAATTAGACCTAGATTGCGCACAGCTAATGTCATGACTGACCGGTCCGCTCCGCACGAAGTTTATCGAAGTCACAGTGCTCTCCTAACAGGGCCACAATGAAGATAAGGATCGATAAAGTCCTTGTCTCAACTGGGGTCATTGCTTCAGTTTTGCGTGAAATGGCCTGCTGCAATCGGGCTGCAAACGGATTTGAATTTCAGGAATGTACTTCAATAAGAAAGCCAAACCGTTGCAAGACTTCAGGAGTGCGACCAGTCGATGAAAATCATGTGTGAGATGTTGCACAGACCCGCACATGCAAGCAACGCTTTCCTGTAGACACTGTCCGGAAAATTACAGGGTCGTTGACAGTGAGATGGTATAGACGCACCACTACTCCCCCGACACTGGATGGCTTGACGATCATAGGTTGGAGGACTAGTTGCAGGTCTTGGCCAAACTTTATCGCTGTTTTGGGCATGTGGGGGATGGATATACGGAATACCCTCAGTAAATAGTCGGAAACGACGAGCTCGTCAGTCTGCAATACGTGTAACTATCCAGAACGGAGATATTGACATTGAGTATGGCGTACCGAGGTCGGATTTTTCAGATATGGAAGTAGCGTCGACGCATTGCTTCCGGACAGAACAGAGGGGTGAGCTGTGGCAAAGAGGTACAGAGTCCTGACGCATGATTGTACGGTCTGAGAAGGTAGAATCAGTCGCACAAATGTTGGCATTGGGAAAACATCACTTACGAAACCTGGTAAATCGGAAGCATCCACAAGACCATCAATTAGTGCCTCGCAAATTTCAGAATACTTTGCGTGCATCAGTGGTAACTCGTTTGGACTTTGATTCGTAATGATCTTGTGCAACACATCCTCGAGAGGCGACTGCCTGTCCTTGAAGAAAGCCGATACACCCATAATCACGGACACTTTGCCCAGCAATGCCGCCTTGCCTTGTAGCTGAGTAGGGGTGGAGTGCAGTCTTGATTTAGAGGGGACAACTTGTGGGATCGAATTTTGAAACCAAAGCTCCTCTACGGTTTTGATGGCAAGATCCTTCACGGTGTCATCCTCGTCTAACATTCGTAGTACGAGTTTTGTGCTTATGTCGATGCGACGGTCCATGTCCTCGGTAACACCGTAGTATTGCTTGAGGAGTTTAATGACGCGCTTGCGCACTCCGAGACCAGTATCCTAAAAACATCAAATAAAGAAAAAATTTCTGATGAGTGTGGGGGGAGCACATACGGCTATCCGGTCAGCAATCTTTGAGTAATAATCGCCAGCCACTTCGGGTGATTCGATCATATACCTGCCGATCAGCTCAACAGCTGCGTCTCGGACTGCCGGGGAAGAATCCAATAAATGGCTCTCAATGGCGCGACGAACATTTGTCTGGTGGCTGTGTAAGTACTAAATGGCTGTCATCACAATCACTCACCATTGAAAGAATGGTAGAATCACTGGTCACAATCTGACCAAGCGCTCGAAGCGCTTTTGTACGCATGAAGACAGGTGGCGCATCAAGTGCCATCAGGACAACGTTTAATATCGGTCCAAAGGAATTCATGAGGCCTTGGACGATTCCAACTTCTTCAGCTAGAAGGTCGGCGCGGGCAGCTTCCTCTTGTGAACTCGGGGAAGGTCATCAGTGAAGAGTGCCGGCCTAGTTCTAATAGACTCACCCAACGTCGAATATGTCACTCGAATGGTCTTGCCATACACTACTCAATGCCCTCTGGAGGCGTGCACAAAACACTGCGGTCGATTGTCCATGCGAGTTTGAACCTTTGTCCTGATTGTGCAGAGTATTCTGGAGTGCTCGTAGAGCGCTCGCCAGCTCGTGACCCCAGAGAGCAGCTGTCAATTCTCGAGCACTCTGCAGTGCATTAGTTTAACAGTAGGCAGGCGACTTCTAAATTCACCTCATATGCCTGATCATCTGACGAGCGCCTCAGAAGGTGACTGGAAATAGCTTCGTGTCGGGCCAGCAACCTTTCAAAGTTCTCGATGCTCCCTGAAGAAACAATCTATAAAACACATTGAAGCAGTGTCAATACAGCACGTGAAGGCACTAATACCTCATCCAATGGAAGGGCAGTATGCTTCCCACCACGCTGCCGGACTTTGAGAGCGCTCGTACGCAGACGTGCAGCTATGACACCCAAATGGTCTAGCGCTATAGTCTTGGCCGCATTAGTATCTGTCTGTTGGGTGGTCTTGACATCATCCAGCGAGGAAACCTGAAGACAGAAGTTTCGTCATGGTCCCAAGCTCTCATGTGCATTAAACAAAACGTACCATGAACTTGCAAATAACACTCAAAATTAAACTCGCGGCAGGCCACTCCGGCCAGTAGAGTACGACGAGTAGGTCAGAAATAAGGTTATCTAGAATGACTCGATACTCCGCTTCGTTGGAATTCTTTGTTTGCTTGCCCTTGCCGGACCTGCACCTCATGTTAATATCTGGTAAACTTGCAGATACTTATAGCATGCCTTTGGGTCAAGAAGAGAATAATGGTCTTTGCGGCTGTCGTAGCAGACTCGAGACCAGATATATACAGCTGAATCTCCTGTCCGTGCATCAGTAGAGAAGCTATGCCGAAGCGTAAGTATCCTCACTTTAGTGTCATGCTCGTCGAATATGGCATCTTGAGATGTCTCATGTGAACTGTCTTGTCGCCGAAGAGCTTGGCTGTGACGAGCTTTCGCGATCTTCCGAGCTGCTATTCGAACGTCCCGGGCCGATGTCTGAACCAGCTGCAACAGTAATGCTGAAACCGTTCGTATTGACCGCCCGTCTCGCAAACTGTAGGTGAACAGTATTAATGCCAAATATCAAGTTGATTCGAAACAGACGGACCGGAACTGCCCGGCTTTCTTGTGACTATTGGACAACTTTATCAGAGACGTTAGGATCTCTTCAATGATCCACGAGCGCTGGTCCTCATGGTTCGCAAATATCTGATAAATCAATGAGCAGCTTTGTTAGACATATCGACTAGGATTGCCCTACACTGCGGATGATCGAAAGCGCGTCAAGCCGTAAACCTCTCACGGCGCTGCTACCGAGGGTGCTCAGCACAGCGTTTTCATTCCTGCCCTTCGTGTCGCCCTCCTGGGCGGATTCAACAATAAAGAATGGCCCTATGGCAATGTAAACAGCCTGGATAATGATCGCATCTGACATGATGAGGCCGTCTGCGCTGAAAAGAGAGTTGACGCGTGGCAGCGCTGCAGAGAGAGCCTGGAAAAGCTCGCCCAGTAATCTACGCAAGTCACCAGTACCAGTGTGGGTGTATCGATGAAGACATTGCAGTTGGGGTGAAACAGACGTGCCAATTCCCGAGCCCTCTACAAAAGGGTAGACAATCATCGTTAACTGGTTTTTAATAGTGCTGAGACAGGTGCTGATCAGTTCTTCCGAGTACAGCTTCAAAAATATCATAAGATTGAAGTTATAAATGTCGTAAAGTTGATACGCACCTGTTTGGTTAGTCCTTCTCCGCTTAACAGAGCAATACAGCACTCGGCGGCTAAGATACTATCTCTGGCAATCTCTAATTGCGCACCCAGAGCACGTATGTCTGAATCGGTCAAGTGCTGTTGCGACGACACTTGCGAGGTATCTCGTTGGGCGTCACCATCCTCATTGCCCGCACCGTCAACTGCTGGGTGCTTGAGACCCTTCTCGGTATGCAAAGGTAGCGAGGTATGAAAAGGGTCCAGGTCCTCTCCAGCCTTGATAGCACGCTCAAGAATCTTCATTAACCGCGAAAGCATTGGGCTTTCAATATCACCAAGCGTCACCCTTGGCTTCGCTCCATGGCCGTTCTGCACAATCTCTCGAGCAGGACGCCTAGATCTTTTCGGTGGGTGGGCAAGTTGACTGACATATTTGGTTAGTTTACGTATGAGATTATGCTGGAGCTGAGGGTGGTTGCAATCGTTCGTCAACGGGGAGAAGAATTCCTTCGGTAAATCAGCAGCTTGGAGGTCGACAGGCAAAGAATCCTCGGCTTCAAAAATGTCTTCAATCAACGTGGTAAGCTTTTCTAGCGGAGCTGTTGTGGGTGTTAGCTTGAGCTAGGTGAACTTAAACATCGAATTCACCCCGCTCATCCCTGTCGCCCGTTCGGCGAGCGGACAACTTGACGCTAGCACGTACATCATGTCGGTCCTCATCGTCATCTTCTGAATAACCTGAGCCAGCATGTTCGCCAGATGATGACTGCTTTCTTGACGGAGTTTTCCATGATGGAGAAGGGACGTTGACGTAAGCCAAAACATGTCGTGGGGTTTTAGACTCCTTCGACGGCGTTGCGCCAACAGTCTTTGGGGTGGGCGTGGACCTCTCTGGGGCAGATGTTTGTATGCGCTTAGGTGAAGGTGTACTGACATCTTCTGGAGATTTGCGTTTCCGTGGGGACGTGAAAGCTTCTGGAAGCGGAACTGGTGGCGGATTTGGCGGATGTGGTCGTGAATCTATGCTCAAGGTATCTTTACTAGGCATAGCCTGCGCGGGTGGTATAGGTTTGTTCTCAATGAGTTGGGCAGAGCGGTTGAGGAAATCCTTAACAAAGGGGCCGGACTCCTGGGGTTTGTAGACACGCTCACTCGCTTTCTTGTTAGGATTCCCAAGGGCAAAAGCAAGGGAAGAAGAGGAAGCACGTATTCCAGGCGGGGGCGGAGTTGGGTAGGCTGAAGTAGGATTAAACCGTTGGAGTACGGAATTGGCTAAAGCGGGAGCCTGGAATGATGAACTAGGAACGTTTCGATTCCATTGCATAGGGGGGACGTAGCTGGACTGGTTCATGCTAAGGACAAGAGATTAGCATCATGTAAGAATGCGGTGAGGGTCGACGTACGGTGGTCCATATGACAGTAATTTCACAGACTCATCCCTAGTGGCCTGCCAATATGCAGAGTGGGAGGCAGGAACGGAGGGATTGGACAAATAAGCAAGCTCATGCGAATACTCGACGAACGGTGAAGCAGGTTGATGGTACGACTGGTGCTGAGCGACGTAGAGATTGTTTGGGTTCGCATGCATATAAGTTGGGGGAGGTTCAACGATCGATAAGTTGCTCATATGTCGGGCGACTACGTGAATATTAACTGAACAATTTGTCAACTCAAAACCATGAAAAGTTACCATGCGCTGACGGGATTGTGGATGCTGCCGGGTAGGTGGCAAACAAGCTATGAGCGAGGTAGGCCGTGTCAGGAGCGTGTCCATGCTGTTGTAACTGTTGTACCCGACGCGGGGATGAAATGTCCTGCGGGTGACGATGACCATTCGAATGCCACTGATTTCCGTTCATCTCTACACAGACAGCCTCGACCTCGAGGACAGCGTCGGTAAACTGGCTGCTGGCTGCATGTCAGTCAGTCAATCAGTTTGGAAAGGACTGCCTACAGGAGTGACCGTGACAACGTGACATGCTACACCCAGAGTACTACGTACATACAAGGCCAGGGTCTACGTTTTTCTCTTCTTCCTCGGCCGGCCCTCCTCTGCTTCCATCTCCCGCTTGGTTTTCAGTCCAGCAACCCTCATAATATCTTTTCTCTTCTCCTTTTCCTTATCTGCCCTTTTCGCCTCCTCTTTCTCCACCTTCTTGCGGTGTGCAGCCTTCCTCTCACTCTGCTTCTCTCTCCTCCTCGCCACCTGGTCCTTCCGCAGCGCCCGAATCTGCTGCATAAGTGCAATTGCCTTCTTCTCCTCTGGCTCCATGACGACTGCACGGCGTTCCATATAAGTCTTTTTACGTTGAGGTTTCATTGCCCTTGGTTTCGAGGCGTACGGGAGGGCAGCTTGCAACTTCTTAGATACCTTGAGTGCATTGAAACGACGGGGTGCCCGCTCAATAGGTTTGTACGCCGAATTGACAGCGAGAGGCGTTTTAAGGCCTTGCTCTTTCCTCACTTCTCCCGTTAGTCGCATTCCAGACCACCGTCCCTTATCGGACAACAGTAGCGAGGTCACAGGATTGTAGAACTTGCGGGGCTGAATGGAGTACCACGCTCGCAGGAAGATGATGTCTTTAGACGCACCGTCAGCTACTTTTCAAGGGGATTCAGAAACAAAAAACAAACACACCACTCATGAGCACCTTGTCCTCAAACGTCGCTCGGAAAGCTCCATCTGGTTTGGACAATGCTTTCTTCACCTGCCCTCGAATGCCGGAGACGGTCCGAATATGAGCACCCTCGAACTTGGCAACCTCAAGAGCACTATTGAACATGTCCTTTATAAATGCCGTATTCTTGAAGATCTTAAATGGAACACCTGTAAGCTTCAGTTTCTTGACGATCTTGGTGGAACGATCGACGTCAAGCACGACACCAGTAGCCGATACCCTGAACATGGAGGTCTCGCCATCGAGGCTGTTAAAAGCACAGAAGCCAGTGTTCGGCAGAGACACTGGTCCGTAGAACGTGGCATAACAGTGCATGTGCTCAGGAGTGTACTTGAGCATGCGCATCCGAATGGAATGGTCGTCTAACGAGTAGATTGGCACCGTCTGAAAACGTCTCCAGCCAAGAGACAAGGTTAGAGGATCGTTAGTTTTCAAAGTCTTGGTAAACCATCGATGCCGTTTGATGCGGACTTGAAGGTATCCAAAGCGTTCTTCAGAGGGAAGGAGTCCTCCAACGATGATAGGGTAGTGCGGGTCAAAATGCTCTATCATTTCGCAAGGGACATTCGAGAGCTCAATACGAACGTAGGAACCTGGTCGATAGCCCTCAACCAGTGCGCGTGCTTCTGCATTAATGCCTTCGAATTCGTCACGGTTGATCTGAAGCTGACGGTTGATCTCTTCCTTTTTTTCGTCGTAAAAGTCCATCTTGGCAGCCTCCGGATCGTCGTACTGTTCATCGAATTTGCGTTTAAGCTCCGCCTTCTTGGCCGCGAGTTCTGCAGCTCGAGCGGTTTCAGCATCTTGAGGTAGCTGCTGAGAGCTCGACTCGTCAGCCTCCAGATCCTCAAAGTCACCAGCCTCCGATCCGTCCTCCTCTTCCGCAGTGACACCATCCGCAGGAGCGTGGTCACCGGTGATGAATGCAGAACGCAGAGAATCTAATGTCGACTCGTTCTCCCACTCTCGAAGACTTTCGAGCGATAGGATCTCCTTCGTTCTGTCCAGTTCATCGTCCTTCCGTTCGGATGCTCCTTTCGGGCGGAAGAAATCATCGGCGTCCGAGGGGTCCTCCTCGTGTGAACCTACGCGTTCGCCGTTGACAATTTGGCTGGGGGTGAGATTGCTCGAGTATATCGATGCCATCCAATCTTTTCTTCGCTTTCTTTGGGCATGTTCAGCAAACGCGGCCGCGGCTTTGGCGGACAAGTTCTCCTTCCACGCAGGACCTACAAGCATGTCTTCCTCTTCACCATCGCCACCATCTTCGTCTGACACATCTCCTACGTCATCCTCCAGATCCAAGGGGGGCGAATTACCCCTATTATGCCATTCTTCGTCACCCTCTCCAAGCTCGGAGTCGCTGTCGGCAAAAGCAATATCACCTCCACTTCGTTCCTTCTCTGAGGGTCCAGCGATAGGTCTCATCACCCTACGCGATGACGTACGACCCTGATCACCGCGTCCGGAGTCTGATCCAAGATCCAACTCTTCTTCTGATGTCCCTTCGGCCTTGTCTCCGTCAGAAAGGTCATCCTCTTCGGAATCATCCGTCCCCTCCTCATCCTCTTCCGTGTCATCTGCAAGACTCTCGTTGTCTTCATCATCATGGGGTTCAACCGTCAGGGGCATCGATGAGGATCCCAATAACTTTATTTGGCTACGGGAAACTGTATCCGCCAACGTAACATCGACATCTTGAAGGTTCATAACCATCTGTTCTCCCTCACCCCGTGGAACTAGAAAACGTCACGCTAAGTCCAGGCGTAGACAATTGACACCTTACCGTCGGTAGCTCCACGAGTAAAATTCCCGGGAACATTGATCCACACAGCATCTTTATCGTACATGACACCTCCGACGTCACTCATAGGTGCATGTACGAGAAGTTTCTTCTTCTCGCTGAGCTTTCGCCGCTTCTCAGAATCTGCATCAGGTAATGGACAAGGGTCCCCCAATATGTTGACAGACGTTATGGACATGTCGCCCACGCCCGGTATGTGAACTTTTGAGCTTTGTCGAAGATTGGTACCTCGAAGGTACCCATATAACGTGACGGTGCGGTCGCATTTGCCTCTCGATGCACGTATAGTTTCTCGAGGCGTAAGATCTTCAATGCGATCGGCGAGGAGGTAGGGATGGCTGTTGCGAAATATGAGAGGGCGGAACTTCATCACGCTGATGAAACGGGTAAGGTTGAGGATTTCGTTGTCAGGATATCGCCCGTTGAGGACACCAGAGAGGTAAAAGAGTTTTGCGCCCTGGTATATCTCTGTCCAAAAACGCTTCTTGATAGTTTTCTTGGTAGATTTCAGAGTAGACTGCTTCTTTATGAGATCGAGATGTGTGAGGATACCAATGACTTTTGGGAAACCGTGGGCCTGTAGGATATTGAGAAATTCGAATGCATCCTGCGGGCGAAATTAGGTTGAATGACTACATGTGAGGGCAGCCATGCGCACCATTTCGAATCCATAAGACCCATCAATCATCAGAAGAACCAGGTCGGCAACCTTGCCAATGTCAATCATTGAGTTGAGGTCATTGTTACATTCAATGAACGTCAACCGCCGTTTTTTGCCGCTAACCACTGTGATGGGGCCTTTGGCCTCCTGCGGCGTTTGCTTGGAGTATCGACGAACAAGGCTTTTGAGAAGAGTGGTCTTGCCGACTCCAGAGGGTCCTACTATGGCGACAATTACTGGCGGAGGAATGTCATCCGGAGTGCGATCAACAAGTGGGACATGGAGACGGGTTTGTTCGCGCTCGACATTTCTTCGTCCTTCTCGCTCTGCACGTCTGCCCGACTTTGGAGCAAAGGCCTAGGAAGAGCATGAGCAAGTTGGGGGGACACAGGACCACGGCATTACGCTACCTTTTCGTTGAATCCGGACTGTTTGCCTTTACCTTTTCCCTTTGTCTTTTTCTCGGCTTTGTTGCTAGGCCGATGGGTTTTGTGTATCTGACTTTCCATGACAGAGCTCAACAAAATATTAGCGGACGACCCAAGCAGCCTCGATATCACCAATAAGGAAAGTGACCCCTACACGATGTGCTTACATAACACGAAGACTGTGAACGATCACGTGACCGACGCGTAGGGACGTGCCAGCCTGGTTTTGCGAGTCCGACACCGTCGCCGCCGTGTGGCCTGTCTCGCTCCCGCTTTCTGACATTTTAACTACTCGTAGCTCGCTGTTTTTGTTTGCGTCTTCGCGATACCCTGATGTCTAGGAAGTCATCGTCCTCGCACTTTGACTTTAGTATTCCAGGCGACGAACTCGAACATCGTCGCATCCAACTCGAACACAACCTGCAAATCACCGATCTATCATTCCATCTATCATCTGTCCCAGACGAACCAACCGGTGACAATGAGTCTGTAGAATATCCAAGACATTACTCCGCACCATCCCCGTTCCCCGGGTTTGCATCATTCGAACAGCACTCCCGTGAAAACCTAGAATACGATGGCCATAGTCACCTTCACCCTTGGTCCGTGCACGACGACGACGACGGTGGTGTCAATCCTTATGGTGCAGAAACAATGTCTACTGCCGCGCATCACGCAAGCGCCGTCACGATCACCGCTGGTCTAGGGCGCAATCAACGACGGGAACCCAGTATCAGCGGTGCCGAGTATGATCCTGATCGCCCTCTTCAGGATATCATGGCTGGGATGCACACCGCCGACGCTGCTTCCCTTGCTGCTCGTTTGCGCTCTCCAAGGAGAGGTCATGATTTATCCGTTTCAGAAGAATCTGATAGGTCACAGGAGATCTCCCGCCCAAAGCTCGCCGAAACTCTGCAGCGTGTTGGATTCTCACCACGACGCCCGCGTTCACTACAGTCAAGTTTTCAGTCACCAGGTGGGGTCCAGGACACCTTGCGTCGGTATGCGGACGCCTCTCGTCGGAGTATGACACCAAAAGCAAGGAAAATCGCTGCTGTCTCCTTCGATACCACCGCGACTCCGATTCGAAGACACGTTTCTCAACCTGCAACCGTTCAGCCTCAGGTTAACGTCCAGCCTCCCACGCCATCTACCACAGCTTCCAACTTCACCAAAATGGCACGCGGACTTACAAGGGACATTCGTCATGCTCAGGACCTCTCCCAGGCTGACAATGTTGTTGACAATGAACATGCATCTCACCCGGTTTCAACTTCTCGTCAAAAGGATAACCCCTATGCGAGTGCAACAGACATGACTGGCGAACTGAACCACGTCAGTCGCGCATCCAAGAAGGCTCGAGGGCGAGTTTACCTACCTGACGTTACTGGACTGACAAACGCTGTCGTTTCTCCGGCGAAAGTCGTAATGGATCGTTATGCTGTTCGTGGACTTGGTTCCAGAGACCTTGAAGGTGGAGTATTCCATATTCACATCCGGGCATGAGAATTCCAACGACGTTGCTAGCTCGCCTTGTCACTTCCCTGAATGCGCTCCAGGTCCGACTATCGCATCTGGAGAACGAAAACAGCATTGCCAGGCGGCGTGTCAGGGAATTGGAATATGAGCTGGAGCAGTGCAAACGGGACGTGATGAGGGAACGCACACGAATTTTAGAGTCCCAGGATACTATTGATGTCAGTGCTCGGCTCCCCGGCCCCTCGACGTCGCGTGCCAAGGGTAAAGAGAGGAAAATGAAGGAGGCTGATCAATCAGCGTCCAAGTACTTTGAGGTCGTAGAGGAAAAGAAAGGTAGGTTAACCCATTCATTCCCGTGGTTTGGGACTTCACCATTTATCAGCACTCGAATCACTTATATCCACACTGAGGGCTCATCTTGCTCGTGTCACTTCCGATCTCTCCACTCAGCAGCAGTTACTAGAGGATCTCCGTCGTCTTCGCGAATCGGACGCTCTCTCCTTATCCGAGAAAACGGAGGAGATCAACCAACTCAGAATTGAAATGGAGCGACTCGCTGGAGAGCTTGAGGTTCTTCGAGGGGTCGTCGAAGAGGGCCTCAATGAGAGACGTCAGGCGAGAGAGAGCGCAGGGGAAGAAGAAGATGATGATGATGGCGTAGAGGCCACAACTGAATCGGAGCAGTCTGACGAATCCGCGACGGAACCTGCCATCGAAAGTCCCTCGCCCAATCGTATATCACGTCCGTCTACACCGGTTCCGTCTCTCCGGAGATCAGTATCCGAGACCTCTCAGCACCTTAATCGAAGTCGACCCACATCCCCTGCCTTTGCTGAGCGTTCCCGCGCGACATCGGCACTCCGGTTCGTTGACCCCGGTCAGGTCAATCCAAGATCAGCAGATTTGGAGGAGCACCACCCACGGTCTCCGGACACTTCTACTTCGTCCGGAAATGCCTCTCGAGATATGTTGGCTGCTGCATCCCATCACCCTGCAGATCGCACATCAGCCTCGGCTTCCAAACGGCGAGACTTAAGGCAACCAGTCGGGGTGGAGGATGAATTAGTGTCCGTTGTTACATCCGCTACCGAACCACCACTACAAGCTGCCAAGGGCCAACCAAACCATACCTCACAACCGCGACAAAAGGAGGGCAAATCGAAGGCTGATGACACAATACCAATTCCCCCCTTCCCCCGTATTAGTGCGGACCTGGAGCACTTATTCTTTTCCTCGCCGCGTCGTCACATTAAAGCTTGTCAAACGTGTAAGGACCCTCATTCACGATGTCATACCGAGACGGACAGACGGAAACAAAAGACCCCCGGGCGTTTTGAACATGAGAGACCAGAAAATGACGGCGGATTAGATGCAGGTGAACCTGCGGGGGGTCAACATCCTCCCACTCATGATGGTAACGCACCCGTCGAAGACGCTCCAAATATCGATGAAATTCTCGAACGCATGGATCGGAACGGTGGCGTCCTGAGACCTAGCGACGTTCCTCCTCAAACGGTGCTCGCCAGAGTCGTACGAGACCTTGAAGATGAATTCACTCACTACAAAGAGTGAGTTTCCCGCTGTGACCATTCCAGGTGTATATGTCTAATCCGACTTCATCCCACAGAATCTATCGCGAACTGGCTGAACAGTACCGGTCTATGGACTGTGCGACGCAAGCTACGAAGCGTCACATGGTTGCTGACCACCTGCGGGACGTTATCGATACTATCGAGCGCAAAGTGAGACCTGACTCTAGTCTCCTCTCTGTATGCTGATGAAGGTTGGCTTTCCAACAGGGCGATCAAATCACATCCTTGTACGGATTGTTGACCTTCAAGGATAAGCCGATTGTTAATTAGTATTCCCTTTATGACTTATTGTTTCCGTGATTTACACTACAAATCATATGGCGAGACTAGCCTTCATCTTCTCTCGTGCCGACACCGGGAAACAAAGTAATTTATGTACCTCCACAATTGGGCTCCGTCAGAATGGCACTTTCTTTCGTATGAGATATGACCCGAATAAATTATAACGCAACCCATGTTTCCCGCCCCTGCTACTGGTAACACCGCCGACCCCCATGGTGAGACCTCACCCGTATATAATTAGGTGTTCGGGGCACAGTACATAACTCAGCAACTGTCTACGGCAGACACCAGAGCGGCGAACTCTACTTACTAAATACTTGCCGCGGAGAAAGATGGGACTCCGTACGCCAACGAAGATAAAGACACGTCCGCTCACAGAACCGCACTCCCATATAAGTTACAATAAGTTACAATAGTGGCCAATCACCAGTGTGTTGATTCGTGGACTCCGCAGTAGTGATTTGTTCGTGCTTAACTTCGTGTAGACCACGACGGAACAAAAATATTATACATTTGATTTTTATTTGCCCGACTAAACCTGCCGACAGCGTGAACGGCGTTCATGCAAGGGAGAATACATGACGTATCATATCCTGTACACCCTCAATCGTCCCGGGCTCATGCCACCCAGTGAGAGCCTTTACTAATACAATTTTCTTCCCTGAGCTCTCGAACTCGTGCATAACACCGAAATTGTGTATATGGGTTCGAGTGACCAACGACTCGCGCTCCCTATCCCGCAATGTCATCTGCCCTTCGTACTCACTCCACTCCTCATTCGACCACAAGGTGACGTTGTGAGGAAGGGCGGCAAGGGGAGTTAGGTACGGCTCTAACAGGGAATCAAAGAGTGCGTCGGAATGCCAATGGGGAATGTCCCAGTCATTTTCCGAGTGGAGTATGAGCAAGGGCACTTTGACCCTCTGATCGGGAATTAGAGCACTGTTACAGACATGAAAGGCGTGCCTACCGAGATGATGGACAAGGTATTGAACTCGTGGCGAAGGGAGGACTTAAAAAGTTCTGCGTGCAACGAAGGTTAATATTGGGCACAAAGGGCTTGGCAATCAGACATACCAGCCGCACCAGGTACCATGGTCAAAGGCAGCATGACGGGGAGGAACCCGAACACGCAGTAAGTATCCACAACAGCATGCAGAGATGAGAAGGGGGATAAAAGGGCTAACCCTCTGAATTGGGTGCCATCCTCGGCCAAGGAGACTGAGAGCTTTGAGGCAACTGCTGTGCCAAGGCTGTGGCCGATGATAACGATGTCTTTTGGATTTGCGCCGTTGGTAATGAGCCAGTCCCACGCAGCACGGCTGTCGGTCATCAGACCAGTTTCGCTGGGCGTACCTTCGCTATCACCAAAACCCCGATAATCTATCGCGAGTACATTGGCGCGCACGCGAGATGAGAAACCGGAGTATTGACGAACGCGCACGTAGAAAGCGCGCGTGGCAGTGTTTCCGTGGAGGAAGAGAATGGTAGGCTGTGAAGCCAGTGCTTCATGTAGAGCATTTTCTGCCGCGTTGGGCGGCGGGGGGAAAGGCATAGACTGGTAGATGTTATCAGAGAGAATAAACCATGCACCGAGTGTATGATTATCTGGGGTAACTATCTTGATATTGGCCACCTTGCCAGCTACCCAAGAAAAAGCATCTCAGCGTCTTTCAAATCTCACCGCGTCAATGGGTCCATAACACCATCGCGGACAACGAAACAATGATTACGACTTACGTGCCATCCCGTAATTCTCGGGATTATCGTACTGTGCGAAGAGGGGGAGCTTGACAACATTCATGAATACTGCACTGAATGGGAAATTAATTTTTGAAAAGACGTAATGAAGCAGACGAGCATTACTCACTGTGACTGGATCCAAGGGATAGTCAAGAGCAGTAATAGGGCAACGTAGATGCCACCGATGACAGTGAAGTAAGTCCGAACACGTGAACGAAAGGTAGGTTTAACAACTTCGCGCGACATCTCAGCACTGAAGCCCATGCAATGACTGTACAAGTAAGTGTAGGAGGGTCCCCTCCTCGTCCAGATCTTGCACGTACCATTAAGTAGAGTAGAGGCTGTTTACCGTTATTTGTATGAATGGTGAATGCAGGAGATTCCCTGAGATCCCCTTGCACTTTGTTGTCGTGTGACCCTCAATGTGAGAGACGCCAGTAGTCTAAATCGGCTGCAGGTGTCTAATTTCAGGTCAGTCGCTGTTCCTGCTGTAGCTGGTCGGAAAACGAGTCCGATGCAGCATGTCGCTGGCGCGATGATGCTCCAAGGGTTGTCAGATTCGGAAGTTGTGGGCATCACGCCGCACAATCAACGAAGGTACCTTCCTGTGGGGTTCCGAGTCTCACCCATACCTATATCACTTGGTTGGTCTCCCCTGTTACTTGGTGCTTTGAGCCTTTGGAAGAGCCGAAGAGGTAGCCGACCCAGTACGCCACAAGCTTGAACAACTTTGTCACTGCTTAGTAAGAATAGAGTTAGACGCATGGTTTCAGCCTCATGAGTCCGGATTACTGGATCCACTGACAGCGTACGACTGCAAGTATTTGACGGGTTTCTCAGAGTCTTGCTGCGAGGTAAAGGGCCATCCCGATCGAGTGCCACCCTACCATGACCCTGGAAAGATTTTAGACTATACCGAAGTGTGGCGCCCTTCCATGCATGGCTCCAATCTAGACTCTAAGGACGAGATTGGCAAAACCAACATCAGAATTCGTGAATTCCGATAACAAGTGGCGATAAGCGATGAAATGGTGTGGGGCTTTGGGGGAAAGCCCTGAATAGCTGGAGATGGTGTCTGGGTTGTAGTCCACCAATAGCCACATAAGCTCACCCAAAGCTCAGACCTGCAAAGCTCGTTTGTCCGAACAGTCCGACGATGCCCAGCCCATGGGAGTTTGGTGCATTCCTGATTCCTGGTCCTTTCGGACTCTGCAAGCACATGTTTATCATGTTGAACTACTTACTGACAAAAGCTTCCGAAAGCAAGGGTAAGGTGGCAGGGTGGCAGGAGGCTAATAGCACGCAATATGTTTGGATGTGTTTGTCATCGGAGAGTATCAATGCCTGGCAAATTAGAGTCCTTTAGACCATCTACTGGGCACCGCATGATGTACATTTTACGGGATAACCGGACTTCCGGACTTAATATTATCTTGCTTGGAAGGTTCCTGCTGGTTTCGACCGCGCCCACAAATGCCGTGGGACCACAAAAGGTCACACATACGGCTACACTTCCCCGTCTACTCCAACATCGCTCGCCTGCTCGACCCTCCCCGAACTCACATCCGGACAGTGGATTCAACGCCAACGGCATGCGGCACATTTTCGTCGACAATCACGGCGACCGTCTGAACATATAATGGATGTTGACGGGTTGTATGGTAGGTGGCGCTTGCTGGGTGACAGGTTGGTGTGACGCATGGGCAGGTTGTAACTACAGTCCGTGTCAACAAATGATGCTAAGTAGCACTTTATATTTCCGTCCTGGCCATTGACCCTGTAGTCGTGCTACCAGCTTATGTACCTTCCCTCCTACGTTGTCTCGTGTACACCTTGCGCAACACCTCCACTTCAAGCAAAGTAGGCCGCCGCGGTGAGCAGAAGCCTCCCGAGTCGAGTAGCAATTCCACTACCCACGTCAACCGCGTCTGGCACCAAGCTCCAAAGAGTAGCCATCATTCTGTGGTCGGGTTTGATCGGACATCTCGACAGGCAATACGGTTGTTCCCTATTATGTAGTCTATCTAATAGCTGGATATCTTATCACGGCTCTCTGTGACAGAGCCGTCTCCAGGTCCAGGTACGCAAGATAAGTTATCGGCCATTCCTTTGGCATTTATAAGCACTTAGGGGCGCTTGCGAGAGGAGGCAACGCTGCGCCCTTGGAGTCAGATAGCCTTTGCTTCGTCCTAACCATACCGGTGATGTCCAGCTCATCCGACAGTAGCCTCCCTGTAGGCGTGGTGCTTCTGGTCCGCCATGGAGATCGCATGGGGTTCTATCAGGATCCCGAAACCTACACAGCAAGTGCCACGCAGATCACACCATTAGGGAACGTATGTTCCCGCTCATTCACCGAAATAAGGGTTGTTAGCGCTAACCCCACGTACCCCGTGATCAGCAACAAGAGTATCAGTTAGGAACTTACTTGAGATCCGTGTACCTAAACGAGTCTTCGCCGTCGTACATTCAGGGACTGGGTACCGGATTGTTCAATCAGTCCCAAGTTTTTGTGCAGGCAGACATCGGCGACGAAGGATATGTTATATATGATTCCTGTGTTTCATTAACCCAGGGTCTATGGCCTACGACAACGAGCAACAACATCACTCTTGCAAATGGGACTACCATCATGGCGCCCCTAAACGGTTATCAAGTAAGTTACAGCCTAGTGTCCATCCGTAAACTGTGCTCATGCATGCGTTTCGCCTCGACATAGTACGTTCCAAGTACGTGACTCAATCACAGCAGGAATAGCCGGCTTACAGGAATTGCTACTTCAGTTGATGGCATCGATCCCACTGAAAACATGTCCCTCGAAGGATTTGATAATTGCAACGTTTGCTTGTTCTATCATCTGCAGAGAAACACAAGCGCTTACTTGTAGTCTAGACGTTCAGTGCCCACACAACTGCATTCTATGATTCTCCTGAGTTCCAGGAGATGGAATCGCAGAGTGCGGCTTTCCTGCAACTTCTACCTCCGTACCTGGGCGACCGAGCCGCGACGCTGCAAAACATGGTAGGATACCACAACTTTCTCTGGTTATTTTAAAGCTAATGAGATATTGAAAAAGTGGAATGTACCTCAATTTTGATCTTTCGCACCAAGATTGTCTAATTTGGCCCCCTATATTCCTGCGATTTTACCAGGTATTCGACTATATGAACGTCAATTACATACACAACGCAACGTTTGCTGCCTCCCTTCCTCCGACTTTCCTTCCTCAAGCACGTGCGTTGGCCAATTGGCACGAGTATAACGTCTTCAGCGACGCGAGCCTCAGTGGCATCGGAAACAGTGTGTCAAGGACCCCTTTAATTCCCCTCGTATTTTGCTTGATGTTGGATCATTTTGGTGTGGTGCAGTTGCTGGTCGAACAATCATCCCAACCATTTTTGAAGCGTTCGATGCCATCCTCGATCCTGTCAACCCTGCTAAACTCTATGTTACTGCTATATCCTACAAGCCCTTTTTATCACTCTTCAATATGACGGGTGTGGCAGCTGCAAATCCAGAACTCGCTGGAATAGGTACGCCGATTCTGTCTTACCCCAGCCATCAGCTCGCACGAGCGTGTTTCCGAGAATGGGCAAGGGGGTGAAAATTTGGATTAAGTACTGACGGTGACAATGGCCTTCCATTGCGCCCTCAGTGGATTACGCTTCGGCTGTTGCGCTTGAGGTTCGACTGCCAAATGGCGATGCTACCGAAGCCACTATCCGCTTCAACTTCAAGAATGGTTCAGATCCCCAGTTCACCACATACAACTGGATGGGCGCCACCGGAGACATCAAAGTGACGTCGTTCTATGATGCGTTATCAGTACGTGCGATGAAGGCCGTTGTTTTTTGTCATCCTTTCTCACTAACGCATCGCCCTTCTATTTCCGAGTAGAGTTCGGTAGTGAACGGGACGGCGGATTGGTGCAATGTATGCCAGAACACCCAGGTTAGCAGTTGCGCTGCGCTCAATCTCGCTGCGCAACAAGCGAGGGCGGCGGCCTTATCACCCTTAAGTCCAGTTGGTGCTGGGTTCCTTGGCGCAGGAATGACGATCGTCCTGTTTGCCGTCGCGTTAAGCTCACTGCTATTCTTTGGGTTGCTGAAGTTCAAACGCCCCCTGTTCAAAGGGCGGAAGCATAGGGAAGAGGATCAAGTGGGTTATTGACAACGTCTACAGTTTTTTTGACTGATGCCCATTGCGACAGGTTGAACTAAGCAAAACACAAGCGTACGCCGATAGCGTAAATCCGCCATCGAGCGTAAGTCGTGGGCAGTGATGGGACAAATCCTTACGGAGATTCGATGAGAGAGCTCGGCGTGTCATTCTTTTTTTCATTGGAAGGGGCACAATATTAGCTCCGCGTATTATCGGTTTTCCAAGATCAATGCCGAGTGGATGAGAAGTTGTGTTGTTTTAATACTATGATAGGTGGGAATAGTTATCGCCAGAGATGGTCTTCGCCACCACTAGAGTCTTCATATAGGGACTCATCGTGGTCGGAGTCCTCGTGGAATATATCTAGTTCTACAATGAGATGAAGTCATGAAAGAAGGAACTAGTCACTTAACCGCTTCCATCGTCATCGCTCCCAGACTCCTCGTCTGGATAATCATTCTTGTAGTATTCTTCAGCTACAGGATAATAATTAATGAACCGCGACGACAACGGAAGCACTGGAATGAATACCATTAGAATCTTCATCCGCTTCATCCTCTTCCTCTGACTCCTCGGGGCTGGAAAATTCTCCATCCAGACCCAGCAGGGAGACCAGTGCTAATACATAACTTGTCATCGTTTACACACTTAAGAGTTGGTCAGGTCACGTACAGGGTGCCCACGTTCGCTGCAAGTGACCGCCACTCATCAAGACTGTACGGCCTCCTGTAAAATACGTCCCAAACATAATCGTCTGTCGCCGGTATACCCCTTTCTGCCCTTGGACTGAACTGCCAACCTTAGGGCTCACCTCGCTCACTAAGCGAAGAAAAGCATTGAATGAAGGGGACACATGACTTTAGGAGTGTGTGCGTACGCCTGAGGTAATCCTGGAGCATAGGCAGAAAAGTTCTCCATTTGCAGGTCGAGGAGTTGCGTGGCAGCCTCTTGGTCGGCAGGGACTGCATCGTACATTTTGAAGTCATTCTGAGAAGCATCTTTAGCTGAGATAACTTTGGGTCTGCGATGCAGGGTGGCATCAGCGTCCCAGGTTCGTTTCGCGATAATGAAAGCCTTGTAAAGTGGGGGTGCACTTACGGACTGGTCGGTCGTCTTCGGGAGGCAGCTCTGGTGTCTTCCTCAGCCACTCTGACAGTGTATCGACGGTTCCCCTCCTCCATCGGACGCCCCGCATCTGGGGATCTCACTTCTCGCACTGGTGAAGCTTGGCTGTTCCCGTGCGAGTCTGCTAACTTCGAAATCTGACTCTGCTCCACCACCAACCTTCTCATGAGTGACACAGCGAGACACCTAATGTGCCGTGAACAAGGCCAGAGACGAACCTGTAGATTCTGCCTAGCCTTCACATCATCCCATGCATCAGTCTCAACCGTCTGCGCAAACTGGAAAACGTCCAGGCCTCCACCGCGTGACTTTTTCCTTCGCGAGCGAGACTCAACGACTGCTCATCACAGGGATTGTGAGCGATGTCTAGAGAACACTGGCGTAGGGGTTGCAACCAATTTACCCAGCGCGTCCAGTGGCTCCTCAGTGCGCTTGCGCTTGATGCGAAGGATGGTGTAAGATGGGTGTTTGTTATCATCACTGGGCTTCAGTCCGGTGGATTGCATTTCTGTGAAACGTAGTCACTGGATGACAGATTTGGATGGAGACATGAGGAAGCCACGTGCTTCAATAATAACTGCCATTACGGTCACGTGGTCCAACTGACTCCTAGTGAAGAAACGGCTGTTTTCTAGGTCACTGATCCTGTGTTCTAAGGGTGCCCTCCCACATACTTACGCATCATTGGTATCACGCAATGCTTTTCACATCCAAAATTTATGTATCGTTAAGTGCTTCTACCTTTACGAGAAGCAGCGAACTCGGTACAGAATTCACTAACCTTACAGTGTTAGACCAACGTCCATCTCGCGAAAATTCAAAATTTTGCTAGTAATGTAATCAGCAAAATTCAAGATTCGAGACCAGCTGCCAGGTGCAATAACAAAAGCAATATGTAAGTACTCTGAAATGGCATGACGCGTCCCCCATCATTCCGTAAGAATAAAAAGTTTACGTTACTGTAACTTCTCGATTCTTCCGTGTCTTCAGGCGTCTTCGTTATCACCTACAGCGCCGGGCTTCCCGGGACTGCCTGCCATCCTCCAGGCGGCCAGAATGAGATCGACAACATCATCGATATTCTCATTATTCTTCACGCTCGTGAAAATCGTCGGGCCATCGCCCCGCATAATCTTTGAATCACGCTCCATCACTTTGAGGGACGCGTTGACGTACTCAGCAATATCGATCTGTTTTCAGTTCATTCCATTCCGTTATTCGGTTTCCGATTCATTTGAAGAATTTGGTTCGTGATCCGGGTTACATATGTGTTTTCATTAGAAGTACCGGGTACCATTTCGCGGGTGGAAAATGCAATATTGGGAAGCGGATTTGGTTAATTTTCGGATGCGAAGAATGCGAGAAGAGAAAACAAAAGCTTACCTTGTTGATGATGAGAAGGTCGGACTGCGAGATGCCCGGGCCGCCCTTCCGGGGAATCTTATCCCCTCCCTGTTGAGCCGCATGAGTATGTATTCATGTTCGCTACCGGGCGCCGTAAACAAGTATGGGGGGTTCAAAATGTTCGTGAATGCCTCCCCAATTGTACACGGAGGCGAAGAAGGCGACTGAGTGCAATAATGAAGGTAGGCACCCACTGCGACATCAATAACATAAATGATATAATCCGCCAGTTCCCTTGAGTAGTTTGCAGCGAGATTATCCCCGCCACTCTCAACGAACAAAATCTGGCAGCCGTACTTCTCCTGGAGAGTCTCGAGTGCACCGGCGTTGGCGCTTATGTCCTCACGGATTGCGGCATGCGGACAGCCACCAGTCTCAATTGCAAGGATTCGCGACGGAGGTAGGGCTTTGTTACGGATGAGGAATTCTTGGTCTTCGCGCGTAAAAATATCATTCGTTACGGTAGCTACCGGGAAAATGGCGTTGGGAGAGAGGACGAAAGCCGCGGAATCAGGTAGTGTGATGTTAGTACGCACCAATGTTGTATTCCTTGCGCAGTCGCTTGCATAACGCGAGCGTGAGAGCAGTCTTACCAGAACCTACCGGGCTATGCAGGCGAATAGATGGGAGCGTAGTGAATGAGCCTATCAGATTTCGATCTATTAAAAGCAAAGATGGAAAAACCGGAAGACCCAAAATCCAATCCACTAGTCCGTATTAGAACGGCAGGTTCACAAAAATAACGAATGATACGGTAGTCACAAGTACTCACCCACCAATCCCAACGGTGAATCCCCTCTCTTCGAAGTTCCTCGAAGAGTAGTCAGGGAGATCCCGATCGGAGAATTTTCCTGGAAGATGCCAGAATGCGATGAGGACAACCAGCGGTGGAATGGCAAAAGCGAAGCCAATCATACGCGGGTGATCAACCAACTGGTTTACACATTCAAGAAGAGAACGCACCAGGATGGTCGAGGTGCTCATGCGTGTGTCCGTGCTCCCCTCCGTGGTCATGAACCACACCGCCCCTTTCATGAGAGTGCGAAGCTGAGGGCTGAGCCCCGGCGATGGCACTCATGTTGTTAATGAACTGGACGCTCATAGTAAATGGGTAGCCTCGAGTTGCTGGTTAGCAGCTACACAACTGTGGTTGCGAAGACAGAGATAAGGCAGTGGTAGATAAGATCATCCTAGAGTCACACGATCAAGCTGGATGATGCTGTTTACGTGTGTGACGAGGACGACGAGTGAATGAAGCGCACGTCCGCCAGTCTTGTGTCGTATTCGAGCTCAAGCTCAGACGAGTCAGACGGTACCAAACCCACCCGTCGTCGCTCTTGCAAGCCAGGGCCACCGGCAGAATTAGCCACAGCTGGCCCTTCTGCCAAGAGGCGGTAGGTATTCCGTCCTCGTTGAAACTTGACTGACAACACGCAGAAAACTCCCACCACTCGCAGCTTCTCTTGCACCTCCAGTTCCGGCGGATGACCCCGCAAAGCACCAAGGCCGCATTCGCAGCTTTCCCCACGTAGAGGGTCAGTATGCCACATACGTATATGTCCCACTTGTTCTGGCTCCTGGTGAAGCGCTATACGACCTCGTAACCGAGGTGATATCCACGGCAAAGAAAGAGGTAAAAGGGTTGTGGGGAGTCGGGGAAGCGGAAAAGGAAGACGTGCAAAGACAAAAACATGAGTGCGAGGACAGGGATGAAAATAAGAGCATGGATAGAGGTGAGAGGAAGAATGCCAAACTCGAACTACACATTTCGCTTTCCCGCCCAATCTTCCTCCGCGCTCACCAACGGGAAGACTTCAAGAGGGCAGTGAAAAAGATTGCAGAGTCGGTTTCACGGTAAGCGCGTTTCCGCCAGCGTTCCCTACTTCCTTCTCTTGTACTCCTTATAGTCTTGTCCTGGAGTAGGGCCTCATGGTCATTTCAGGTTCAGCGCATCGTTCTCAACTTTCTCAGAGCTTACGAATGATGAACGTACGCGAACGTTTCTGACTATGGAGGTTGGCGCCGGGCACGCCGAGGTGTGTAATCTGTCTGACTTTCCCCCCTGCTCCAGGATTTCTCGTCTATGTCCTTCATATACCCTTCATCCGCTCTCTAGTCTACCATCCTTCCGCTGACGAAAGTATTACGATACCTCACATAGTTTTGCCAAATTCTCAAGTTCCTCGTGCCTACACTCCGGTCGCTCCGCCAGAAAGAGTTCTACGGAGACCCAAAGTTCCACGCATCGATTGCCTGGGCTCTCTTGGACTGCTCAAGGACTACGACACCCCTACCCTCCACGTCAGCTACGCCAGACACTGCGCGGTCTTCTTCTGTGCCACTACAAGTGTCGCAGTTGCTGCGAGTCTCACAAGAGCGTCCCCCTTTGGAAATGGTAACGAGTGCTTCTGGGTTACCCTCCCAATCTCGCATTCCTTCTAACACCCCGACACCCTCTGACTCGATGTCCACGGTCGACCTAGACCGCTTCCCTCGCATCCCGCACCTTCCACCTACACTGGTATCCACACTGAACGCTACCTATGCTCCCAGGCTCTCGGCAGCTCGCACGGGTGGATTCTTAGCGGACAAAATTGCTGTCAGGATTGGGAAGGAAGTTGCGGTGTGGTGTTTGAGTGGAATCGGACAGGCAGTTTAAAAGCTCCTGTGGGGCTCGGTGTAGTGGTTGAGAGAGAAGTACTATGTTATTCGTGTCCTGGCTCCGGAGGGGCACTTTTCACAAAGGAGGGGGAGCCTGGACTACGTAGAACATCCTTGGCCTAGTATGGCTTAGGAAATTCACTGCATTTGGTCCGGTTTGGGCGTCGCGCAGTCGGACGTACTCTGGCGAAGTACCCCGTGCAATACTTAGGCAAACTAGATATATTGCAATACGTGCTTCGGAACTTGGTGTCGAGAAGTGGTTTCCACTGGCGATTCACCCATGTTGCAATCTTCAGAACCCAGAGGACAACCCATCAAATGTGATTTGGATCGTTAAGCAGGACTCACGACAAGTGCGACATTCCGCCCACTCCCTGTAGCCTGATCGAACAAATTGACCATCTCGATTGTCATGTTCCCGTTCCGCACCGTTATCCTCCCTTCCTCATCCACTCTATATTTCCCTCTGACAACTCCCAACTCCCCTCGTATCCACTCGTACCTATCTTGCAGAATTAGGCTCTCGATCAGTGGCCCAAGTATGCACCTCAACACATGTACAACCTCCAACCGACTCTCCATCCGTAGTCGTTTAAAGATGCCTTCCTCGTCGCCGCTGTCGTTATTGTGATTTAGAATCCAAGGCAGCAGCCGGTCCCCCGATGCCATTCCCTCCGAGTATTGACGAGTAAGATCGGGGATGCCAATACCTAGTTTGGTCGTCGCGCTGACGAGAAAGGTGCTCCAGTCTGCGTATGAAGCATCATTTAACTTGCCCAATCTCCTGTTCTCAGGTGTTTCTCCAAGGCCTAGTCGCGCCATCGACCCTTGGGCATCTTCGCGGCTCATGGTATCTTGGGTATCGGGTGATTCCTTCTTGCACTTACCAGTAAGCTGCATTACGGGTTGCAATAACGCCCGATACACGACTTTTCGGACGGCAAGACGAGCAGTCTTACCTGCTCGCTCTGTCCTGAACCAGTGGGCGGGCACCTGAGTTGCTAAGTGCAGTGCCGCTATCGGGAGAGTCGGACGTGGGGATAGTGAGAGTAGGGGTTCCGACAGGGGAAAGTCTGCACGATGTTAGACGCCCGTGTAATCGTAGCTATGCAGTGAAGGAAACGTCGCATACCAGAGGGGGAGATGAGGTTGTAGCAGCAACCTACGATTACCAGCGAATGGGGTTCCCACCAGCGTTCACATTCGACTTTATTGTGATGTGATAAGAAGGTACGAAGAACATCGATAGTGAGGGACCCGCATGCGTGCAGGGCGACGAACATGATCGGGATCGGGTCTCGGGTCGAAGCAAAGGTGTTGGACGCGCTGCTCAGGAGCCAATCTTGGATTGCCGCTTCTAGGGATGTCGGCTGGATGTGGACGGTCCGGTGAGTAAGCGATCCTTTTCTATGAGAGCTTGGAGTTGTCTGTGAGGGGCATGCATTGACGTCGGGACTAGCAGTGCTCGCGTGCCTCTGTGCGTTGTTGCGACGCTGCTCGTGCGCTCTTCGGAGGGCATCCTTGATTTTCCAGTCGTTAGCACCAGACGTTTGATTTTCGTTGTTGTCGAGAGCAAGAACGTGCAGGCCCTGTTCCTCCAGGGCCCTTGAAAGATACCCCTTGTGTGATTACAGACAATGGGTCTCACTACTGGGCAAGTCCCCGTACCTGTCCTGATCCTACATCAACAACATGCTGGACGTTTCGGCAACGGGCCCCATCACGGTTGAGGAGGGTATGAACGAATGTCGCCATGCGGGTGACCTCGTGTTCCTTCTTGGGCGACATCCCGAACGACGAGGGTGACCGTCCCCTAGTTTTGGGTGGCATGTGGGGAGACTGGGCTGGCCAGGCACACAGAGCAGGTTACCACCTGGCGACGACTGCAGACGGAAACGAACCTGGAACAGGGACGGAAAGAGGCTCCCGGTCAAGTTGTAAATTGCGCACTGTATCGATCAGGAGACGAAGTTCTGCAGGAATCTGATAGCAACGATCATTAGTACAGTGCCCAGAAGATTGGTCTGGAATCGACCCACGGATTCCGAGATCTCCAGCCTCCCATTCTCAGCTGGGCTTTCAATGGGACGACAATAGTACGACAACAACTGCTGCCATTTTGGAGGTTCCTGGTCGTACTCAGCTGCCCAGCCCCACCATGAAGACCACAGATCTGGTGTGCGACCATCCAAAGTCACTTGGTTTGGGTGCGTCGTCAGTAGCGACGTGACCAGAGGTGACGAAATTCTGTCATAAATCTCCAACGTGCGCGCAACCATGCTGAACGTCAGCCTATCCGCGAAGAGGAGTATTGTTACCGGGGAGGGTAGCAGCTTCTTGCAACCGAAAATGAAAAACTTTTGATTGGTGCCCGAGACCACCGAGCGTGGAGGGGAGCTGGCATGGTGACCGCTGGCACTCAAGATGTTCCCCGTCATTGCAACACCACAATTTAACCCGGGTCTTCTCATGAAGACACCCGTTGGTTTCGCTACCTTCTCACTTGGCCCATGTTTTTCACCGACGCACACCTTCTAACATGTCTCGCCGTCGGCGTCCTTGTCGCCGTTGCGTACGTCCTCAGAGATCTTATCGTCCTCCTTGCAACGCAGTACCTTTCCCCCCTCAGAGCACTGCGCTCTCCACCTTCGCCATCTTTCTTGTTTGGAAATCTTCGCGAAATGTACCAGCAAGAAAACACTGGCCTCCTGTTTGATTGGGAGGACGCCTACGGCCACACATACGCCTATAGGGGATTCCTTGGCGGTTACCGTCTCATCACAACTGATCTTACAGCTATAGCACATATCCTGGCCCACCCAGAGCGTTTTCAGAAGCCGGATTTCGTCAGGGAAAACCTGGCAGCTATGGGTGCTGGTTCCGAAAGTGTTCTCACCACGGAGGGCAATGTCCACGCCAGGCAGGTGCGTACCTTCTCAATGGCCTGGCATTTCTCGTCTCACAATCCCTGCAGCGCAGGATACTAGTGAGTCCAATTTTCCACTCTCATTCGCTTGTTATGCTGCGTCTTTGGCCGCTATCACTCGATATCTCCTTCTGGAATCCTCACATGTCGCATTGGTTCCTCACGTTGCCGTCCATCAGGCACCTGCGTTTACAGCAGCACATATCAGGATGCTCCACCCCATTTTTTGGGACAAGGCTGCGGAGGTAAGCTCCGGCCTCGTGTGTACAAATTAATATCTATTCAAGGTTTAATTATCTCATGCTTTCCGGATACGATCGTGCCCAGCTACTTGAACGATGGAAACATCTCGCCAACGACCGGAGGGAACTATGTCCATCGATAGATGTCCTCCCTTGGTTGTCCAAAGCTACGCTCGATGTTATCGGGCTCGCTGGTAGGTTTCCTTTGCACTCGTGTCGAACTGCATTTAGCTCGCGAAGTCGTGCATTTTGGGTAAGCTAACGTTAGGCTCATTAACCAGGATTTGGTTATCAATTTAACGCACTGGCCGGCGAGAATGATGAGCTCGCCGACGCGTACCATCTAATATTTTCTACTGCGAGGAAACTTGCGCTGCGCACTATCCTTGAAACGTGGATACCAGTTGTTGCGCAAATTCGTAAGTGGTACATTTCCGACGGTCGGTCCTATCAATTCATTAGAGGAGCAGCGCCCGCAGTCTGAAGCGATGAATTGGGCGCGTGCCCACCTTACTCGTATCGGCCTCAAGCTGATTGAGGAGCGCAAATCGATGATGGCTGCCGAGATGGGCAAGGATGGACCATACCAGAACATACCGGAATACCTCAGACAGACTCGGCTCCAGGACTTGCTTAGCGTTCTTGGTGGGTAGTGCCTGGCTGTGAGAAGGCCAAACCTGACCTCCTGTAATATATTCTATGCTAATGCCGATGGAAAGCAGTGCAATCCAATATGGCTTCGTTTACTTCGCAACGCATGACAACACCAGAGGTTCTCTGTCAGATCTCGACGTTCCTTATTGCAGGTTATGAAACAACGGCTTCGGCGCTCACGTGGTGCCTTTATGCCTTGGCACATAATCCTATAGCGCAGCATCGCCTGCGCGCTGCACTCTGGACAATTCCAAGAGACTCTCCCACCCTCGATGAGGATGTTGCGAAACTCGAGCAGCTCGACTGGGTCGTACGTGAAGCTCTCAGGCTCCATGCACCTGTGACTTGGACTATGAGAGTAGCGATGGAGGTGGATAATGTGCCCGTTAATGACCCATTCACAGATCGGTGGGGTGCGGTGCGCAATAGCGTGAGGGTGAATCAAGGGGATATCATAACAGTCCCAATTCAGGCGATCAATAAGAGTAAAAAGATCTGGGGAGAGGACGCTCAGTCGTTTAGGTACGTGCTCTCGTGCGTTGTCTTGCCGTTGACCAGATCGAGGATCGTTGGGGACAGGCCGGATAGATGGCGGAATCCCCCGGAGAGTATCAAGAACGGGCTCTGGTCAAACATGTTAACCTTCCTGGGCGGCAGTCGTGGGTGTATCGGGTATCGGTTTGCCCTTGCAGAGTAAGCAGTTGCTCTTGTTTACCCTCCAACTTTCTTTGCGCATTGCCGTGAGCCCTGAGGCCTGGTGCTATTTTGATTCACAATAGGGCACACATTCCTTCTGCTCCTGGCTGTGTTTGTCTCCCTAGCTCCATTGAGCCACCGCACACCCTCTGCCTGCCTTGTAGTGCTTCTTCACCAATTTGTAATAGAAGGTGGGCATGTGTTGGTCAGGGAGGCAGTAAACGTGAGGGGTTGTGCTGCGTTCACACGATGTGCTACCTTTCCAGGGAGCGCCAGTTTCAGATCCCTTCGGACGCCGTTTGGTTATGTTCATTTGGATGCATGCCGTTTTTTTTTTTTAGTTTATGCAAGTGGTTGCACCAAAAAATTCTTTCTAGCGCAGGCGCGAGCACTACATCACACGGGGAGGACGCTTCCTATGTGATTTCCGCATGTCGCGTTGTGATCAATGATGTCCCTGGCAGTAATAGGACATGTGGACTCACTTCCTTTACTTCTGTGCGCTTCCGTCGTCTTCCCTTGACATGTCTTCGTCCTCAGTGTACTTTCCCCATTTGAGATGCCGTTGTGATGATTAGCAGCTCGCCTCCCCCCCCTCCTCCAATCCGATACTTACCCGAGTTTACTAGGATTAAAATTTTTCTGTATACTCTCGTGCGCAACCTCGAGTTTTCTGCCGACGAAGGGGTGGTTATCGAGAAGGTGTTCAAGTGAGTATGTAATTCTTTTGTTGTTCTAGCGCCACATTCCCTATCTTTTTAAGTGCTTCCCTTTTGATGTTCTCTGCATAACCCGTGTTCGGTACTTTTTCTTGCTCTGTTTCATCATGCGAGAAGCCGGACTTTTTTTCTTTTTGATTCCAATTCCGGATGCGTGCGGACAGGGGGCAGGCTCTGTGGGCGCTCTGCATCATGATATAACACTCAGCTAACAAGCACTTCGTCCTCCTCCCTTCTCCCCTCGCCTATCTTCACGTGATTCTAGCATTGTTGCAAGACCGATTGCCAAGCCAGCCAATCCAGGTACCACCACACCCGCCAACACTGGACCGACTACGACGTCCGCCTCACCTCCTAATATGATGCCTCTTCTTATCCGACCCGTTGGGGCGTTCAATGATACCGGAGATGCTGCGGATTTCCCGGATGGTAATCACGGAGAGATGCCGTTGTTCTAATACACCTATCGATTCCGTTCCCAGCCACCCATCGCTTCCAGTCCCATCGTACACGGCGACTTCGAACCGCCCCACCCCTGAACAGGGTCACTCGGCAGGGTCTACAAAAGGTAATCCATTTGGTTGGGCATCAAATTCCCAATCCATTTGAGCATTTTCTTCATCGTGGAAGCGGTGCAGAAAGCCAGTGGTAAGAACGACCGCACTTTGTGTATTCCCGACCACTACATCCGCAGATTGATTATCTTGTCTCAACCTTAAATTCATAAATAAATGTAGACTGTAATCTTGGAGAGCTTCTTTACATTCTTGAGTGGGGAAGCCATGAGCCTCCCTTACGAGTTCTCATTCTTAACGAGAAGTTACTCCTTGCGGACGTTCGTGGTCAGTATGATTTAGCAAGTCGCGTACCTGTGACACACTTAGGTCATTCATAATTGTTGCATGCGACAGCCTTCACGTAGCCTTAACCCTTAACCTCCAGGAATGTACTGTGAGGCACTTATACGGTTTAATAAGTGAGGATACCAATCTACCAAGATGGATAAGCCGTGCAGCTTAGGATTGCTAGGATTGGGGTCATGATTGCAAACTAAAACCAAAGCTTGGCGGTTTTGGAGATGCGCTAAACCCTACTAGACTCTCTGTGTATCCCGTACGCCGCCGGAAATGGTGAATGATGGGAGACTAAGGAACGTTGCGAGTGCAACTGCGGCCTGCATAGGGTGAAAAGAGCTCGTGTATAGTTCCAAAGAACGAGCACTCGCTTGTGGGAGAAAAGAACTCATGGCACAACCCAGCTGGGGCTGTGGGTGTCCACGCGGCACATGATGGGGATGTATAATCAAGAATTTTGCCACTTACAAAGACCCTGATGGTATGTGAAAACTGGGCCCCCAGTGGCGAGAATGTTGTTATTTATGTTGCGCAATCCAAGAACGGACCAAAAGGTAACGCCCGCATGAAGTAGGTAACGAAAGTGGGTTCACGGTACGCACAGTATATGTACGAATGGAAAAGGCAACCCGAGCAAGGAATGAGAAGCACCCTAAGCAAGCGACAGTAAGCGCAATGCCAATGTTTCTTGGTGGGCTGACTCTCCTCAGTCCGTTACACCGACGAAACTTACATTTCGACACCTGTTCATGTGCTCAAACCACTGCATAAGAAGTAATCCAGGCTCGAGCACTTGGTAAAATGGGAGCGACGCGACGCTCGTGGGTAGCTAGGAGCAAGATTGAACCGTGGACGCGTGGTGTGCTTTGTCATGCGGGCAAGTACTTCGTTCATGTGCAGTCTGCCCCTTTCTTTACCTAGGAAACCTGCCAGAAACGATTTTGAATACCTCCAGGTCCACTCCAGGGATGCAGAGAAGCCCACTAGACAATGGCAAACCTTAGGTTCTGAAGGCGCTGCCGCTATTAACACTTCGTTCTGGAGATCAAACACGGGACCGGACAGATGGCATGTTGGTACCTATTACCATACTGCTGGGGAACGTTCTGCCAAGGATCGTCACGCGACCGTGTCGTTGGACAGCCAGGAGAAGATAACTGTCTGGGAACCCTGGGTCATGAAAGTTCACAGACTTACCATGGTCGGTAAGTTGGATCCTTACAAGAGGGCCGCCAAGTGCGTCATAGCAGCGCCGCTGCCTCCATAAGTCCCGGCAACCTACGTCGCACTGTACGCATCAAGGCAGGGGAGGCACTACACCATATATGTGCTGTAGGTAGACAGCCATGTTGATGGGAGCCAGGTCGATGGAGATACGCAAGGGACTCAGGTAGCCATCGCAACAATACTGCAGCCGAAGTTACTACGGATCTACTTCGAAAAATATAAAAAGCACATACTGAAACGCAAATTTGAGACTCGGATGTGAACTTTGCGGGACAAGCACATGGCATAAAGCATATTTAGTCAACTTGTTAGAAGGTTGCCCGAGAATCGGATTGTGGTAAGAAGATATGCAAAAGCATAAGGTGTGCACGATCGTTCCAAGGCTTGCCGTTGAGCGGCAGTGGCTCCAGCCAATTTCCAAACGCTTGCTGGGGACAATTCAGCAGGGACAGGTTCAAGGTACGACGAATCTTGTGGCGCTGTTCCGCGGTCCGTAGCTACCCGGAGGGAACTAGTACTAAAATGTACATAATCCCCGCACGTGATGACGTTGACTTGAGAGGCTTATCACAGGTTGTTTCGACCGTCTGGAAAATAATGGACAGAAGCTATTCCAACTCACTTATTAACCTCTCATGCGGAGAATCATACAATGATTGTGTGTTTCCCTGGTGTTGTAGTTCGACACCTTACAAAAGAGGGAAATTTAGCAGCACAACGGGGATTGAAATATTCAAAAAAGTTAGCCGATCAAGTGTTATGTCGTGGGAACAATCGCAAAGGTGTGTTCTTAGACATATTTTTGTGTGCTAAGTCTAAATGTGGCTTCGGTTTTGTTCAAAACCAGACCGGTGGGCTGGGGTGAAGTTGGAGCCGCCAAGGCTATGAAAATTTCGGAACTACCTGCATGCTGGTCCATCGCCCGACTGCGTTCGGATGTCGCCAGCAATTTGGGGGCTATTTTCAACCTATTCTAGCTACGATCTTCGGCTCCCCACATCACTTTTCTGGACCGAACCTACCCCTGAATGTGAAATGAGGGTTTAGTAGCTATACAAACTCCTTGGCGCTGCACTTAGCAGACGGCGCCACATCAATATGTGCGCACCAGTGGGGGCTTCTAATACAAGACTAGTCGCAGTTTGTTATTTGCTGTAGATTCGATCAAACGTTCAGCAAGTCGAATAAGTATGTATTAGCCCCGAGTTGAGGAGCCGTAAGTACATAACTTGGAATGTTTCGCTCCAGGGACGCCATCACAACCACAGGAAAACACATAAGTGCCCGAGCTGGTTGACAGTCGGGACATTCATGATTGGCCCATCGGTCGATCGATCTGAAGGCCGGGCCAATCACACGGAGGCCTGCCATATATGGGAAGTGTCAAGTCACCGCGAAGAGTTTGTCAAACCGAGGTCATCCGAATCACCGAACGAAGCACGTGAGCCACACAACGCCAGCATCATCATGACATCGCACCATCGTGGCAACCTCACAGGCGCCCCCACAGAACATTCAACGGATCCATACAACAATACCGATGACTTCCGGTGCTGAAGGAGATGGCGCGCACAGAAACTTGAAACTGGGTCGCGAGTTCGATAAGTGGCGAGGCAGGTTCCACTGCTAAATCGTAGAACACGCTCCCGGCGTCTATAAGCAATTTTCCCACCACCTAACTTATAACCAACTCACAGGAGAATTTCAGGACCAAACAGCAACAGCTTCAGGGCTCCTCAGGGCCGCCCCGCATGTCGGAGTAATGGTGACTCCGCCACCAAGTATTCAGAAAAGGTTAAAGAGGATTGTCGTTGGCCGAATTAATCATCATCATATCAGGGGCCGCCAGACATTTTTTTTCTTGGGATCAGACAGCTTCATCAGAATCAGAAAATGCTGACCGAAGAACTTTCTAATACGCTCCATTGACGTTAGAATCCGACCCCCTGTGGTTTTGTCCAAGGGAAAGGTAAATCAGGTCCACATCCCTGTTCAATCCCATGGGCCGCCACTCCGAGGATCGATCACCAGTGGTATACAACGACACGGCAGACATGGATTATATAGCACTATTAACCTGGACAGCTGATCGCGATGCGGTCCGCACCCAGCCACCGGGAGATTATGGTGAGTTGAACATCTGGGCGGTCACAAATGGCGCATTATCAAGGAGTATGCCAAATGAGGCTGCTGTGAACCTAGGCACGAACTTTACACCGATACTCACAGTAAGTACGTATGCACTCGAGCGGGCAACTAAACCCACCATCGAAATTTGAGCAAAATGGTGGCCCAGCCCCTCAGCGAGAGGAACCGACAGATGCGGCAGTCGCAGCGTTGGCCGAGGTTCGCTCGCTGCTCCGTTTGCCGAAAAGCCCAAGAATAGGTAGTATCTGGCCGTTATCGGTGCCTTTATGGCTGAGACCGGCAACTTAACTCTGGGGGAGGAATGATTGGACCTATCAGGAGCTATTGGTAGGCTGCAAAATATGGCGTGGAGGAATGAAGTGATGGCGGTGAAGCTCATGTGAAGACGCTATACCAGGAGTTGGCAACCACTGGGCGGACCGCGATCGATCGGGGAGCTCGCGATCTAAGAATATTATCAAAATCGACCGTAAAAAAGGTGACCAAAGTCTGGCGAACACGATCGAATAAGGGCCACCATCGTCGCTCAGGCTGACTTTTTTTCTGATCAAGGGCGTTGAACCAAGCTTTAGTTGTGGCTGCTGCCAAGAAGGGGGGAGGGAGGGGTAATAACAAAGTGGCAAAGGAGAGCCCGAGAAACGTGCTTAGTAGCTCCGATCACTAGCACTCGCCTGCAACGATTCATTGCCAATAGTAACAGCCATCCCAGTCTGCCCAGAGGCGCTGCTCCGCGGTCCCCCCATTTTCGGAAATGAGGGCGGATTGAAATGCGGCAGTCTGTCGTGTACCGATCATGGCTGCGCCCCCTGCGCTATGCAGGTATATGCCCCATGGCTGTCGTCGTCGAGGTCCATACAGCTGTGATGCGGTTCCCTCTCGACTGAGCCAACATTAGTGATATATGGCTTAGATATTAATCAAGTAGGTCCTTAGGCGCTCGGCGCCCACTACAGCATGTAGCATCGTCGGCACCCTGATTTAGTGTCGTTACTGTTCACTTTCACGCGAAGGAAATTGATCACCATCGGTCCATCGGGAGTGAAGAAAAGTATTCGGTATTAGTTGTACACAAATCCAAACGAGGTGTGTTAGAAGGAATGAACGAAGAGGGGTCGAGCTAATAAAAAAGTATAATAACTAACATCGTAATAGACTACACTGTGGGTCAGATTTCTTTTGTTTTTGTCGCGCATTGCCCCTCGTGTCGAGTGTGGACCAAGGCCGGCAGATTACATTCATCTCCGCACGGTCCCGTTCGCGTGCCAGATACAGACAACACCCTGAGCCCTAGTGCCCATCGTAGTAAAAGTCCGATTCCAGCCGTGGCTGCACACAAGTCACGGGAGCGTCTTCAATTCGCCCCCCACCCCCACGGCCGCGGGCATGGGGCAATCGGGTAAAGACGGCCGCCACGTAAACATCGATAAGGTTCGAGCGACAAGGGGAAGAAACAAACTCAAGCACGAGGACTTAACCACGCCCCGCCTCTGCCATTTCGGCTGGCTAAAGTCAGACAATGACCTTTACGTCTCGCCGTAGTAACCATGTGCGTGATCCCCAGGTGCCAACCGGCTATCGGAACCATGTGACGCGCTCTGGAGGTAGCCTGGTGGGATGAGGGGTGGATGCTGCGCAGCATGATGCGACGCATGTGAGGGATGGTGTAGTGGTGGCAGCGCATGTGAATGAGACGGTGAATATAGTGATGACCCATGATGGTTTCCGCCGCCACCTGTACCATTCAGTGCGTGCGAGTTGAATGGGTGGTTACTGGGGGAGAGTGATGCGGGTGAAGACATGGGCACCCCAGATGGAATGTAGTGACCGCCGCCGCCGCCCCCTTGGCCGGAATGATGGCTGTGCCCACCGCCTCCAGCATACCCCATTGCAAGCCTCGGCCCAGTCGTGCCGAAATCCTGTCCGCCCCCTAGTACCCCGGGACTTCCTCCGCTGTACTGGTGCGAGGAACGTCCCGGCATAGCCCCAAGGAGATGGCGACTCGATCCCACGTAATCTGGCGCGTTGAGTGAAGGTCCACCTACGCCCCCGCCGATGGCCTGCAAAGACATCGGATGGTATAGTTGGAGGCTGTCTGCTGGCATAGAGGCCCTCCTGGCGAGCGGCTCTAGCGCCGAGCTAGGAGGTACCGTCCGTCCTTGGGGCGGGTAGGGTGCAGAAGTTGTCGGACCTTGCGCGGCTTTGTGCGCAGGGGCAAGGATACGACGCCGAGCCTGTGTAGATTGGATCAGATCCTGCGGGCTGGTGTCAGGCAAGGACGAGACGACGCACATTAATCATCCAATTCGAGACTTGGCTCATACTAAGACCCGTGGCATGACAAAGCTGTTTCTTCTCTTCCTCGCTTGGATACGGATGGTCTGAATGACGATGCAACCAGGCTTTCAGATAGTCAGTTGTCTCTTTGGGCAATTTGCCTCGCTTCCTCGTGGGTCGGTCGACGAGTGTCGAGGGAGCGGGGGCTTGCTGGGGAGAACGTGTTGGCGACGAGGTCGACGGTTGGGTGGATGTGGCATTCCCTGCGGCAGGAGGCTGCTGAGTGTTGGAAAGTGAGCTAGACGTAGTATTGTAAGGATTGGGGGGCAATACGAAATCTTGATGGTTAGGGAAAGACCACTCGTCTGACTTGGGCGCAGATGATGTGAGGTATGCTCTACGGTCTTGCTGACCAGCTAGGCGGTCGGTATTAGGATACATTTGAGGCTGCCCACTTGAAGGTCGAGTGGCGCATGGTATCGTGGCCACTCATAGGTTGCTGGCCCGGAGTAGAGTTAGGACGTGAGATACCGTGCGGGGAGTTGGCCCAACCGTCGCCTTCGATGTAAGAGACGGGGCGGAGATCTGAGGTGAGTGGGGAGCCAAAGGCAGACGGGGGGATTTGGGAGCTGGATGCGGTGGAGCTGGAGAGGGAGGTGGGGGGGTATGGGGACGTCTCACCAGTAAGCGGTGTTGAGATGAGTGTCGAGTCTGGGACGGACGGACGACTTATCGCTAGCGGCGTCCTGGGTATCCAATGGGGACGGGAAGTGATAGGACCCTAGATTAGATTGATTAATAGGTATGTGGGGTCTACGAGCGCTAGGGAGGGGATATGGAGAATGTCTGTAGCGGGTATTTGTAGACGAGTCTGCGGAAAGGCTTGGCAGGGAAGCACGACGAATTTCACTTCGAAAGGGGTCCTGGAATGTGGTGAAAATAGAAGGCAGCTGAACCTTGTTAGTATCGAGGGTGGGGTCTGAATCGGATTTATCGTCTGGCTGCGTTCCAGAAGCAGCGAAGCTCCATGAGTGTTGTTCCGAGGAGATGACAGCAGCGGATGGCTGTGGGGAGGATGAGGGAGAGGGGCCCTTGTCGGGACGGGAGGCAATGCTAGATTCTGTGTCTGGCACGGAGGCTGTGGAGGCAGACATTCGTCGTTGGAGATGGTCAAGGTCTGTATCAGAGGGACTGTGGAAAAGAACGTGGAAGCGGAAGGGGAAAAAAACAGAGGACAAGAAATTATTAACGACGTGACGGACTTGCTAAGGCACGGAAGACCCACACGATGGCCGGAGAGGCGCAATTTGACAAATCGTCTGCAATGGCTGGGGAGTTGTTCGGACTTTGGATCGATGCTGGGTGGGAGAGGACGGAGGTGAGTAGACCGGTTTACGGGAGAAGAGAGAGGGATGATAATATGAGATTTGAACGGATGATGGAGGAAAGACATAAAGGAATGAAGAAGTGACATGAACTGAGATCTTGACACGACATGACAGCGGCTTATGAAATCAGATCTGGCACGATTGGAGGCGCGGTACGTACTACGGGTGGGGGGAGGAAAGGATATGGACTCACAGTGAGAGTTGGAACTGGGCGACGTCGTAGGGATGGATGGGCAGTGTGGAAGTGCCTTGCTCGATCATTTGAGCGGGGTGGGAGGTTATTGGAATAGTAGTACTGGGAGGGGAAGACAGAGCAGATGCAGGTGCAGGATGAGAGGCCAGGGAGGGCGAAGAGGGAACTAGCGTGATTCCGATGGGGGACTTTTATGCGCACACTGACTGGCAGGCCGAGAGTCCTTTAGTGCAAGGCACGCATGGATGCCATCCGACAATTATGATGTCCTGGGAAGCTTTAACGTTTATGGCCGGACATATCATGTCTCTCAGATATGATCATACCATCGCCTGTGGCAAACCCAGGGATTCCCGGTCGCGAACAAGGCACTCCCCCCTCCCGAATCACCGAAAATCGCAAATATTATTATTGCAATTATCATATTTAGCAGCATCGGAGTATACAAATATTTATATTTCACAATATTTTATCACCCCATCGTCCAATCAGATCTCTCGCCTTCCGGTTCGGTCCCGTTCCGTCATGCGAGGCACGACAACAATCACGCCGAGGCCGACAACGACCCACGAAAAAAAACATTATTCTTTTACATTCCACCTTCCCTGTCAGTGCTTTCCCTTTGACTTTTTTCGAAATCACCATTCCGGACCCGTGGTAACAGCATATTTCCCAGCATCCTCGTCCCCACCGTCGCAACCGCACGGCTGCTGTTGTGCATCATTCGCAAGGTACGCTCCTTGACGAAATCCCTCCCTCGAATTGGGCATATTGCTCCACATACGCGCACAGGGCCCTCGAGGTCATCATATTAGATGTATATGGGTTTCACATTCTCCCTTTGGTACACTAGCATTGCACTTGCCTTCTTCATACCAATTCAGGCACACTAGTCGAACCGACCTTTGCTCCTTCACAGCCCCCAAACGGCGTCCTCACCATTCCTCAATACCTTGGACCCTCCAGTTTACTAGTCTTCACGGTCACCCCATTATAATTATCACATGAATAATCACAATACCCTGGGATGGGTATGTGTATACTGCACCGAACGACGCGCCGAAGATCACGAGATCCAGATTGCCCTGAACCAAACACATTCCGATGCCGAATTCCCTTCCGTTGCTTCTTGCGGGATCGTTCCAATTCGCCATCAAATTTCGTACGTAATCATACAAGCCTTTCCCACGGCCACTTCCATTAGAAAACAACGCCCTAATACATAGCAAAAACCCGTCGACAGATCCCTTCTAGTACAAGTCTGAGTCTGTAGATCAAAGCTAGCTTGCAAATATCACATCTCCCAAAAGGCTGTCGTCATGCAACCTATGATGCCGAGATATCGTTAGGACCCTTCGGCACCCGCACTATTCCCTGCTGACCCTGACTTGCCCTTCAGACCTTTGATCGTCTTCTGCTGCTTGCTCAGAATGCCCTGTAGTAGATGATTAGCCTTTGTCCGCTCCTTCTCCGTCGCCTCCACCCCGTCTAACATCCGCACTCGAGAACAGGCCCGCATCACAAGTCCCCTGTAGGCCAGTCGCCCAACGTAGACATCATCCGGTAGGTCCCGACGGAACTTGGCATCTAGTTCCTGCCACCCGTATCCACGGTCCCCTCGCCAGCCTCCTTGCCGTTGCAATCCACCCTGCCCTTGTTCATGCCCCCCATTCTCGGACGGTTGGAGCGCGTCAGGCACGTCCCGCACCAAAAGGGGCAAGTACCACCCAAGTGTACAGGGGTTCATCCTGAATGAGATCCAAATATGGTCAGCAGCAAGTTCATTCCCCGAAATTTTTCCCTATACAAGGACAAGAACAAAGTTTTGTGACTGGATCCATCCGTGATGAAAATTCCCGCAATTGCTATGAAAAAGGCAGGCCGGAACGTGTCCCCTTGCCCCTTTCCTCTCTCATCTGTATGCCGCATCTCGATATGATACGGTTGATGAAACCCAAAAATCGGCACACTACGGAAGAAGGCGTGATGGAACCATCAGGAAGCACTCACCTCACATCTAGCATTTCCAGTTCGGGCATCCGTTGAAGGACACGGATCAGCGGTTTAGTTCCCTTTAAGCGGGATCCTATCATGGTTAGCTTGTTCATTCTCGTCAGGCCTTCTAGCGCAGCCACGTCCTCCAAGAAATTGTAATTGAGGTTCAACACTCGCAAGTTGGGCACCAGCTGTCCCAACTGGCGTGGCAGTCCCGTTAGCCTGCACGCAGCCACCTCGAGATATATGAGATTGTAGCACGGCTCGTCGATGAAATCACTCTTCAGCTTGTTGCCTAGTGAACAAGGACCCAGCGTCAGTTTCCCACCACCGCCTTCATACCCAAACTCCGGCTTGGAAACCAAACCTACCAGAGAGATACAGCCTCTTTACGTCCCGAAACTGCCGAGTGGGGAGATGACTGCAGATCGTCGTCATTATCATGGCATATCAAAATCCACACACCCACAATTCGCCATCAAAAAAGGAGGGTTCAGGTACGCATGATGAAAGATCCCGTCAGCATTCACGTTACCCTCTCCCAAATGCCGACAGGATAAAGCGCTTATGTCGGATCGGAAACAGGAAAACAAACTTACAAGTCACGACAGCTCTGGTTTCGCATGCTAAGGTTCTCCAGCTTTCCCAAGCGTTCCCCCTTTACGAGACCTTGAAGGGAGTTATTGTCCACATATAGTGTGCGTAGATTTCCGAGTGGTGCTACGTTCAACGTTTGCAGTCGATTATTGCTCGCCCGTAAAATGCGCAGTCTTGGCATCGTCCCTCCGGGCTCGATTTGTTCCAGTGCATTCCCGTCTATGTAGTCAGCACGTAAGATGGGGGGGAGTAGCGCCAAACGCCAACAAAAGAACCGTCATCGCCATCATTTCAGGAACATTCCTCGTGACCAACACGCACCGACGTTCAAGGCAATTAGTGCAGGCAGGCTCGCAGCCAATCCGGATATCTTGGTCAGTCGGTTCTGACTCAGGTTGAGCATCTCCAATCTGGGCCTGTGCACAGGGATGATAACACGGTTTGAACCCGATCAGAAACGATGGGAAATCGGAGCAGATAAATGGATTTGGAGTCTGATGGAAGGACCTTACCAGCGGTACAAACTCAGGTCAATTTCTTGAATGAGGTTGTCCTGAACGCTCAGCTTCGTCAGCCCATCTAATTTCTGGAGGCCTTCGAGGCCGGTGATTTTGTTGCCATCTGCTCGCAGCTCTCTGAGGTGGCGGAGACACTGCAATTCTTTTTTGTTTCAAACAAACAGCCTAAAATCAGTTACGCCGCACTCTTCAATTCATTCCCACTTACGTGTCAACGAGTCGATTTCATTATGGCTGATATCCAAGTTCTCGAGATTCAGTAAGTGACTGAAAGAGGTGATGGCTGTCAAACTCCGGGTGCCATGAGTTCGGGAATATTAGCGATGGCGCCGCCTGAAACACCTACAGATTCGATGCGACAGAAAGTGTCCGCACGGACCCGGGTATGCCACTCAACCACGACAGCCGATTCGCATTCCTGTCAACCATGCGATAAGAGAGGCAATGGTCAGATTCCCCCACGTGTCTGTTCGTGACCAACACCTACAGTATCAGTGAGTCGAGCTTGGGCATAAATTCTTTCAACCTCGCTACGCTCTCTAGAGACTTCTGGGAGAGATCGATGCAGTTCAACTCCTCCCAATACGGCTCAAAGGGCTGCACGTCCGTGATCACCTGGACAAGTTTATCGTGCGCAAGACCAAAAGAACATTCGGTTAAGAAGGTCGCATTCATACGAGTATCCTGCTCAGTGAAGTTACTCTTCTGAGACATCGAAAACAACCGTCTGGTTGCGCCACTCGAGTTCACCACGGCCATCTGACTGCTCGGTCGACGATTACCCAGCGGCAGTAGCTGATGATCGGACGGCCTGCTGGACGTCGAGGACCTCGTAGGGGACCCAGGGCTGTCCTCTGTTCTTCGGTAGGTATCATGTCAACTTCGCTAAGGGAAACAATGGCTTACCTGTAATTTCGAGCTTATGCATCATTTCCGCCAGTCGTTTCGACCTAGCAGAAAGCGAGCAGCCAGATGAAGATTCACTAGGATCAAGTGAAGTCGTTGTGGATGTCATGACACTTGTCCCAACATCGTCGTCGCTCTCGTGTGGCTTCGTCCTGAGACCTCTGATGGGTCCATCTCGTTTCCCGTCTGAGAAGCTTACGGATCGTCGGTGTCCGATCTTCTGCGCTGGCGTACGGAACCTATCGCGGTTCGGGTCTTTCATGACAGATACGGGGGTAACGCTCGTACTCTTCAGCGCCGATCGGGGAGCCATGGGCGTTGTCAACGCGGACGACTTACGAACGGTTACGACAGGGGTGGTTTCGGACATTCGCATTAAATCTCTCTGTTGGCAATGGCTTGAGGTTTGCAATAGGCGAATCATGCGATAAGTCAGCATCCGACTCAAACACTGGTTGCCCAACCTGATCCTCTGCATCTGCCACTTCCTCATCCCGGGAGTCTGAGTCCGAGTCAGATATCTCGTCTTCCACTTCGTCTTCCTCTGAAGTTGCCATACGAATCGCAGCAACTGATGGTCCATCAAAAGTGAACGAAGTGAGATCAACTTCCTCCTGATCATTAGTATATCCTTCCCCCACCTCTTCTAATCCACTGATGTCGACTCCTCCCACCTGGTCCTCGTCCTGTTCGTTTTCGTTCTCGTCCTCTTGCTCCTCGACTCCTCCTCGCTCGTGATACGACCCTCCAGAGTCGTCTTCTCGCAGACTCTCAATATCTCGGAAAGGATCCTCACTCTCAGCATCTGTACCAACCGTCTGGTCCCTATGGTCATCTGCCTCGGACACGGCACGAGTGGAAGACTTTCTCCACCTCATTTGCTCCTTATCATACACCATTTTGCCGATTCTTTCCGGTAAAGACGGCACGTCCAGTGGTGTGATGTGCGTGATGTGAACGGGGCCAGCATGCTTGACAAATGACCGTGCACTACTCGCCGTGACCATTGTTCCAGATGCAGTGCTTGTAGACACGAATCGGTTTAAGTCCTCGTTGTTCCCCGAGTGAGCGGTAGAGGAAGGGTAGGAACGGTGGTGCTGATTTTGGGGTGGTGCTAGGTGGACGGTGGCTATTGTCGACGACGTCACCCGGATATCCGGGATGTTGTGCACGGCATTAGACGTAGCTTCTCCTTTGTGTGCGGCAGAAGTGCAGGACTCTGCTTGCCACGGTGCTTCGATCGACATGTTAGACATCTCGTGGACAAAACTTCGATCCTGTTCCGCCGACTCAACACGCCCGGGCCTCCGTGGGCTGTGCCTGGAGGACGCAGATGGTCGGCGAGGTGACCCAATTCTGGGTGACTTCCTTCGGCTGCGGTTGTCTTTGTCACGCGTGGTCGCCGACCAAGCACTATGGTGGGATTCATCCGCCATAGACTCTAGAGCGTCCTCCGTGTGCGTATAACGAGAGACCTCTGTATCCCCGGAGAACAACCTCTTTGAACCCTTCATATCATTCTTAATTTGTTGCATGAACGCCTCCGCCTGCTGTCGGATTGCGAGAGACGATTGGGCACTGCGCACAGTTGTCGATGGCGATGAACCTGCTATACGTCCGTCGTCCACGATTGTTGGTGGTGCCAACAACTCTCTAATATCTGCCTTGTCTGACAGGGAGTTGGATTCATATACAAAATTGTAGAAGGGACTCACTGTTAGAGGTTAAAGGAGACGTTCTTGTAGATGTTGTTTGAGGTTTCTGGGATGGCTGACTCGCTGGCGACTGGGCAGTGACAGTTGTCGACATGGTGGAGAAATCTCTAGCTTGTCTAATTTGTTGCATAAGCGATCGCGACTCGCCAACGTAATCGATTCTGGTAACTTGTGGCCTTGCAATGGTGGCACCTTCCCCAGCACCCTCACCATAGGTCTCTGACGGAGAACTCAGCCGTACACGTTTGATGCTCCGCAAAGGAGTGTCGTCGGAAGGAGTTTGCGTATTTTTGAAGATGGCGTGCTGGACGATGCTCGAGGGAGAACCATTTCCATCAGAGTTTCCACCGGAGGGCGTATTCACGGCTATGGAATCTACCATAGCAGATAGGTGCTCGCGAGTGAACGTGTCATACTGCAGTTGAAACAGGCGCAATCTCGGATCGGTTGCAGGTGGATTTGCTATGCTCCTCGGGTGACCAGGTGTGCTTTGTGCTTGGGGGTACACGGGGCTGCGGTGAGGAGCGGAGAAGGTGAACTGGTATTCGGTGCTTGACTTGTTTGCAGCGAGTTTAGGTGAAGGTGGCAAAAGGAGATTCGGATATGGCGTCGGCTTGAGGATGTCTGACTCAGGAGGGGGATTGTCCGATACGGCGGTTTCGACCTCTGATTGACTGTCATCAGGAGTGAATGCTTGTGACAGACGCGATGGAACGGCGGGAGCAGCACTGAGCGCAAGTGCCGCCGGTCTGGGCGGAGGTGGCGAAGGTGGCTCGAACATCTTCTCCAACGGGAGGGGGGAGAAAATGTCTTTGATGCCGCCGCCCTTCTTGTTTTGTCGACCTGGGGTCTTGGGGAGGAGGTTCGTAGCTGGCACATCATCTCTGATCAAGAATGTGCCTCCTACCACCGGACTCGAATCTGAATCGTCCTTGTCCGAGCCCGGGGTGTGTAGGAAACCTGGCAAAGGAGCGGTGAGTGAAATAGATTGTATGCCAAACGACGCATCGTCTTCTTCTACCCATTCTTCCTCGAGATCGTCCGTCTGCCATGCTGGACGTGCTTTTTCGGACAGGTCCTCCATGCCTTCCCGACGTAAAGTATTGACTAGAAATCCACGTTGCCCGTTAACGAGTCCGTCAGCTTAGTACTCTAATAATTTGGTTCAATTCACGCCACGGGCAATGTGCCAGGCGTCGACGCACGTGATCGCGTAGGTTGTGGGCGCCTATTTATTCTTGTTTGGTCCTACAGTCGTATTTGGCAATCCTGGGTTTGGATTCGTAAGGCTGCGCGGGTTGCACATCATGCATCAAGCCCAGCACCCTGCCGGCTGATTTCCAGTCACGTCCCCTGTTACGAGGCTAGTGACTTGCTGGCGTATCTTTCGAAGGGCCAGGCGAACCTCAACTGAATCTCTCCCGCGGCGTGGCGACGAAGCACGGTAATTATATATAGACATACATAGCTTAATGCTCGTTCTCATAAGCGCACGGGCAGTGCAATAACTCATCTGAAACGGTTAAATTGTGCACAAGATAACGGTGCACGAAAACAACGCCCTCTTTTTGAAACATTGATCAAGTGGAGGTATTAATGCGGCGGCAAGCTCAGTACTGCAGAGTTGCCGAAAATCTCAACCTGGCATACATCACCGACCAGTTTCCTGCTTCGTCCCTCATATCCACCGAGCACATCTGGGTAACCTCGTCCATAATCTCCGCGGCATCCTCATCACTTAGAGTCTTCAAAAAAGTCCTGCGAACGAAAAGTTCTAGCCAGTCGCGTAGTCCGCCACCATTGAGCGATGTTATCCTTGGAACCAAGGCTATGCTGTCCACTCGAAAACCTCCATCTTCCAGGAGCTAGTAATAGACGGTTATGATGAGGTTGCTGCGTGCAATTGCACCGACAAACCTTGCGGTATTCCTTCACTGAGGGGAAATACCAAGGATCGATCTTCTCGGGCTCAAATCCGCGTTTTCTTAATGCATGATGCAAGGAGAGGCGCACCCCTGGAATTGCTTGAGTTACCTTCGTGAGACAGGATGTCGAGACCCACCAATACAGTTGAGGAACCCCCCCATCTCGCAGATGAATCTGCCTCCATCTTTCAACACGCATTTGATGCCATTCAGTACTCCAGAAGGATTTTCCTTGCACCAATGCAGAGCCGCGTTGCTAAATGCCGCATTAAACGACTTTTCCTCGATCACGTCCGTAGGCACGCGAAGATCCTGGATATCACACAGCACCAGGTTCCTCACCCCACTTCCGGACGCTTTTGCCAACTAGAGGTCGCGTTACACCGATAATCAGCATTTGCAAGTGAGACCGACAAACCATGTCCTCATTGCAGTCTACACCGACTACGAAACCCTTGGTACCGACGGCGTCTTGGATTTTGACCGTCAGCTCACCGCTTCCGCAACCAAGGTCGATAATACGGTCGCCCTCGCTGGGGTTAAGACACCTGAGTATCGGCGACGTGAATTCTTCCGAGTAGACAAATGACGCTGTTTTGTTGTAGTCACTCGCTCTATAATCTTCCCTACTAGCTTGGATAGTGGCCTGCATAGATGGTTCAGTTGTGCAGTTATGGGGAATGCGGTTGAATTGTGAGATATGCAACAAAATCTTGGACCTTAAATGCGGACGACTAACTCGTAGTCCCATCAGGCGCGAGAAGGTCGTCGGCCCAAGTAGTCCTCGGCCGGACGCTCTCCACCTCAGTGGAACTTTTTGCATCTTGATGAAGGCGTTGCAGTGGGATATCACCATGGTATATGGTGATAGGGGGAGTTTGTTGTGAATCGGCCGAAGTGGATAACCCGGCCGAAGACGCCTCCCAAGAGCACCATAATCCACCGGTAAGGACTCAACCACCTGGAAGCCTACAGGCGAGTTCGGCAGCTGTCAGGTTTTGGCGAGTGCTCGCTCCACGTCTTCAGGCTCAAGGGAGTTCTTCTTTCAGCGCTTTGAGGTGACCCACTAACACCCATCTATTGAGTGACAGCCAGCATGGAATTGAAAGCGAAGGGGGTAGGTCAGTGAGCGGTCCATAAAGCTTGACGCGTGTTAGACTTATAAGGGACCGTTTGATTGGCAGGACGGGTGGTGTCGTCGTAAATTCTGTGCACGCTGCAAATGTTTATCTTGGAGTAAGCAAGGGATCGTCTTAATGTAGCTCGTTCGTGCGATTGTGATGAACGTCAACCAGAACGACATGGCATCATGATTCACCTGTCACAGCGAAGTATGTGCTCAGGCTATATTCATCTTGCTTCCTGTCAGAGGAAGGGAAGATCTCTCTGCCAGGTTTTCGTAGCCACATGAGCTGGCTGCTGTGACCCTTTCATCACTTCGTTGCAGATGCCTGTCATAACCCTGACGTAGCGTCGCTCCAGATGACTTGTAGGCCTTTTGGAGGTAATTTCGTTGGATTTCAGCACCGTGCAGTGAAGCACGCCGTTGTACCATGGGATGTTTTGCTCCCCTCATATTACCATGATGGCGGGGTCGACGGGATCGCTGGAGTTTCACTCGGATTGACAAATAGAATTCGAGTCGAAGCTGGACATTACCATTCCTCTTGACTCTGCTGGGACCGGCTCTTGTTCGCGGCGAACGCCGGTCACGCACACGTACTGCATTCGTCGAACAAAGAAATCACTTTTAGGATTTGCATGTTAGTGGACGCTGCTTTGGCTCACACGACTAATATATCCCGGCTCCCATCTTGTGATAATCGCTGAGCTCCTGCCGCTGTGCATGTTGGTCCCTGTAACGAGTGGCATGACGTCATGGGAGTGGATGATATGGGACACCAGCATATCGCCGCTCCCAGAAGTGCAACCTTGTTGGGGATAAAGTTATTCCACTTATAGACTTGGTCATTCATGATCATATGAAGAGGGGGCCTGAAACTGGACTTTAAGGTTGGGGGGAGTTATCAGTCGACGTTGTCACGGTGACAATATCATTCATTCACTCCGATTTGGGCTTGCGGACACAAAATGACTTGGCGGACGTACCTAAGTCTACAAATCCGTGCCGCACTTGATGAATCAGGGACAGGGACAGCAGACTGCTGCGCTGGTGATACTTTAGCAATTTCTAGGGAGCTTATTTTCTTCATTCAATTCACGAGCCTTACTATATTGTACAGTACCCGATACCGTAATGTATACTTGCTATTGTCAATCAATCACACCACGGTAGGTGCGGCCTGGGTGGTCGGTTCGGCTTGTGCGTCCGAACCCCCCGCAGAAGGCGCAGTGGAAGAGGTTTCCTGGCGCTGTGACTTGCGCTGACCGACAATGCGACGGGCCTCCTCATGGATGTCAAAGACCTGCTTAGAAGTGTTCGTGTAGAAGGAAAGAACCTTCTGCCCAACAGGTGAGGCAAGTGCTTTCGAATAGTACTGCCGCAAAAACAAACGGATGAGAGTAGATCTGATCACAACTACACAGGTGCTTACTTCGTGCGCGGCTTTGGATAACCCTTTCTGCTCGTCGATGCTCATGGCGCGGTCGCGGGCTTGGTAGTAGGTAGACTGAACCTTGCCAGATATGGTTTGTTCAGGACCCAGTGCACGCTGGCCGATTGAAGTATCCAATCCATTGAAGTAAGAAAGGAATTTCTTTGAGATCCCTTGCTTATCTACGGAAATCAGCATTTTCTGTGTGCGCGTATGCTGCAGAGACTCACTATCAATTTCAATGGCCCGCTGGAGAATATGATCAGAGAGCTGATATCCTTTGGCTAAATACTCCGCTGCAACTACAGGCGGCTAAGTGCGAGGCATTGACTCAAATCAGAATATAGACATACTCCCAGCCCTGGGCTTATCAGATTGCTCGATGTGACGAACGGGACTTGGGTGTTCCTGTGGTTCAGCTTGTTCCGCGTGCTCTGCGTCAGAGGTGACATGCAGGGTGGCACCGTTCAAGGTACCACCGTCAAGCTAAGTGGCATAGATTAAAAAGCGAGTATAGTCTTGTGAAACGGCCTAGACGCACCATAAGTGCCGTCTTCGCAGCCGAAGGGCGTTCGAACGTGACAACAGCAGACTTTTGTTGGTCCTCCTTTAGCTCGATATTCGTAATCCTGAAGGGCGTGAGACTACAAACACACAGTACATTGTTGCATACTTACTTCCCACAGAAGCTGGACAAAGTTAAATAACCGGGGCAGTCTCAGGAAAGCTCGATGATCGCTCACCTGAAGAAGTCACGGAGCATAAGCTCCGAGGTGTCCTTGCCAATTCCCGATACCTGCAAAGGAGTAGATGAACATTCTGTAATATGGCAGTCATCATACTGAAGATACCTTGACTTCAGACATGATGGATGTCGTCCGATAGTATGATAGCAATCTACTCCTTGGACTGAACTGGATGTGTACATGTCACTGCATGACATCATGGAAACGGGGCGTGAGCAAAATGTGCCATTATTGGGTCACCGTGCCTATCGTCATGATGGTCAAACCGGGCTGCGGCAGTGAACAACTTTTTGTCAGCCTGTCAACTCAGTACTGGATCTTGCTAGTTATCCTGTGTTCCAGCTCATGGTTGCGAAAACACCGGGCAGCAATAGTTTCGACCATTAACGGATTAACCTGTTCAGCATGTCAAGTTTGCCCGGTCCCGAGCCACGGCCTCTTCCAAATCCCAGCCGTAAAAGCGTACGGGGACTTCCAGCCATCCCGACACAGAAACAGTTGGAAGCAAAGGATCGCCTCATTGACTTCTGGATACCCCAGGTTACCCAGGAGGGACAGGTTCGCTCATTCCCTTTGCAGTCTTCGGAGGGGTCGACAGCCATTTGCAACCCAGATATATTACGCAAATACTCTCACAGGACAGTATTCGCGCGATCTCCCCAAGGAACCCGATGAAGACGTCGAGGATTCTGCTGTCGTAGGCTTAACTACCTCTCAATCCACTACGCGCTCTGGCACTGGCGCTGAGCTCGGTTTTGTTCCAAAATCCTCGACTACAGTTGCTCCCAGCATGATTACCTCCCGCGGTCCCTCTCCAGAAGTGGTGCACATCAAGGGTCAAGTGTCATCGTCAACCCCCTCCTTTCCTGGTCCTCAAGACACGACTATTGCGGTCACAGCAGCTCTTCCGATGGCAGATTCGATCACCCCTCCAGTACGCACCAGTACAACCGAAACTACCACGTTTCATAATGGTCTTTCCAATCGTGTGCCTGGAGTCCTCTTTAACACTTGGACTGCACAATTAAGACAGCGGAGCTATAGTAGCTCTCATTTACTCGCCCAGCCTGAGCGCTCACGGAATGAGGATAGGGTTTCTCCACCGTCGTTTTCAGGCCGAGATATCTCACACATGTTTACTCCACCTCGTAATGGCTTGCGACTAAAAGAGTCCACCATTGGAGATGAGTCGGAATGTCCGCCCCTACCTCCACTGCAAACCGTGTCTCCAGACTCCGTTGCGCAACATCCTGCATCTCCCGACTCTCCGGAGTTAGTGCCCGAACTACTCCAATGTGCATGTCGTCGCATCAACACCATCATAGCGCATCTACAACAATTTGGAATCCCTCAACTACATGATGACCAAGAGATCGTCGACAACCTCATAGAGGCGGCCGTCACGTCAATACGAGAGCTTCTTTATGTAGCTGGCCCACCACTTCGTCGTCTCGGCGTTCGAAAGGGTATCCAAGGTGATGCTAGCCACGCCGCGCAAACGCACTTGGTCTCTGCACAGCGACGGACCATCGCTACTCTCTCCAAGTTCACATTATCGGCCAGAGCAGCTTTGAACGTTGAACCCCAGAACGGAGGGGACTTCATTTCAAACCTTGGTTTGGACGCTAGAGAACTGGAGCGATCTATGGTCGATTTCGTATCTACGGCGCAGAGCGTTTTCCATCAATTTCACGGTGACAGGGGCCAAAAGCGCTTGCACGGGTATTTGGACCTGCTTCGTACAAGCTTGGGAAAGGAGGGAGCTGGGGCTGCAGGCTCATGGAAAGGTTTTGGATGGGTTAGCATCGACGATAATGAAGAAGCGCCCACGCGAAGTTTGGATAGGGTGACCTTCAACGAATTTGGGGCTCACGCGTCACGCGTCCACGAGAAATTGAAGAGCTTTTCAGAAACCTTACAGGCGAATTGTCGAGGTATGTGCCTGTTCTATCCAGGTTGCCTTCACAATTCCTCGAATGCAGAACTCCTTAACAGCAGAGATGGTTGCCGAGGCCGGAAAAGCCGCCGTTTACGAACTATCGTCTCTGTTGATCTTCTTGGGTGATATCCATATTGCTCGCCATGTCGACATTGAGCTCGTTGGTCAAGGCAAGTTGGCCGACGGAGCTGAATATTCTCCGTACGGTCAGTAGAGCACGTACTCTCGTTCGTGCTTTCGAAGCTTCTTGCCAGGCGCTGTATGATGATTCTGCCGCTCTCCTTATAACGACACAATGTGTCCGGCAAGTGGAGTTATGCGAGTCATGGCGTGGTCGCGACGAATCCCATGACGCGCTTGAAGCCCTGAGCGCCTCCGTGGGCCTCATCCTTCAACTAATGCGGCAGCATCTGGAGAGTCTTCTTCTTGTTGGAGAGGAGCAAGCAAGCATTCTTGAGCGCTGTCACAGGAGTCCTATGGAGTGGCGGATGTCCCAAAGAAGTCTTGTTGCTGCAATTTTCGCGGATCAGGCACTGAACAGAGTGCCGGATGATCAACGCCAGCTTCCGTATCAGATGACACTCGCCTCTGGAAACATCCTGGGTGCTGATGCGGATCTGTTAGAACGGGGAGAGCGGTCGCCTACGCCGCCCCCCGTGCCCAGTGGGAAGCCTATCCTTACATTGCATGAGCGCATAAATGCCCCCATAGATGACAAAGGTATTGCCGAACTCACCTGCGATCGTGGGGCTGTTGACGGACTTATTTGGAATGCAGATATAGGATTAGTACGCACTCCTCCAAGACTGGATAAGATCAAGGCGTTCTTTGGCGACGAGGCACCTCCACAGTATCTCATTCCTCTCACTGCCGAGACGAAGCCGTGGTACCTACGGCCTACTCATGACCCTGCAGGAAGTCCTCATTGACCCCGACGGGACTGTGCGCGGTGGTACTGTTCCCGCCCTTGTTGAAAGGCTTACTGCACACGAGTACGCAGGTGGGTGAAAGTCTGTAAGTCGAAGAATAAAATCATTAAAAAATGGCTGCGTAGACCCGAAGTTCAACAGAGCTTTCTTGATGACGTTCAGGTCATTTACGACCTTGGATGACCTCCTCAAGCTATTGATCGACAGGTTCTGGATTCAACCGCCAGCCAACTTGGACACAGAAGATTTGGCTGATTGGAGGAAGTTTAAACAATGCGTTGTTCGCATGCGGTATGTCTAGACCATTTACATTAGATAAGGTTCGCTGATGATTTCATAGGGTCATTAATACATTAAAGTCCATGATCCAAGACGGCGATGTGCTAGAGAAAGAAGAACTAGGTATTCTCGACTATATGGAAGAGTTTGCTTCTCAAGCACATGTTTTTGACATTCCGGCCGCGAAGCAGCTTTTGAACTCCATAAAGCGCGCTGTGCGTGAGACACTCAACTTTTGTAATGATGCATGACGGTTGACTGCGAGTAAATAAATAGAGACGCGGAATGGACCATAGGAAAATAACTGTGAATACGTCAATGGACCCACCGCCCCCACCCATTGTTCCGAAACGTTTGGAGCTACTGGACATCGAACCCCTAGAGCTTGCAAGACAATTAACTATCACTGAGAGTCAACTCTATCAAAAAATCCGCCCCTCCGAGTGTATGCAACGATCACAGCAGTCCAGGCAAGCGAGAACGGACCCTCGTGACGGCGTTGCCAATTTCATACGCAGGAGCAACAAGGTGCGGGCGCTTACTGTGTCAAGTTACATGTTTGGTGAAGTCCCAAACTTGGTAGATTGCACACTGGGTCGCTTTTTCCATTCTTTCCAAGGACGAGGCTCGTCGGAGAGCCTTGGTGATAAAACAGTTCATTCTTGTTGCAGACGTAAGGATAAAGTTTCATAATGCGCTCCACTTTGCTTACACTCCTGGGCAGCGATGTCGGGCACTTCAGAACTTTTCGACTATGGGTGCTATCGTTTCTGGGTTAAACTCCGCTCCGATTCATCGATTGAAGCGGTCCTGGGAGCAAGTGAATTCGAAGTATATGTCCCAGTTGCAGACTTGTGAAGCCACCATCAACTCGTACCGAAATTACAACAAAGTTCGGACTACGTTGGCTACGGTCTCTCCCCCGTGTGTTCCCTTTGTTGGTGAGTATCCAAGCGAAAAGATCACCAACTACACTGACATCCTTCCGAAGGGGTGTTCCTGACCGCGCTTACACATATTCAAGATGGGAGCAAAGACCATTTGCCTGGCAACCTCGTCAACTTCCGGAAACGTCAAAAAATTTCAGAAGTGATCCAAGACTTACAACGTTGGCAAACCCAGCCACATAACTTTCACCCTTTACCTTCTGTTCTTGCCCACATCGAAGAATCACTCCAACCGTTCGGTGACCAGGATATCAGCGACTTGTTTTGGGAGCTAAGTATGGAACGTGAGCCACGAGAGAAAGAGGAAGAAAAGCTTGTGAGAATATTGCATGAGAGCGGATTCTTTTAGTTTTGCGGTTGTGACGTTCGCCCTGGATAGGTGACGCCTGGGATCATCTATCTGTGACCACCTTCCCTGCGGATATGGATATTTTTTCGAGGATTATAGCAAGTAATTTATACCATAAACTTGTCATGCACGGGCATTACTTGCTGCACGTTCTTCGATGAAGGACGCAAACCTGGGAGGAAACCCCCTCTTTAGAACAAGTTGGACTAAATGTCCGATAATTGTTAGACCCAAAGCTATACTTGTTCTCTGTTAAGTGTTGCATATAGAGCTGCATATCATGTAGGGAAGTGCTTTTTTCATTTTTGAGTTGATCCCATGCAGATGTTGAGATTGAGATGGCATGTAGTTGAGCACACAAGTGCTATGTCCTTAGATGGTGAATGAATAGCTGAAATATTTATAAACCCCCATGATGATTTGAATCCTAGGTGATGTTACTGCAAAGCTGGTCTCATTCCACAACATGTAGGCCACTAGCAAGCAGTCAGACATACAATACCACAAGTACAATGATGGAATACATTGCTGGAAAGAAGCACCAAAGGTTCACTCACCTCTGTGGCAGTGGCTGAGGATTCTGCACCCTTGATCATTGACTAGGTGGCTCCCACTGTCATACCCTCAGCAAGTGGTGCTGCAGGGTGGCCATGCCATGAGATGCACAATTCAACTAGAGGCTGTTCACCTTGGAGACCTGCTGCAGTTATGAGTATGACCAGGTGTGAAAACCAACACATTCCCTTGGATTTTCAAGGGCTGTCAAGAATGCACTGGACCTGATGAAAGGTGTTGAGCTCTACCAGCCATCAAACCCTAGCTCTGAGCAAATTGATTTCAGGGTTTCAGACTGTCAAGGAGAAGAGAAAACTCTTCCCATGGTCCTCACCTGTTGGAAATACTGGTTATCAGTGGACCCCATGTAGTCCATTTAGTCACAACATATAGGTAGCCTGCATGCCAAAATGCCAACACTTATATAGACCCCACGATAGGCCCATCTAAATAGATTAGCCATGACACATGGACAGGCCTGAGGGCCTATAGTGAGAGCAACATATGTATGGGCCTGTAAGCACAATTCCACAACATATGGGAGGGCCTGTGGAGGGTAAGGATGCTGTAACATATAGATGGGCCTGTGACCAAGTAAGTATGCTGAGCTACTGTAAGACATGGATGGGCCCACCTATTGTATCATGAAGAAGGTCACAACATATGGATGGGCCTGCCTGTCATATGCTTTATAGGGTCACAACATAAAGAGGGGTCCCTCTATGATAGATTACAGAGTTGGCAACATATGGAAGGGCCCATCTTTGGGATAATATACCCCTGTCACAACATATAGACAGGCCTGTCCATAGCAAGATGTATGCCTGTCACAACATAAGGACAGGCCTGTCAGTAATATCATTGACAGTGTCACAACACATAGACAGGCCCATCTAGTAAGATACACCCCTGTCCCAGCATAAGGATGGGCCTGTCAGTAAGTTCAATTACATGGTCACAACACATGGATGGGCCCATCAATAGCAACATGTATGCCTGTTGCAACATAAAGACGGTGTCACACACCAAAGGTGTTTGGTGAGGTGGACATGGATACAGCTGATGAATGGAGATGAAGACCATAGCCCTCATGTGAAGAAGGACAGCCAGGAATGTTGGCAGTCATCCCTCACACAAGAATAAGTCATCAGTGCCAGAGAAAAAGAAAGGGAGCAAGTTAAGTGCTGGCTAAAATTCTTAAGCACCCATGTACAGCATTACAGTTTTTGACATATCTCTGCCATTTCTGCAGATACCAAGACCACTTCCCACACTTGCTTGTAGTGCTCAGCCACGTGATCTTACCTTTCCAAAATTGGAAAGGATTTGCTGCACTCCACACGTTTCTACAGCACTCCCTCCAAAAGATGCTCATTTCACTAAATTCTTCTGATATGGCTGCCTCTACATCAGTCATTTCACTTGTCCCCTTTGCTAGGGACCATGGCTACATATATCTACCAGGAGTTCCTACCAGCTTCTGTCCTGAAGCATCCTGGTACATCCCACCCTCATCTGTGCCCTCTCAGCCCATCCAGCTTGGACAGCATGTTCTTTTTGTCAGTATGACCTCTAGGAGGACATTCTTTGGTCGCCTCAGGTCTGTCATTCACTTGGAAAGGTCTTATATGGTCATTTCAGTCTCTCCAGTCCAAGAAGCATATGGATCCTTCCTCCCTGCTCCCTGCAATGTCTTCATACTGGTCTCATCCATCATTCTTCCAAGATTGTGACATCATACAGTATAATCTTGACTGTGATTCAGGAGAGCCTGGAGAACAGTCATGATTAGTACTGTAGCTGTCACAATCTTGCCTCCTTGTTGCAAGATACAGCAGAAGACACTCCCCCTTCATCCTCTCTTCCAACAGAGCCTCATTCATGAAGTTTTTATTTGCTTCCCTGAGAGGATGGTTTGGGGGGGGAAGTTGCAATCCCCTATGCTCCTGTCACCCCACAGACCCCCAAAGCTTGACCCCTGTTGACATCTGACTCACCCTGTCCACTTTTGGATGTACTATATTGGCATCAGATCAGCACTGCCTCTCTGTCATCCCACCTTGGCCTAGAAGGCAATCTCTTTGAGATGTGACCTGCACAGCCTCCCCCTAATGTGATTCCAGTGCACTTTCCCAGTTCCTGACATCACTTGACTCATACTTTGACATTCTGACTGTCTTTGACTCACCTATTGACAATACTTACCAATCTTTTGACTTTGCTTACTGATTCTTCACTTTTTGGCTTGCTAATCCTTACCAATGCTTACCAATGCTTTCCAAGACGATTACCCATTGCTTACATTCCTTACTCATCAGTTACCAATCACTTACCAAGTGTTTGCACCTTGTTTTCCAAGGGAAACACCCCTGTACTGTATATAAATCACTGTACTTAGATAGCAAAAAAGAAGACATCAGAGAGCCCCTCTTGCTTGCATTTTATCATCACTCAGTAATTCATTCAGCAGCTTTGATAGTTGAGACTTTATTAAGGGTCTAACTATTGTCTACTTTGCTTATCCTTGTCTATCATCAATATACTTTGCTCCAAGCCCTCCCTGAGCTCAGTGCAGCTTAGGACATTGAATTAAGCTGCCATCCATCCTTCTGTAGGCTGACAGCAGTCTACCCTATTGATTTCTATTGCATTCTTCCTCCCTCTTTGTCAGGAGCACCCCCAACCCTCAGCACTTGTCCTTGAGTGTTGTAGCTTGCAAAAACCCTCCCAAAGAACAGGTTCTACCATCTAGGTACTGCATAGGCACACCACCACTTGCTCTTTTTGTCTTTTGTGTTGGTTTTGGTTGGTTTTCACCACTGAACCACACTTTAACTCACACCACCCATATGTTGTGACAATATAAATAATACTACTGAAGGGCCCATCCATATGTTGTGATGCTATGGATGAGATTACTGATGGGCCTGTCTTTATGTTGTGACAATATAAATAATATTACTGAAGGGCCCATCCATATGTTGTGACTCTATTAAATGATATTAGTGACAGGCCTGTCTTTATGTTTTGACAGGGTACATCTTACTGGGGCCAGGCCCACCCATATGTTGTGATGCTATGCATGAGATTACTGACAGGCCTGTCTTTATGTTGTGACAATTTAAATAATATTACTGAAGGGCCCATCCATATGTTGTGACTCTATTAAATGATATTAGTGACAGGCCCATCTTTATGTTTTGACAGGGTACATCTTACTGGGGCCAGGCCTGCCCATATGTTGTGACAATATAAATAATACTACTGAAGGGCCCATCCATATGTTGTGATGCTATACATGAGATTACTGATGGGCCCATTCTTTATGTCTCATCAGAGGTACATCTTACTGTGGATGGGCCTGTCCATATGTTGCATAATACTACTGATGGGCCTGACCTTATGTTGTGACTCTATTAAATGATACTAGTGATGGGCCTGTCTTTATGTTTCAACAGTGGTACATCTTACTGTCAACAGGCCTGTCTTTATGTTGTGACAGGGGTATGGCTTATTATGAATGGGCCTGTCTAGATGTTGTGACACCATAAATGATATTACTCCTGGGCCCATCCATATATAGCCAACTTTGTATTCTAATCATAGATGGGCCTGTCCTTATGTTGTGACCCTCTCCATGTTATGATAGGTGGGCCCACCTTGATGTTGCAACAGGGGTGTGACCTACCAGGACAGGCCCATCCATGTCTTACAGCAACTCAGTATACTTAATTTGTCACAGGCCTGTCTAAATGTTTCAACATCCTTACCCACTGTGGGCCCTCCCATATGTTGTGGTAATGCACTTACAGGCCTGTACATATGTTGCTCTCACTTTAGTCCCTCAGCCCTGTCCATGTGTACTGGCTAATCTATTTAGGTAGGGCCCATCTTGGGGTCTATATAAGTGTTGGTGTTTTGGCACACAGGCTGCCCATGTGTTGTGACTAAATGTGATTACACTATGTGATCAGTGTTTCTCATAGTCATGTTCTAGACATGCTTATCAGATGAGTTTTACTCATATGATGTCATGCTTGCTAAGTTACTCCACTTTATTCCATAATGTTCCATTCTATTCTTTGCTATACATAGTAGGTACTTTCTTTACTTACCATATGTGCTCATGGTCTGTGCTCATTCCTACATGTATATAAACCCAGGGGTTTCCACCAAGTCCCCTCAGTGAATTCACATTCCTCTTACCTGACTACAAGTTCCACTCTTAAGTCAGAACTACTCTTCAAGACTAACCATCTATTACTTCAAGCTCTATCCAATACTATAGGCAAGTGCTCATCTAGCTCTTGCCCCTTTCCCCTTCTGTTCCTCTGCCATTAGGTTATGATCCCTGACATCTAACCATCAGTGTGCTATTGTTGATCATGCATTTACTGATCACTGTCAACAGACATATCAGCATGCTTTTTGATGGCCTAGATGTGCTAGGATGGAGCTTAGTTCCTTTTGTTGTGTTGCTTCTTGTGGCTTTTTATCAGACCATTTTTCTTGTCTATTATGGAGACTTTGGGCCTTTCAGGGAAATGTTTGCTGCCTTAATTGCTTTTTGGGTTGCTGCTTTAGGTGTACTGGCTTGGCGTGACATTTACCTTCATTGGTTAAGAGCATGCATTGCTGCTGCTGATTTCCAATGTATCCTCACCCTTCCTCCTCCATTTCCCCACATTGAGGCTCCACCTCTGCGCTATTTTCTTCATGCAATCCCAGACCATG